GTAGCGTGTACTTCGTCCTCGTAACTGTTCGTTTTTTTTTAATTTTTTTTTTTGGCAGCCGAGTCGAAATTTTCATAAATTATCAAGTTTTTCAAGACTGTTGTAAAAGAAACTATTTTATTGACTTGACTTTTTAATTCCAAAACTATGTAAAGCTTTATAAGCTCACTAATTAATACTAAATAAAATAGCCTATCATTGGATTTCCTTCGCCTGAGATATTCATTATTAAAGTGCATTATTGCTTTCCAATATATCAAAAATTTCCAATTTTGACTCCTCAATTTTTTAATACTCATAACGGTCTTTAAAACAAATTTAGGTAAGTTGCATCAACTCTTCCAACTCTTCCATTTTTTTCCTCTTATGATGATACAAAAAGATTTTTTAGACGTTAGACTTCCTAATTTCATTGAGGATAGATCTTAGATATCTGATTTACACTTGGTAAAAAAGAAAAGTTGTGATTTCATGTCATAGATATCAATACTAACTTCTTTTCCAGTTTGAAAATAATGTGTGGTATTTTGGGTTTATGTTTAGCTGATAAAACAGCAAATGCAGCTCCAGAGTTGTTTGAAGGCTCTTTATTCTTGCAGCATCGTGGTCAAGATGCAGCTGGTATCACTACTTCAGGTCCAAGAGGTCGATTCTTTCAATGTAAAGGTAACGGTATGGCTAGAGACGTGTTTACTCCACAAAGATTATCAGGTTTAGTTGGTAATTTTGGTATCGCACATTTAAGATATCCAACTGCGGGTTCTTCTGCTGGTTCTGAAGCCCAACCTTTTTATGTCAATTCTCCATATGGTATTTCTTTATCACATAATGGTAATTTAGTTAACACTTTACAACTCAGAAAATATCTTGATGAGTCTGTTCATAGACATATAAATACTGATTCAGATTCAGAACTATTATTGAATGTTTTTGCAAGTGAATTAGATAAATATAACAAGGCTAGAGTTAATAATGAAGATATTTTCAATGCTTTGAAAGGTGTCATGGACATGTGCCGTGGTGCTTATGCCTGTTCTGGTCTTCTAGCTGGGTATGGGTTATTTGCATTCAGAGATCCAAATGGTATTAGACCTTTGTTATTCGGTGAACGTGTTAACGTCAATGGTAAAACAGACTATATGGTTGCTTCTGAATCTGTTGTTTTAAAAGCTCATAATTTCAAGAAATTCAGAGATATATTACCTGGTGAAGCTGTTATAGTACAAAAAAGTGGACATGTCGAGTTTAGACAACTTGTCCCAATTCAAAATTATACACCAGATATTTTTGAATATGTTTATTTCGCAAGACCAGATTCAGTTTTGGATGGTATATCAGTTTATCATACAAGATTAGCCATGGGTGCTAAATTAGCTGAAAATATTAAGGGTATTTTTGAGGGTAAAGATATTTCAAAAGAAATTGATGTTGTTATTCCCGTTCCAGATACCTCAAGAAATTCTGCATTGGAATGTGCAGTTACATTAAACTTACCATTTAGAGAAGGTTTTGTGAAAAACACTTATGTTGGAAGAACATTTATTATGCCAGACCAGAAGAAAAGAGTTTCATCTGTTAGAAGAAAACTTAATGCGATGGAATCTGAATTCAAAGATAGAAACGTTTTGTTAGTTGATGATTCTATTGTTAGAGGTACCACGTCTAAAGAAATCATCCAAATGGCCCGTGAAGCTGGTGCAAAGAAGGTTTATTTTGCATCTGCTGCTCTGAATGTACTCAAAGATCCAATGCTCCCAATCAGGCCTTGACTCTGTGTTAACAACAAGAATCAAACATTCCATTCCCAATGGGGAGGAGTAAACACCATCATCAAGGTTTGCATACTTGGTTTTGTATACTGGCAACAAATCTTCATCACTTCCTTTAAAGAATATCGAGCGCGTTACCGACAACCACAACCTCAGTGACCTTATCCAGGTGTGTGGGTTTTCTGTATAGTCTAGGATTGGAATGACTAGTAAGTCTATTGGGTTGAGATTTGAAGAAATTGATTCTATTAATTCGTTGTAGTGTGGTTTGTATTCACCAGGTAATGTATAAATTTGAAGTGTTGATAATAATCCTGACGAGTCGTCTCTAAACTCAATGTAAGTGTAGCCAAGCCCAAAGTCATTTGCAATCTTATTCTTCTCTGTGCTCGTCAAGAACGAATCTTCTTCGATGTATAATTTTTCAATTAGTTTATTCTGAGTTGTTGATGATCCACCTTTGATAAAGTTAGTTTTTCAATTCCAAAAAAAACACACTATTATTGCACATACCCAGTAGGAAAAGAACTTTTCTGGGAGCCCTGGAGGATTCAAAGGACTTCAAGAGCTCATTCCAAACGCCCATTCTATATATTACTTATTGTCTAGATTGTTTTGTTTGTTTATGATCCAATTTTCATAGAAAATTTACAGTGTGCCACTTCGCGAAAAAACACTAGTCTACAAATGAAACCGTTTCCTCTATCAAATTGTATTAATCATGACTAAAAAAATGTACCTATGAAAACAAACTCTTTATTTATAATCACCAATGTTGTAAATGCCAATGTCGACTTCTGCCTTCGCAAGGTCGTCAGAGTTGCCATTAGCCAACTCTTTAAGTTTTTGATTTTGCGCTCTAACTTTCTCCAATTCTTGAAGATAGTTATCTTCAACTCCTGTTATATAATTACCAGTAAAGACACCAACTTCGAATGTTGTGATTTTATTATCATCACTTTTAACACAGTCAACCAGGTCATTCAATTTTTGATAGATAACTTTATCAGCTCCCAACTCTTGTGCAACTTCTTCATCTGTTCTGTTATAAGCAACCAATGCTTTAGTATCAGCTAAATCAATACCATAGATATGATTATATCTGATTGCAGATTTGTGCTAAGGATCATTTGTTTGAAGCATGGTTGTTCATTACTTTATACTTCGTTACTTCGAGCTGACCCAAGGATAATTCAACTAATTTCAGCATTACTTGGAATTGAAGTTACACACAAGGTTCAACAAAAATTAGAACCAAACCTTGTGGATCATACCGAAGTTGTTGTACCAGTCGGGTTTGATTCTTGGGGCAAGATCAAAACACTTAATGACGATATTGACCCTTTACAACTATCCAAAAAATGGACCATTGAGGAAGACAATGATTTGATTGTTTCTTATGAAAAGATTGTTCCAAGTCTGATGAAACCACCAGCTAAAATCGAGGAAAGTGTGAACGACAGAGTAATAGAGGATGTGTCGTTCCAAGAGTTCTTAGCAGCACAGTATGAAAAACAACATAGATCACAAGAGAAGATTTTGAAGAGCTTTATAAAGACTGTCCAGGATCGAGGTGATGATAGCTAAGAAATACCAACGCACTTAACATTAACCATCTGTAGGAGCTTTAAACGTCTAGGCAGGGGTTCCCCTAAAGCCTAGGCTGAGAACATCTCTCTAGGCGGCCGCGCCCTACATAGCTCGTTACCCGAATACTTCAAAAGCGCGATTTCGCGAATGTATTATGTGAGCTCGATAAAAATTAATGAAAACGCTTCGATGAGGTTACTTGAATGTCAAGTTGAGTCAAGATCTAATATCAATTTGTACTCTTTGCTTTGACTTGCTGCAAGTGCCCTAGCTATTCAAATATCATCACCAAACTCACTGTTAGATACTATGGCTGGTGTTGAGGAAGTAACAGACGTTTCAAAACTGAGGATATCAAATGATGAAGATGAACAAAAGCGAATAATGCGTAAGCAAGAACATAGAAACAAAAGAAGAAGATCAAGCCACAAGCTTCATGACAACTCTAAGCCAAAGCTAGACGGTTTGAAGAAAGAGAAGAAACGTAAAAGTTACCTCCCGCCTTCATTGGAAATTTTAAACAAAGAGACAGACAAGAATTCAAGATTTAGTGATTTGAGAGACTTAGCATTATTCATCCTTGAAGCAAATGGGTTTCCGTCTCCAACGATCGCCAAAGTTAACAATAGACATCTTATTGGACGTGTTGTGTTTCTGATAATACCTGGTCTAGAACTTGCGGATTTTGGTATACCTGAAGACACAGAAAAGATTACAAGTTGTGAATTAACCACAATCCCAGAACAATTGACGTTTTTCAAGCAGCATTTTGACAAATTTTTGATGGTGAATTCTCCTGGTGATAGAAACTCTCTATATCCTTTGATCAAAGCTTTCACCTCCGTACCATATACTAAAAAACAAAAGAATAAAAAAGTGAAGGAATTGGAATCCAAAACATTAGTACTTCCAGACCTTCTTATGACCCACCAAGATTTTTTAGAAAATGATTATCCTGTCCATCCATTGGTACTCAATGTCCCACAAGATCAAATAAAACCAATTACAGAAGGGTGGGTGGATACAACTCCATTTGAGCATGAAGGTTCACATACATTTTCTCTCGATTGTGAAATGTGCCAGACTGCTACTGGTAAAGTGTTGACAAGAATTTCCTTGATAAACTTTGATGAAGAAACCTTATTGGATGAATTTGTTAAGCCAGAAGATGAAATTGTTGATTACCTTACACAATATAGTGGTATTACAGAAGAATTATTAAAGAATGTCACAACTTCTTTAAAAGATATTCAAGATAAAATTTGCAAAATTATCAGTGCTGACGATATTTTAATTGGGCACTCTATAGAAAATGATCTAAATGTGTTGAAAATACGTCATCCTCGTATCATAGATACTTCCTTGATATTTGAGCATCCAAGAGGGCCACCATTCAAATCCTCATTGAAGTATTTGGCTAAACAATACTTGGATAAAACAATTCAAAACGGCTCGCATGACTCTGTTGAAGATGCAAAAACCTGCTTGGACTTGGTAAAATTGAAATTAGTGAATAATGCATTGTTAGGAAAAGTTATAGACGGGGAATCGTTGTTCAAAATCTTGGGTGATTCTGGAAGGAAGGCTGTTGTATTGGACAACTTGAAAATTCAAAATGATCACAAAAAATATCTTGCATGTTCCAATGACGATGAGGTTGTGGATTCTATTTTAGAAAAAGCAGCTGATACAGATTTGATAGTGGCAAAGTTCAAAGATCTTGAATCATCATTAGGTTGGGATAAAATTCCCTCTACACAGGAACTTGAAGAAAACCAATCAACATATACCGATAAAACACAGGCTTTTGAAGACCTCAATAACAGACTAGAAAAGATTTATAAAGGGATACCAGGGAATACAGCTATTATTTTAACATCAGGATATAGTAACCCTTGTAAAGTGAAAAGTCTTGGTATTCAAAAGAGAAATTTTAAGAACGATTATCAAAACAAACTTTACAGTGAGATTGAAGCAAGCTGGGATAGTGAAGATGAAGCTAATTTGAAGAAATCTTTGAAAATTGCAAGGATGGGTGTTGGATTTATGACATTGAAATCAGCAGATGATTCAATAATATCTTCTTTACAAGCTGATACTAAAAGCAATGGGTCTTCAATTTTAGAGAACAATGAAGAAGCAATTTTAGAGGAAGATAGTGAAAAATAATAGAGCTATTTACTACTTCAATTCAAGTGTAGGTGTTCAAATTTTCCTATAATAGTACATACATTTATTCGATTTGGAGGAACCTTATTCAACAACCACGTCGCCTTCGGAATCTTTCTTTGGTTCGTCGTTAATTTTTTCATCCTCCTTGGCTTCTGGTACTGTAGTGTTTACTTCTGGTTCCTGTATTTCCTGTTGTTCTTGTTGTTCTTGTGGTTCTTGTAGAGTAGGTTGAGCTGGAGTTTGTATATCTGTTGCTACTGCTGTTTCGCCCTCTGATTTGGAAGCACCAGACTCTCTCTTCTCTTGTTCTTGTATTGGATTTATAGCTTCTGAATTTTCTTCAATGGTTTTTTGTTGTTGTTCTGGTTGATTCGATTCCACAGCAGGAGCTTCCACTTTTGGATCTTTTTCAGATTTGTCTTCCGTTTTAGTATTGTTACCATTAGATATACCTGGGATAGATTCACCAGACCCAACAGCACCTCTGATAGCGTCATCAGTTAGTCCATTGGCGTCTCTCTTTCTTTCGATGGAAAATTCTTCTAGATCTAGAAGATCCTCTTCTTCACCATCCACTATAGGTTTATAATCATTATCATAGGTCCATGCCTTGACCTTAAAGTTGAACGTCTGCTGCTCTAGTGAAGGTGTATCTCTTTCATCTCCAAATGGGGTTGGAGTAGCACTTGGAGTGATGCTTGTTGATTGAGGGATGTTCTTTGAAGGACTGTACCAATCTCTTTTCCAATGTTTTTCTTGGGAGGAATCGTTATTGAAATTCAAAGCATTGGCATTTCTCACAAGTGATTGCCCGTAAAGCGATTGTCTGACTGACATTCTTCGTTGTCTTGTATTTTTTCTAGATTGGTGTTTTGCCAATTCGGTGATTGTCTGTTGATTCATTTCGTGTTTATGTATTTTTTGTTTTTTGGTGTTGGGATGTGTTTTTTGAATCCAAGTTTTGTTTGGAAATTTAAACATCAACAATTCAGATTACTGGCACACAGTTCACAAAGCACAAGGCCAGCAACCAGTGCAATTTTAGACTCACGCTAAAAGAGAATGTCTGGTGCTAATGGTGGGAAGAAAAATGGGCCCGCTCCTCAGAGTGAAGACGATGCTTACAATTCCCTTTTCAGTGGTGACTTGGGTTCATTTGACATCAACAAAGTCATTGGAAGTGATGATATGAAGACACAACATGCCGATGATGCCATCGATTTTGAAGACGAGGACGAACTTGCTGATGATGAATTACCTGAGGAAGAAGAATCTAGTAATAAACAAAATCTTCAGGGTGATGATAATGATGATTTCATGAAGGAGCTTGAATCTGAGGCAAAGCCGAATGACACAGATTCTCAATTCGATAAACTCTTTGGTGATAATATAGATGATGGTTTTGGCGGAAGCCAAGGGTTTGAAGATACAGATGCAAGTACGTTGAGGGCTAAGGAACATAAAGAAAAAGAAGATAGGAAGAAACTTGAGGAACAAAAAAGACTAGAGAAGATCAAAGAACAGGAGGATCGAGAACAACAAAAATTTCAAGAAGGATTATTGAAATTCTACTACCCAGCATTTAAGAAAAACTCTATACTACCAATGAACTCAATTTTTGGACCCAAGCCCAAGAAATATGAATATCAACAGCCTGGTGTTATGAAGCCGCTTCTACCAACTAAGACCCAACTGGAAGTTGATACAGACGAGAGAAGAATCTTCAAATCAACATTGAGTCATTCAACACAAACGGACGGAAAACGAATAATACCAGTAGAGGAGTATGTGCTGGATAATCAAGTCACACAGAAAAAAACCAAGATTGAGCTTGACGAAGATTTGATGCTGGCCACATTTGATTGGGATTATGACACTATTGTTGGTGGAGATGAACCTGAACCTAAAATTAAAGCCAAATCAGACAATTTTAATTTCGCAGATGAAGATATTAATGATTATGATGATGATGAAATTTTCGATGGACAATTGCATACCAAATTACAGTTAGATATGAATGATCCAAACTTGTTATTCCTGGATGAAAAAGACAGAATTGTAAGGAAGCAACAAGTACCAACTATACCAACAAATGAGAAGCTACTTTTCTCAAAATTCAACATCTCCAATGATAACAATTATGATTTATTGAAAGAGAATTATCATAGTAAAATCAGATCTACTATTGGTAACTTGAATATTGAACATTCTATGCCTGCAATTAGACTACAATCACCATACTACAAGGTTAAGTTAACTAAGGATCAACTACGTAACTTCCATAGAAAACATTTCAGAGTTAGACCCGGTCAAGTTATTCAATTCTCTAAGTTAAAGGTTAGAAAAAGAAAGAAGGACAGGGGCAAAGAGATTAAAGAGCTGTTCAACAAGACAACAGATCTAACACTTGCTGATACTGGTCAAACATTATTGATGGAGCATTCTGAACAGGTTCCTATTGTATTACCTAACTTTGGTATGGGTAGTAAATTGATCAACTATTATAGAAAGAAGGATGAGGAAGATATTTCAAGACCAAAGCTATCTATTGGTGAGACTCATGTTTTAGGTGTTCAAGATAAATCCCCATTTTGGAATTTTGGTTTTGTCGAGCCTGGTAATATAGTACCAACTCTTTATAATAAACTTGTTAGAGCACCAGTTTTCAAACATGAAGTTGCTAATACTGATTTCTTGTTAATCAAAAGTACTGGTGGTGGTGTTTCTCAGAAATATTTTTTGAAAAATATAACACATTTGTTTGCTGTTGGTCAATTATTTCCTGTCGTTGATATACCAGGCCCTCATTCAAGAAAAGTCACCACAGCTAGCAAGAATAGACTGAAAATGATTGTATTCAGGGTTCTGAAAAGAAGTCCTGAAAGAAGATTATTGGTTAAAGATATTTCCGCCCATTTCCCAGATCAAAATGACATGCAAAATAGACAAAGATTAAAAGAATTCATGGAGTACCAAAGATCTGGTGAAGATCAAGGTTTTTGGAAATTAAAGGAAGATCTACCAAATGATAGATTAATCAGTCCTGAGGATCTGACACTATTGGAGGCAATGCAAGTTGCCCAACAACAAATGGAAGATTTGGAATTTTATTCGAATGAAGAATTAAATGATGAATTAGCATTGTGGAATTTGACCAAAAATTTCATTAATGCAACTCAAGGTAAGGCAATGTTACAAGTCCATGGTGATTTGGAAGGGAAAAGCTTTTCATTTTTGAAAACTTCAATGAAAGGTGGGTTTAAAAGCTTTGAATCTAATGGTCATAGTTATAATGTTGCATTACAACAAAAGGCTTATGATGAAGAAATTTCTAAAACATGGTATGGTCAGCAAAAGAGATTATCTGAAAAATCGTCACACATTGAAGAACTTGGTGATAGTGAAGAAGACCTAGGAATGAACACCAAGAAAGATCAACCTGTCAAGTTTTTGAAAATCACAAGAATGGTTAGAGATAAAAATGGTATTTTACAAAGAAAACATGAAATTATTAAAGATGAAAATGTTATCAGAGCATATATTAAACGTCGTGAAAAATTAGATGAGGATATAATGCCTGAAGATATCACAGTCACCAATGATGAAGAAAAAAATCAAAAGGCCAAAAAGTTATTGGAAGAACAATTGGCTAAGTTACAAAAGAACCAAGAACGTCGTAATGCACGTAAGGCAAACAAAGAAAATCTGGGTGGTAAGGGAATTGGTAAAGGAAAGAGTACAACACGTAGATGTGCTACTTGTGGTGCGATTGGTCATATCAGAACTAACAAGTCATGTCCAATGTATGATGAAGCTAACCCATGATTTTTTATTAATGAATTCCACGAATGAAGTTTTTTTTTCCATATTAGTATGATATTGTAGTTTAGTTTATACAGTTTCTCACCATGCAATTAGGTTTGAACAATAAGTTGATAAACTAACTTGATCTTTGACATTAGCACCATATCCAACAATCTTATCGCCGTCATCTTTTAAGCAAACAACGACTTTTTCTTCATTTGGGTCAAATTCTCTTGATAATTTTTTCAAGATTGATTTAGTTTGACCTCTTTTATCACAACTTGGACCACCAACTGAAATAATTTGCTTTATACTTGAATCTGGGAATTTTGTAATTTCTGGTGTACAATGGAACCAATCATAATTTACTCTTGTACCATATTTGAAGTATTCAACAGCACCGATCAATGAAAGCACTATGAACAAAGTTTGCAATAATGTAAAAACGTTACTTTTACCAGGCATTGTGTTTAATTGTTATGTTGAATCAAATGATGTATAAGCGTAGTATGGGAACCTCTTGTTTTTTTTTACCTAATTCCATGAGAATTTTCCGGTTTTGGTGCACGCAAAGGGGTTCGGCCGAATCTACGTATGGTCAAGTACTCAAAAAGTTGAACATTTTGTATATAGTTTCTTGTAAATAGGTATCATCATAATAAAAAGGTATAAGAAAAATAATAAAAGAAGTGAAAATGAAATAAACTTATTAGTTGTTAATAGCATAATTACCACCAATCCAATTGTTGAAGAAATCTAATGAATTTTCAGGTTGATCATATGGAACCATATGACCAGCACCATAGACTCTCAAGAATGTGAAATTTTCGTGGTTTTTAACTTTACCAGCTTCTTTACCTTTAACATTCCAAGATTTCACTTTTGCAGAACTAAAATCATCAGCACCTGACCATGGTAAAACATTAGTCCAAGCTTCATTTCCTAACCAGTTACAAATGAAATCTTTATCACCAGCATAAATTAAAACAGGTAATTTTGATTCCAACAAGTCAGTAACAGCTTTATGATATGGTTTCATCCAATCACCAGCAAATAAAAAGTTTCTGTTGACATCAAAGTTACAAGATTCATAATTATCAACTTCAGCACCTAAAGCTTCTTTAACATCATCTCTGTTCAGATATTTATCAATATATTCTAACCCAGTGTAACATAATGAACCACCTTCACACATTTCTCTAATATCATAAACATTACGACCAGTTTTTTGATATGGACCCATTTGAGCATTATTACAATAAATTGCAGCAGGGACACAAGACCAAACTGATTGAGATTCATAACAAGATTCAATCAATGATAAACAACGATCTTGAGAATTTAGCATAGCTTCACATTCTTCTTCTGGTAAAACTGAAGGTTCACCACCTTCACCACAAGCCATTGGTTCATAATATTTATATTGAGTTAAAGGATCTGTTAAACCATTACCAATCAAAACTGAAGATAAGTTGAATTGTCTTTCTTCATGAGATAAGATTTCAGAGGCAAAGACTGGAATATAATGACCAGCATAAGATTCACCAGCAATATGAAATTTCAAATCTTTATATTGAGGAAATTGTTGGAAAAATAATTCTAAAAATGCATAAACATCTTTACCAGCAGCAACAGTATCAGTAATTGAGCTTGAAGAATAAGAATAACCGACATTAACAGGTTGATCTAAAAAGATAACTGAAGCATTTGAATTCCAGGAATGTTTGTTATAAACTGGTTTAATACCTTCATCAATTGACGAAGGACCCAATTCAAAGAATAACCCAGTTAATGAAGAACAACCTGGACCACCATTTAACCACAAGATGATTGGGTCATTTTTTGGGTCATTTCTTGATTCAAAGAACCAATAAAAGAAATGTTTATCTTCATCTTCAACATCCAAATAACCTGAATATTGTTTAACTTTATCAACACCTAAAGATTCTGGAGTTTTTTTAACTCTAAGGGAATGGTTTGGTAAATTCTCATTATTAACATGGAAATCCCAACCATTTAATTTTTTAGTAAAAGGTTTTGGTTTTGACCAAAATTCTAAACTTGAAACAGCATTTGGGAATTTTAAAGTCATTTCAGACCATAAAGTTTTAACATCTTGAGATAAATTATCAATTGGAACATTTAAAGCATCAGTAGCTTTTTTCAACAAGTTTTCATTAAATAAAGATTGTTGAATTGAAAACCCTTCAACAGCCACCATTAAACTGGCTGCAATCACAAAACCAGAGTTTAACTTCATTTTGTGAGTTTTTGCTTAAAGAACGAAAGGAATTAAAGTCAAAAATATAGCAGATAAAATGAATTGAATACCTTCTTGAATAAGTTCAATTGTTTTGGTGGCAATTCCTTTCCAAGATACAAAAACCAAATTAAAAAGAGAATAGCAAAGTGGCGGGTGGAATTATACGTCAAATGGAGTTCGCGAACTTTACCCTGGCGAAAAGATAGGGGAATTCGATTACGTAATATTTCCTTATCATCCGCGAATTGGTTCTACAAAAAAAAAATTATAAACACTTTTTTTAATTTCAGTTGTAATCACTTTGTTATTCCAAGTGCTTTGTTTAAAAGTTTGACACCTTGAACCAATTTCTCATCATCAAATCTTTTACCAGTCAATTGTAAACTGATTGGGGCATTAACATAATCTGATGGGTTATAATCACTAACATTACCTGGACCTTTCAAATCAATTGAAGCATCATGAGTTAATCCAGTTCCAAAGATGATATTTGGGAAATCAATTAGATTAAACATTGAAGAATAAAACCAATGATTAATGTTTTTTGGAACTTCAGCCACATTTGCATAAGTTGGACTGATAATGAAATCTAAACCTTCATCTTCCATTAAATTATGGAAATAAAATTTTGTTTGTTCTTTAACATTATTATTTGTCAAGATGTCATTTTCCATTGGATTAGCAAAATCTAAGAAAACTTTTGTTAAAGGTAATAAAGGTTCACCACTTTTAGCAAATAATTCATCATGAACAGGTTTTGAAGTACCATAGATTTGTTTATTTTGTTTAAAAGCAGTTTCCATTAAATCATGATCCAATTTAATTATTTTCACAATACATTTTTGACCATCATTATATTGAGATAATTTGGATTGAACAAATTCAAGTCCTCTTTTAATTGAGTCTGAAGGGTCCACTAAAGTATCAGTCATGATGAAACCAAAAGTTACAGTTTCTTTATCAAGTTTAATATCATTTCTCCAATTTAGTGGGATGATATTTGGATCATATTCCCAAGGTTTCCCCTTATTAATATAAGCATCCATATAATATTCTAAATCTTCAATTGATCTTGTCAATGGACCTTGAGATGATAAGATTGATTCTTGACCAGCTCCACCAGATAATGAATTCATTCCTGAAACTCTTCTTATTGTTGGTCTAATTCCATAAAGTCCACAAAATGCAGCAGGGACTCTAATGGAGCCACCAATATCAGAACCAATACCCATAACTGAAGAACCTAAAGCAACAGCGGCAGATTCACCACCAGAGGAACCACCAGGACTAATTTTATAATTAAAAGGGTTTGAAGTTCTTCCAATGATTTGATTATCGGTATCAAGATGCATAACTGATTGAGGTTGAGAAGTTCTCATGTAGAAGACAGCACCCAATTTTCTCAAGATTTGGATTGAAATTGATTCATCTCTTGGGGCTTTACTAATTAAATTATCAAGATAACAAACATAACCAGCAGTGGTGACTTTCCCACCATATTTCATCAATTCTTTCAAAGAGATTGGGATACCATGTAAGGGACCCATTAATTCACCATTATGAGTTTCTCTATATTGATCCAACGCTTTAGCGCGTTGTAAACCTTCATCGAAAAACAACTCCATAGCACAATTGGTGAATATATGGGCAATAGCACCTCTTTTAGCAAAAGCATTGTAGATTTCAACAGCTGTTAATTCATTTTGTAGTTGCTTGGAGATCAATTCTTTTGCAGTGTAATTTGTGATTTCCAATTCTTTAGGGGTTAGGAGTTTAGCTTGTTGTTGAACAGCGTTGAAATGTTGGTCCTTAGATGGATCAATAGCTTTAACCAAGTGCTTGTATGGTTCCAACTGAGAGTCGAGTTGCTGTCTGTAGCTGGTGATCTTTGGGACCCATTCAGTTTCGTAGGAGTTGTCAATGGTCATTTTGGTGGTGATTAGTAGTTAAGGAAAGGTTTTAAGAATGGTTTTAAGAATGAATTGAATGTTCTTTATATACTTGAGATTATAGATACCCCGTTAACTATGGCGTTGTCCCAAAAGGGCAAGCGCGTGGAATACACAAGGCAAATGCTCAAAAGGTGCCAATTGAGTTGAATCAATTAATTAATCATTAATCAGTGGTTAATTGTTAATAGTTATTAGTAAATTCAAATATTATCATTCGATCATTCTTTCAATTAATTCAATAACGATTCTGTAGCCCATTCTCTCGTAGCCATTATCTTAACCATATTATCGCGAATTTTATTCAAGCTTTCTCAAGGAAAAACATCAACGTCAACATCAACAACCGTGAACCCACTATCAAAGCACAACCGCAATGATCCTTCCAACAATCCTCTTCTTCACACTATCACTGCTGCTTGCCGTGCTGTCCCTAAACAGATTCCTCTCTTTCAAAAACCAACCAAGTCCCCTATTCACCATCGTGGTGATTTCGGCCATCTACATTCCAATATCAATAACTTTCCTACTCCCCATAGATATCCTTTCAAGTAATGACGATGGCACAACAAAGCATAATGTCTTTTATTTGGGCTCAAAATATATCCTATTCTTATGGAAACTAGATTATTGGTCAGCTTTTATATTAATGTGGGTCATTTTACCATTCTTACAAGAATACTATAGATCTGGTCAGTTTACACAGATTAATAAAGTTAAAGATTCAATTAAAAGTAATTTGAAATTTCAATTAATGGTTGGTACAATTGGTATCTTTGCCTCGGTTTACTATTTTATGAAATTTGGGTTTAATTTCCAAATTTTCAAAAGTTTATTAATTGCTCTGTCTCATACTTATTCATTAATTTTATCATTATGGTTAATGGCTCATGGATTGATAAACATCCCAAGAAGACGTTGGAGTAATAATTTCAACTTGAATCATCAATTAGAAACTTTATACCTAAGTCTTCCTAAAATTTATGATGAATTAAATGAATCAAGTTATAATTTTAAAGATGTTTGTTCCACTATTAAAAAATTAGAATCAATTAATGGTATTGATCAAAGTTTTTTCAAAAATGAAGTTGCATTTTTAATTAATCAAATCCCAAAGGATTTAATTTTAAGAAATCATGTTTCAAGTGTGGAATTTTCAAATCTTGATCAAATTAATTTATCAGTTTTATCAAATTTACATTCAAGATTGAAAAATGAAACAACAAATTTTGAATCTTGTAAATATGAATTTAATAAAGTCAAGATGGATATCTTAAAATATCAAGATATAATGGAATCAAAAGCAACAAAATCTTTAAATTTTAGATTCAATCAAAATTTCACTAAAAATGCAAGATTAAATTTCATAATTCATCTTTACCTAATACCCCTTTGGAACATGTTTTCAGCTTTAATATTATTTGGATTATCATTAATCATTATTGAAAGTGAATTATTACATTCTACAAAATTCTCCATTATAAATATTTTATTATTAACAGATAAAATTTCATCAACTGGGAAACTAGTAATATCAATCATTTTCATAAGTTATATGGCACTAAGTGCTTTGATATCATTAACAAGAATTAAAATTTTCAAAATTTATCATCTTTTCCCCAAACATTCAAATCCTGTTAGTGTTGTTTGGTTTACAATGTATTCAAATAGATTAACAATCCCATTATCGTTTAATTTCCTAACTTTATTACAAACTGGGAAAATTCATTCAAATTTTGATGATTTCTTGGGGAAATCAATTAACTTAAGTATGCTTGGTGGATTTTTCAATAATAATTTACCAAGATTAATTATAATTCCAATATTATTAACTGCTTTTAATTTTTTCGATAAATTGAAACAAAAATTAACTTTTGGTTATTTTGATGATTTTGATGAAGAGGAAAATGAAGGCTCTAATGGTGATTTGGAAAATTTAAATAAAAAGGAAAATATCATTAAAGAAGCTAAATCAATTATTCAAAGAGAAGTTGGTTCAATGAGTGCAAGAAATAGTTCCACTAATTTAAGAGGTTATACAGATTCATCAGCTTCAAATTCAAGATCAAACTTAGTCAATCAAGATCAAACAGTGATACATTATGAACAAGAAGATGATTCTATCCTAGATAAATTGAAGAATATTAATGTGTTTGATAAATTCAAAACAATTAATTTTTTCGATAGATTTAAATCTAATGGTTCAAATAGATTAAACATACCAGAAGATGATGAAGATGTTGATGTATTATAATAGTACACATTATGCAAGTGCCTCTTCAGATTTTGTATAAATATCAAGTGGTAATTTTAATGATTTATCAACATTTTTCTCATAAATCAACCATTGATAAATAAAACAACCATCGAAAAACAATGTAACAAATGATAATCCTAATTTACCACTATTATTTATCAAAATATCAAATTTTAATGAACCAGTCATTATATATGAATCAATAAATAATTGTAAAATTGACAAGATCCCACCAGTAAGATCTAAAAAAATTGTCAATATACTAAATCCAACCACTGATTTTCTTTTATAATTATGACTTAATTGTGGGATATATTTAATTATACTCATGAATATCTTGACATATGATAAAATAATTGCTAAATCTAATAATGTAAATGGAATAATATATGGTTTATCAACACCTGTCCCCACACAAAGATATGACAATATAATCATAGTTATCATTACACCAGTTATTATCAGCTTTGTTGTTTTCCTAATATGAGTAGATCTTTTAGCAAACCCCCAAAAATATAATTGTGAAATTGTAACAATATTCATTAATAAACCATGTGAAGAATAAATTAAATCAATATTTGTTAATAATGGGTAATAATTATGATATTGGAAATATAGTTGACGAACTTGTTCATTGTATAATAAAAGAGACATTGAAGTCACTAGTGCAATGTATCCAATGTTATTCAAGTAAAGGAAATCAACAGATAATCCATCTGAAGATTTTAGTTTATAATTCAATATCAATGGAGGATATACTGAGATACTCTTTTCAATTGTTAACACTCATCCAACTAATCAATTGTGTAGAAATACCCACCCATGCTGTGACATAAAGCACACCAAGCAGATTAGACAATCTCTCCAGAGAAATCATAACACTAATATCTCCTAATCAATTTGTTGTTCGGATAAACTTTTCACTATTGATTCAAATTTTGACGTGTTCAAAAAACCAAACACATTCGCGAATGTTACATAACACATTACCTAATCACCGCGAATGCGTTTTCTGCCGCGTCATGTTTTTCCCCGGATTTTGTCGTTTGTTTCCGTTGATCCAAAAAAAACTATGAGTCGAGGAAAAAAACAAACCACAAAATTTCATAATTCAATTCCAAGGTTTCAAGAGGAAGATTTAAGCCAATATTTTATAGGTATCGTCATGGCTTCTGTGCTAAAGAACCAGATCGCAAAGTATGCCAGAATAGCTCCAAGAGGAATCTCTTTGAAAGAAATGGTCCAGGTGGGTCAACACCCAAGTGAAGAAACACTATACAATGCTAGCAAGTTTATCGTTAGAGAATTACCTATAAGGTTGGCTCATAGAATTGAAGAACTAGAAAACCTACCTAATGGGTTGAACCAAATGCAATCTATTGAAAAAGTCAAGGATTGGTATACTCAATCTTTTGATGACTTATTAGATATAAGTTCAAAAGAAGATGCTAAAGATCCAATGTTGTGTGATCATTTCCAGTATAATAGAACTGTTACTGATTCTCTTAAAAAATTAAAAAAGACATGATCCAACAGTGGCAACAATGGCTCAAGGTGTTATCGAATGGAAAAATGAAAATAAATCAAGATCTATTGATCATTCAATACAATCTTTTTTGGATAGATTTTATATGTCAAGAATTGGAATAAGAATGTTGATTGGTCAACACATTGCAATCAATGATGAACCCGCAAGAGAAAATTATGTTGGTGTCATTTGTACAAAGACTAATGTTGGAGAAGTTGCTAGAGATGCTATAGATAATGCTAGATTCATTTGTGAAGAGTATTATGGTTTATACGAGGCTCCTCAAGTTGAATTATTTTGTCCTGAAGAATTAACATTCATGTATGTTCCTGGTCATTTGATGCATATGTTATTTGAAGTCTTGAAAAATTCTTTAAGAGCCACTGTGGAAACTCAAATGAAAAAAAATAGAGAAAGTTCAAATCCAATAACTGATATAAGTGATATAAAATTCCCTCCTGTAAGGTTAATTGTTGCTGAAGGTAATGAAGATATAACAATAAAGATTAGTGATGAAGGTGGTGGTATTGCAAGAAGTGCTGTGCCTTTAGTTTGGACTTATCTCTATACAACAATGGAGGATACCCCAGATCTTGATGCTTCATATAACAAGACAGATTTCAGAGCTCCAATGGCTGGATTTGGTTATGGATTAGCATTGAGTAGATTATATGCTAGATATTTTGGTGGTGATTTGAAATTGATCTCTATGGAAGGTTATGGTACAGACGTGTACTTACACTTGAACAGATTAAGTACAAGTAGTGAACGTTTGCAATGAAGTATAGTACAATTTTAATGATGGTGTATAAGTGAATTATGAACAGTCTTTTGAAGTTTTGTAAAACGCATTCGCGAGTCCTCTTCGCGAATCTGTTTTTTTTTTTTTTGTAATTTGACTATCAAAAAGCTCAAAATTCAAAAATCAGCTCTTGATCAAAACCAAAAACACATGAGCCAAAACCCCCAAAATTAGGCTTGATTTGCTGATAAATCACTGATACTAGCTATCCAGAAACCATGTCCAGACAGTCAGCAACAACGTCGTTCACTGGTAATAGGGGTAACCTTAAACTTCAGTCCGCAAGAGAGGATTTGCTTCATAACCGGTACAATCTCATGGAACCTCAGGGCGTTTATCCTTTAGACTCAATTCCAGCAACTTCATCCTCAAATGAATTCATCACCCATTCTGCTGGTACTGGTCACAAATACCCAGACTTCCAACCATGGATACACAATCCCAGAGAGGATATCCTCGCAGTGAACCATCTACAAAAAGGTTATTATGAACCACCTCATGTCGCTAATGAGTTATTATCTGCTCGAAATATAATGCATCAATTATTAAGATCCAATAATTCCTTGGATGAACTTTCCTCAAATTTACTCAAAGCAATAGACGTTAGGTCAAATAACAATAAAATTGGTACAAGTACTTATAAACCACCTCCAAGAGTTACATTAACTGATCAAAAAAGAGAATCTTGGTTAAAAGATTTAGCATCAAGTGATGTTCCTTTGAGAAAATTGGCTAGAACTATACCACATGGTGTTAGAAATAAAAGTCTTTTGGATCAGTGTGTTTTGAAAAATATACCCATAAATAGAGCTATTTGGTTTGTTCGTTGCGTGGGAACTAATGAATTGAGAGGTTTGAAAAGAAAAGGTGGTGCAAATATAGAATTTAATTGGATACAGGAATGGACATTACAAGTTGTTGAATATATTGAAAAATTATCAATTGAATATTTGAAATATGAAAGTCATTATAATCAAGAATCAATGAAAATATGGAAATCAAAATTAACTTATATTTTGAGATTCACTGGGAATCTTTATATTGAAAATTTGATTGATAAGGAAAGTTTCAAGAATTGGATTAATAGATTTTTCAAAAATTGTAAAAATTTTGAATTACCATTAGCTTTAACATTTATAAAGATTTTTTGGAGTGATATATTGCAAACTGATTATTTAATCAAAGAATTGACTGAAACTTCATTGCTTCGGTATCAACAAATAAGCTCATTGAAAATCGTTTTGGATTCAAAAGATCTGACTGTAACAGACTGGAAACTAAATGATAAAATTAAAAATAAATTACTTCAGAGTTTTAAAGGTTTAATAATAGAGTCTTTTAATCAATCAATTGATAATTTCATATTACCAAACACTTGGAATCAATTGAAACCAATAATAAAATCAATAATTCAGATCAATGATCCAGTTGCTTTGAAAAAATTTAATCTAATAAGTTATAGAAATGAGTCACTGATGATCAACTACTCTTTAAATAAGAAAAATGAGGATAACACCTTGGTTCAAGTATTAGATAACATTCATGTCAGTTATGATTTGAAAAAAATAACTGATTTAATCTTCAATGAAAATTGGAAATCAAACTTAGAAGTTTTATTCCATTGGGGTATAACAAAATTTAGAGATTGTTATCATAGAGTTTATTTGATTGCAGAATTATTCAAAAAATTTAAAGTTCATCAGCAATCTGTTCCAGCAAAAGATATTGAACAAGAAGTTTTAAACATCATTTTCAAATTAAAAGATTATGCAGAAATTATTTGTTTCCAAAGCTTATTTTATTTATTGAACGAATTATCACAGGTGAAATACTTCAAAGTTACCATTTATGTTAGAAAATTGATTAGTTCTGGATTGATGTATCTATCTGGTAATGAGGATGAAAAACTATTACATTCATCAATCCTCAAAAATTTGAAAACTGGAAATAATAGTCAATCATCCTTAGTTTTAAAAAACCTTGATCCAACATGTGATGAAGACTTCAAATCAAGAAATGATGAAAATTTCAAAACTGGGAAACAATTGATGGAATCTATACTAATTAATGGTGGTAATAATGAATCTTTCCGATTTTTGAATAAATTATTTGTGGGACATAAGTTAAAATTATCAGAATCTATATCAAAGGATTATTTACCAAAACTTATATCAGGTGAGTTGACTTTAGATTATAAGACATTACAAAACATAACTCGTCTGTTGCTCGTGTTTGGTGATTTGAAAAACTTGACCCAAATTTATATAAAATTTTTGGAACAAGATATTGTTAACCTTGATGAATTGGGTTTCATTGCTGAATACTTTTTATGTTATAGCAAATTGATTGGGTTATTTTCAAATTTTGATACATTGACTGAATTGTTCATCAAATGCTTTTCCAAATGTGATATGAAATGCTCTGAATTGAATAAATTTTGGGCTTTTGTTCAAAATCATGTACAAGATGAAAAACTAAAGCTCGATCTAAAACAGGTAACAACAAATAAAGAAATTCAGATCAATAATGAAGTGGTTCAATCAAGCTTAGTACAATCAAAGGCTGATATATCATTGGAAGATTTCCTCAACTACAACAATTTCCACACTAATTTTCAAACTTTGATAAAGCTACTATTTAATAATTCAAACTGTGACTTGGGTGAAAGACTAAGCATTATAAGACTTCTCATTATTTTGAAAAACTACAATATCGGTGAGTTCAGTAAAATTTTATTTGTTTACATCAAGAAGACATATAGCAGCACAACTGATCTATTTAGATATGAACCATTAATTGAGCTGGTTGCTTCTGAGTTGATCAGTATCAATATTATTGTTGATACATTTATGAATTTCCAATCCACAGTCTACTCCAGCTTTGTGAAGGATTTGCTTTTTAAAGATTTTTCAGATGTTCAAGATTTTGATTATTTAAAGCTAACCTTCCTAAGAACTCAATACAAAAGAGAAAATCCAGATATTGTTTTATTGCTAATTAAAGACTCACTAATGGAATTTGAACAAAAACCAGAAATAATTCATTCAGACTCAGCCGATATAATGAGCAGTTTCTTACCTGAGCAAAGACCTACCCAGTATAGGTTGGAGTTTTTGAAGATCTTTATTCAAAATTTGGTTCGCAATCAAAGTTTAATTGTTAAACTTTTCAATGTCGAAAACCTTGAATCAAAGCAAACATTTTTGGCAGTTTTGAATGACGCTATAACCTCGGAAGGTATTTCAAGTTCAACATCCATCACAAGTGATCTTTCCAACTTGGTTCAATTGATTAAACGTTTGAATGAATTCAACTTGCCAATTTTTCAGTTGTTATTGAAACTTAAAATGGGTCAGATCACGTCAGATTCACAATTTATTGAATTTTTCAGCTCTATTGTACAAAATATGGAAGGCGAGCAACGTTTTATTGGCTCATTATTTGAATTGGTTGATGATAAATTAAAAATTAGTTTTATCCATTATTTGGAATCCTTGTTTTTGACTTCCAAAAATTTTCCTCATATACTAGTTGGAGACACTGAAATGACACTGACGTTCATTTCAGATGTGCTGATAACTTTGTCCAAAAGCTTAGAGAATGTTAAGCTACCAGATGAGCTTGTTTTTTCATTGGATAATTCATTAGAGTCACTATTAAATATCGTGAACAAATCAGAACGTTCATCAGAGTTATATGATGCTATATCATTGTTTTTGAGAATTATCATCATCCATAAGGCCTTCATCATTGATATCATAGTTGAAAGAAATTCAATTAAAGAAACATTCTTGAATAATTTGGTGAATTTATTGACATCAAAGATTATTTCACAAAACCTGCAATTGAAGAACCTTTTGTATGATTTACTTTTGTCCATCAAATCAAGTGTCAATGAAATGAATTCAAATCAAACCAGTAACGTTAAATTACCAATGTCATTGATAAATTTACCAGCTATTTCCCAGGACTCATCATCTATAAAAGAATGTTATTATGAAGATAGATCTAATCTACATGACCATTCTATTATAAAGGATCTATACCTTTATAACAAGAGCTCTCAAACATATCATGAATTGAATGCCAAGGCCTTTGATCTTGTGGAAGATTCAAATCCTGTTGAATCGCTAAATGATACTGCAATCAATTTACAATTGTTTGATGCCTCAATTGAAAGAAAGAACCCAACATGATGTATGAATAATGATATGAATATTTTAATTAGATTCTATTTATATCTATTGTAGTCTCTATATCATCACCGTCCATATGTTGCTTGACTAATTCATTAATTTGATAACGTAAATTCAACTCATCATCATCTGATCCTCCAACCATTTTGATGTTCATAAAGACTGTCAACAATTTAAGATGAACTCTAAATATAATTAAATTAGAGATTGTATAATTTGATTTGAATTGATCCAAATCTTTAATGTCCTTGACTATTGCATTTGAGATTGCATTATAACTCTTCTTGGTATTCGGATAACTTAATAAAATAATACAACCTAAATACCTCACAATTTTCCAGCCAATATAGCAGATCATTACCGAAATGAATAAAGTTGAAGCCTCGTTAATCTTCAAGTCAGAATCAAAACTTGCAACAAATGGATAAACAAATAAATATGCCGAAAAGATCAATGTGATGAAATGTGTTGGGTTGTTAATTATTGTATTCTTCAAAAACGAGAAATTTGTAATCATATTATTAACTCTTTCCTTATTGACAACCATGTTTGAGGACACCAGTGTGACAGTTACCGTTAATAACACAAAAAACTCATACAGAGGTAGGTTTATATCAATTGAATTTGAATTATGATGGTTGTGTCCAGAAGTGTGATCATGGCCTTCTTCATCGTTGAAAAACGAAACCATAAATTCCTCAGCAAAATGACTAATTAGATCACAGCCAACAAATATCAATGAAACCGATAGTGCAAATCCAAATAAAACTTCAACTCTTCCCAATCCAAATGGAAATTTGATTGAACTTTTACTCCAAACATCAAAATTACTCATTATATCAACGAAAACAACAGTCAAACTTCCAAGTGAGTCATAAAATATCAAATGACTTAATGTTGAAAAAGATGAAATTGAGTATTTGAAACCAACCAAAAAAATTATAATTGACGTTAGTAAGTGGAAAAAAGACCAAGCCAATTTTTGTTTCTGTAGAGTATTACAACTTGTGAAAAATTCATTGATAGTGGGTATTGGGAATGAAGCTGGTATCTTTAAGGGCGCTCTAGCTTTTGGTTCCTGAAAAAAATTCATTGAAACAGAGGAGTGTTTATATCTATGACCTTTTCTATGAGATGCCCTAGCATTGTTCAAAGAAGGTGTTGAGAGGTTTGTGGATCTAAAATTGAAAGGTTGGTACCTTCTTGGTGAAGGTGAGCGAGATCTTATTGGTGAAGATGATCTCACTGGTGATTTGTTTCTCATTGGTATTGATGGAGGTGGGACATATTTTAAACTTGATAAAGACGACCTGTTACCTGGAACATTACCACCTGGTATAAGTAAAGATGAGGATGAGTTGTTTCCTTGACTATATAATGAGCCACTGTTATTTGGCTGCATAGGGTATGATTGGTTTTGAGCTGGTGAAAATTGAAGACTGTTTCTTTTGCTTGAGGTGTATGATAAACTTGGGGGTAGTATATCAGAGTATTTTGATGGAGAATCTAAAGAATCAGGCTCCTCCAATTCTGAAATCTTGATCATGGGTGATTGGGTAGGTGTTGAAAACTGGTCATATCTTGATCTAGGTGTGTCTTTAGGGGTCACTGGTGGCTGTAAGGATGGCTTGTTATCAAAAGGATTTGGTTCAGGCATATTGGTAAATGGTAAAAATTCACTTGTCCAAAATCAGTTCCCAGTGAAATTTAGCATCGAGTTGTAACTGGATTTGAATGTAGGCAGTTGCTTCTTCTATATGAGCCTCTAGTGCACTATATTCAGCTAAATTAACACAGTTAATCGGGGTTTTAATTGCCAGTTAGTTGTGTTGTACGTTGTAGCATACGTCAAGGGTTGAAAAGTGAATTCGTGTTTTTCTCAATCGATTTTTCCAGGCCTGTGTATTTCCGGGACTAGGAAGCTCGGTCTGGCCTAAGTCCCTTGAGTCCCTCATTTTCACTGGTAAATACTTGAGTGAGTGAGTTCATCTTTTGATTGAAGATGTCCATATAGGTTTCAGGCTACAAATCATTCTCTTTTTCTTTAGCAATATGATTAATTGTAGAAGAATAGTATACTGTGTACTTCAGTTTATCATGAATTTCTATCACGTGACTAGATCAAAAATTGCGAAAGCTTTTAACGCATTTGGAATTTTCAGAAAAAATGGCGCTTTCTGCAATCCCAAAACGAAGGACCATATCACTTTACAAAACCGTTGAGAACAGGATAGAGCATCAATAAATAACTGCAAAGCACAAGAGATCTATGCTCTGATTTTTCCTAGCTCTATGTCACTGGCTTCTCGTTTCGCTGGAAATGGCAGCTCCAAGGCCACCTGATTCACCTTCCGCTTTGGGACTCTCTTGAAGGCTCGAGATTCCGCTTCCAGTCGGTGTGTCTGGGTGTGTCTAATTCTCAAACGTTCTCTGACTGTTGATATTGAGGATTTAAAAAGATAACAACGATAACTTACTGCTCAGATCAGAGAAAAGTGGAACCACCATGTCACAATGAAGGTGCTGTTTAAGTACTATATAAAGTGCGATGGATGGGGCTTGTTTCAGCATATTAGGTTTGCATCTCTGCAAAGTTCACTATTTAATAGAAAATTATAACTACCAAAACAAACGAAATGACTGTCTCATCAGAATCATATCTTTTACAAGCCACCGTTACAAAGAAAAACTTATTAGTTGTTGGTGGTGAAGGTATCAAAATAAGCGTTGAAAATCCAAATACTGGGGAAATCACCAATGTCATTGATGGTTGTACAGGTGCTGCTGTTGGTTCATTAGGTCACAGAGATCCTGATATCTTGAAGGAAATCACAAAAGCTTCAGAAGAATGTGTCTACTCATTTCCTTTAGCTATGACAAACCACTATGCTGAAGATCTTGCTAAATACTTGGTTGATATTTCTCCAAAAGGTGCTTTTAAGGCTGCAATTTTCACAGGTTCAGGTTCTGAGGCTAACGATAATGCTTTGAAAATCATTTATCAATACCATGTTGAAAGAAAAGATGCCAAAAGAGTCAAGTTTATTTCAAGAAAGTCTTCCTATCACGGATACACTATTGGTTCAATGTCTGTTTCAGGTTCAAGAACTTCTCCATTTGAACCTATTCTACTAGATCAAAAGCAAGTCCCAAAAGTTAGCAACATTTATAGATACCGTGACCAATTGAAAACTGAAACCGAAGAACAATATAAAGATAGATTATTAAAAGAGTTGGAGGACACTTTCATTGAAGCTGGTTCTGATACTGTTGCAGCTTTCATTACCGAAACAGTTTCAGGTTCAACTATTGGTACAGAACCTCCATTACCAGGTTACTTGGAAGGTGCCCGTGAAATTTGTCACAAATACGGTGCTTTGTTCATGTTGGATGAAGTTATGTGTGGTTTATCAAGATGTGGATCCTTACATGCTTGGTTAAAGTATTTACCATTAGATAATGAATCTTCAGGTGCTGTTGGCCCAGATATCCAAAGTATTGGTAAAACTCTTGGTTCTGGTTATGTCACCATTGCAGGTGTTTTGATTTCTCCAAAAGTTAGAGATACAATTGCAAATGGTTCAAATACTATTCCAGGTGCTCAAACATATCATTCTCATGCATTCAACACAAGAATTGCATTGGCTGTCCAAAAGAAAATCAAAGCACAAAATCTAACACACAACATTGAAGAAGTTGGTTCTTATATGGGTGAGCTTTTAAGATCTAAATTAACTCCAGTTTCCAAATATTCTGGTGATGTTAGAGGTACTGGTGGTTTCTGGAGTGTGGAATTTGTAAAAGATAAAACAACTAAGGAAATGTTTACAGTAGAAGATGATTTTGCTCATATTGTTGCAGGTGTTGCCTTCAAAAATGGTTTATCTATTATGGTTGTGTCTGGTGCTGGTGAAATTGGTGATCATATCTCTCTAGCTCCATCTTATATTATTACAAAGAAAGATGCTGAAGATATCGTTGATATCTTAGTGAAATCCATTGTTGAATCTGAAGAAATCTTTGATTCAAAAAAATAGAATGGTTTTTTATAATTTGATGTATACCTATTTATCTACGATTATATATTGATGATTTTCATTAGAATCTTCTTGCTGTAGTTGGGTCAGCTTATGGTAATTGTCACATCCACCAATTTAAATATGTTTAAAAGATATTAGGGCATCACAACCAAAGGTTCTGAATAATTGTCCATTCTCGAGAGAAAACAAATAGTTACAAACACTGGGATTAACTCAAATGATCTATATATTTCTATTCTAATTGAGTATACATAAATTTCAACCTCTAAAGCTTTGATGTTTGTTTCAAGATTTGATTTACAGAATCAACAACTTGTCTCTCTAAAGAAATGAACTCATAGCCACCAACAGCCTTGATAGATTTATCATTATTAAATTTTGGTGTTGGGATTGAAGCTTCATTTTCTGGGTCACCTTTTGCAATATTCAAGTCTTTAAAGTTAGCATTAATTATATCCAAGATTCCTTGAGATGTAAATCTTGAAGCGATTGGGAACAACCTTTGGTTTGAAATATTCTCTTTTTTGATACTTAGCACATGAAAGTTTGCGACATCACGGACATCAACTGCACATAAGGAAGGCTGATCAAATAGATGTGTATCATCTGGAGAGCTTTTCAATAACTGGTTAATGACATTTGCAGAAGTATTCAAAGTGGAGCTTGATGCATCTTCATCAAAGAATTGAGGTCCAAAAATAAAAGGTGGTGTAATTGTCACTAATTTGAAGTTGATCTGTTGAGCATTATCTTTGATAAAATCCCAGGCAGATTTTTCAGCATATTTTTTGGAGGCAACATATGCCAATTGTTCATGATTTACTTGTTCCCATTCTAATGGATTCCAAATATCCTCAGTATGGATCAACTCATGATCACCCATATTATCAATAGCAGCCATTGACGAGGTAATAACAACTTTCTTCACTTGAGATGCAAAGTTCTTTATTGACTTCAAAACGTTCAAAGTACCATTGACAGCTGGTTTCAAATAGACATCATCAAAGCTTCCTTCCAACCCAAATGAAAAAGGAGAGGCCGTATGAAGAACGTAATCTATATCCTTGTGTTCTATGAACAATTTATCAAAGACACCTTCGAGTTGAATATCTGGCACGATTTCAAATTGCAGGTTAGCAACAGCCTCAGGATATTTTGTCTTGAATTGGCTCATCAGCTTTTCAATCTTGCTTTGAGATCTAACAGTACCAATAACAGAGTAACCTTCAGAAAGTAATTGACCTATAATATGAAGAGCCAGGAAGCCTGACGCACCTGTAACTAGCACTTTAGCCATCTTGTATATGATTTATCCGAGCTGTAAGTTGAAGGCGAAATGTTGTGGTATAGTTTCTAGGAATTTTGCAGGTATATATAACTTGTGATTTTGTTTGATTGTTTATTTGGGTAGTATACTGGTTTCAAGATTTCAGGTTGCAACTTCTCTTTTGAGACTTCGATAGCTGAGATTGAATATAACGAGCCTACAAAGGCAGCACCTGCTTAAAGCATCATTGCATAGTAAATCAAATCATTTCCGATTGATATCTCAAAATCACAGTCAAGTCAATTCTGAAGTTTCAGCGCTTTTATCATCAAACTTTCGTAACTGCTGCTTAATCGGATTGTTTTTTCCCACCAATTTTTCTTACCAGTCGTCTGCAGTAGAGTACCATCATTTCTTCAAAACAGCATTTATATGACACATATACGCCCTTTGAAAGTAGCTAAATGAGCTTTAATATCCATCCTAGTTGACTATAATGTAATGGTTCAACTTTAACCACGCTGCAATAAGCAAAAGCCTTGTTTGAATTATTAGCCTGATTACGTAAGCCACGGTATGACATACCGAACAGCAATTTTAAAAATTTCGAAAATCAGCGCAAGTGGTTTAGCGGTAAAATTCAAAGTTGCCATCTTTGAGCCCCCGGTTCGACTCCGGGCTTGCGCATTTTCGCGAATTTTCGCCGATTGTCGCATTTTCCTAGCGCATGTGGTTTAGCGGTAAAATTCATGTTTCCCATACTTGAGCCCCCGGTTCGACTCCGGGCTTGCGCAAAAGTGCTTTTTTTTTGCCAATAGTTGTCGTTATTTTGAATGTAGAGCATCTCAGCACTTTCTAATGTCTTTTTTAATCATTCTGGCATCTTTAATTTGTCTTGAATCAAGTTTTTGGGTTGTTTTTTCGATTTGCTTTTTGTACCCTGATGTAATTTTTCAGTCTGGTCGTGGGACTAGATCCGACCGCCTGTGTGCAAACTAGTGCAGGAGCAGTGATAGATTCACGTGTAATCTGACAGACCCTCAGTTTTGGGCCTTTCAAATTACCAGCTACCTGAGTTCTAAGAAAAATGTCTCTCTGGATAGATGCTTTGATACAAGATACAAGATACAAGCACGTATCACTAGAAAGAATGACAGAACATGTGAAGAAGTTGTTTCAGCTACCAAATACAAGATGAGAAGTATTCAACAAAAGACGTATGGTTTTAGAGGTGAATAGAGAGGAGCAAGAGGTTTTGAAGGGGTTTAATTAAGGGTGTGTTGTTAAGATGCCAGGATAGATATATATATGGTTGAGGACAAATTCAACATCAACAGGGTGTTACAATGATAAATTATATCCCTCTCATGTATTATGAAATCTTAAGTTGATTGATGATTTGACGCTTAGAGACGCGGTCTTTTTGGAAACCTATTATTTTAAGAAACCAATTACTAGAAATCTAGTGGTCGTTTTAATTATTAATGAGAAATGTAAATTTGGAAATTGAACTTAATGGAAGTAATTGTATAATTAGAAAAGATTAGAAATATAAGAACGTACCCTGAAAAAGAAAAAATACCTAACTTTATGGTTACACCGCTTCATGTAGATACTTTAGGTCCCAGCTATTCTTCATGAACCGTTCTTTCATCTGGAGCTAAAGCTGCAGTACCAGAATCATGTGAACATGAATCCTTGTTGTCTACTGCAAAGATACAAGCTCTTCCACTGCATACCTAAAGATATTACTTAGTACATCACTGGTCTCTCTCTGTTTTATAATTCACAACAGACTCAACCGGCTCAGTGTCAACAAAAAATTGGATCATTAACCATTATAACAAGATTGGATATTCCTGAAAAATACATATCTAAAAACCAGAATACAGTGGAAAATTGGAGATCTTTTTGGAAAAAATTGAATATTTATGCAGGTCAAACTCAAAATCCTGCAGGTTTATTTGAATTTTTACATTAGGTCATTATCAACATAAATTTCAACATCATCCACCAGATTCAAAATGTCCTAATTAATTTAAGCATTAATTTATGCGAAGAACGGCCTGAAACCTCTTGACCCTGAGACTCTTCAGCAGCAGAAGCAGTAGAAGTGACAGTAGTATCACGTGGACGTGGATGATTGATATCTGAAATGGCTGGAGTAGTTCCAGCTCTTCTTGAATTAGATGTACTTCTCGTTGACATAGTTAGATCTTACAGATATTTAGTGTATCTCTGGTCCTTCAGACTATTGCAAGATTGATACTTCACCACAGACGACCTCAGTTCTCAAAACTGGCATAAGCCTGTATTCTTATACACTTCCTGAGCAGAAAATATCATCTTCACTAATCATCTCAATAATCTTCTCGTATGAGTACTTATCACCAACACTATACAATTAGTCTCATACTACCTGTCAAAGTATATATATAACACAATGACGTTGCTTATGTGGAACAAACATGCAATTAAAAGTTTTGATCACATTTTTACGTCTGATCAATGTCCAGTTTCACAACAGATTTGGTATGAATTAGACAATGCTGGTGATCAATTATTTTTTGAAAAACTTTTTCTACGACGTCATCTAACCTCAACTCCACAAGAATATTGGACAAAAGATCAATTTATTGAAAATATATTAGTTTGGAATATTTTGAGGTTATACAAATATTTAAAACTAGAAGATATATATTAATACCTGCATTAATATTAATAATTAGAATATTTCAACTAGACCAGCAGTTTAATTAAATATTATTTCATGACATGGTCTCTTGATCTTATATCGATCGACCCCAGTGATTTTGGACATTATTTTAGCATTTTCATCCAGCATTCATGCTCAGCTCCTTTAAGCTAGTGGTTCAGTTACAGCTTAGAATCAACTAATTAATTAACAAACCATTAGGACTTCACCAACTAGAAAAGTATTAGGAATATCTTGGTGATTTTCACAAATTTTACAATTGCTCCAATTATAACAATGGCCAGCTTTTTTAGTTCATTCTTACGTCTAAAATAATCACTGGTACCGAGAAGGAGATTTTTTTGTATGGGACTCGATCGTCAACTTTTGTTAAGAGTGCCCGACCTAAAACTGAGATTCTATCTCCTTTTTGAACACGGCCAGCACGGTCTCCCAGTGGAATAGTCGCGGCCTGGGCCAGCGACTCAAGGCTCAGGCCCCGAACCTCAGGTCGCCTACGTTCATGCACAACAAAAAAAAGAAACCAACACCTTGCATGCTGCAGCCTTCCAGAGCCCTATAAATAGATTCAATAGGTCACATGCCAATACACGTGATACATCGGATAACGGGCTGGGTCGGCTCAAAAGCTTCGGCAATCGGCTTCAATCCTGATCCCATTGATAAATCTCAAATCGAAATCCGATAAATTCGTTATTAAAACCGCTAAAATACAGTTGATAAAATTGATCGCGAATTGATTCTGTATTCAAAATCAACATGCCCATTATAATGAATATAGTGGGTGTCGACCTATACTAAACACTAAACTATATAACCAAACCAAAACACAGGGTAACTCACTTTTAGTTTAGCAGAAACCTTTAATATCGTTGAAATGAACTGGGAATGTGACGGGACAGTTGAAATACAGCGCGTTCATGTGCTTTCAAAGTGACACTGTTCCATGTTGTTTAAATCCAATAACAGGACATTTCCAACTCCTGACGCGTCTCAGCAAAAACTAAAAGCCACTGAAAAACAAAAAGAACAACAAACACCACCCAACAGATCCAAAACAACGAGCTGACTTGAACACCATCAATCAAAACAAACACGAACAATAACCACCACCATCCAGGTCCTGTAGAGCCATTACCAGTAGCATGCAACTTCAAAAGAGGTTAGTGAATAATTCCATAGTACTTAATATATTGTAAGCAATACTTATCTTCTTTATAGGCTCTCTTATATGAGAATTGTTATGGGAAAAGGTTTCTGGTAGTGAATAAAAAGATGAAAAGAAGAGAAGAAGAAAACTGGGAAAACCTGTCCTTTTATATTTTTCTGAATTGGTGTAGGCTGATCAGAAATTGCAAAGATTCCGTTTTACAAAGTTATTGGCTCATGTATGTCTTTGCATTTCGGACAAGGTTGTTTTGAAGTTGATCGCGTTGTTTATAGCGTGAGCACCATGACAACGGACTTACATGGATTTGGGCATATCGGTCAGGGCACACCAAAATAAATAGAAATAATAATAAACAGTTATTCAGTAAATACCAAGGGCTGAATTTAATACAAATCTCTTCGAAATTTAATTCTCTTTCTAATGAATATAATTTCATGTATTAATTCGAAGTTTTTTTTTGTTGTTGTTTTTTATCTCATTTTTGAAGTAAAAATAAAAATATGTACGTTGTCTTTATTTTGTAATTTTTCAAAAATAAGAACAAAACTACAACCAGAAAAGATAGCAACACAAGAGTAGATCCATTAAAAACTTCAGGAAATTCTGAGTATAATGATATGTTTTTGGGAACTACAAGTTAAGCATGGGTTATGTTATTCAAAAATTTAAATTTCTACCAAATTTTTACACAAATACACTGTATAGATTCTCATCAACTTTCAGAAAGCCCAAATATGGCCATGCAGGAAAACTAGTAACGCTTTTTAGAATTTTTTTTACTACTATGTGAGTTAGATCGAAACCACATGTTGTAACAGGCTATGTGTTGTCTTGTTGTGTTTTTTTTTTGTCGACGTCCATGCAAGTTTAAAGCAAAACGCGATAACTTTTACGCGTCTGATTCCCAAAGTAGATGGCTCTTGATCCCAATTCAGACTTACCCATTGATTCTGCCAATTCCAAGAGGCCCTAAATGTTTCTTTTTGCACAACAATACAGATAGGTTTCAAGATAGAAATATCCATCCAATACCTTTCTTTAAAGTATTATAACCATGCATGAGGCTCATCCCTTTGATGAAGAATGTGGTCAGATACTATTGTTCATAGAGTTTAATAGTGGTAGGTTCATTCCTAGGTTGTAGTGTCTAATGGCCTCCATAGTTAAGAAGAGACCATGAGGGCTTCAAGTCTTTATTTCAAATACTTCATATTATTCTAATGATATTTTGTATGGTAATGCTACATAGTGCTCAAGACTTTAGTCGTGCCATAGTCGCTGGTAACTAATCACTAGCCAGTTTTTCTTTTTTACAAGCCAATGAACTCGCCAACCTACCTAGGTAGTACTGGGACAGTTTGTGGAGTGAAACAATGTAATCAGCCAGTTTTTGAAGCTTTGAAAGCTTGTCGTAGGATGTTTTAATGAACGCGTCCTGAAAGGCCCTTGAGGGTGGTGGAGTCTGGTTTTCGTAGGCAGGGAATGCTAGGTGGGTGGGCGGCCGCCTAAAATAATTCCCAGACAGAAGGGTGGCGGGCGCTAGGCGGAAGATTTTGGCTGGGAGTTTGACCTTCGGTAGATAGTAAGACTGACGAATAGATCTAATAAACGTTTTGAGGCAACTGGTCCCCAAACTTCTTCCAGCTAGTATTATCACCTGAAATATCACATATATTCAATAAAAATCACTAGTTGTTTAACAAAGTTTGCCATTTATTAGTGTTTCTAGTTTGGTATTGGAGGACCTTTCAGAATCTACTGGTCAGTGCAACACAAAATCGTTCGCGAACTTGTTTTTCATTTTTTTTGTATGGGGATTTTTTGTTTTTCAAAAAAAAATCTCGTTCTCGGTACCAGTGAATATTTAATATATTATAATTATAATTCTGATTTATCCGGCCTTTAATTATAATTATAATTATAAATCAGTCAATATAGTCGCGGACTAGTGTCGAGTGATCCGGCCCAGTGATTTAATTGTACAATATTAAATATATTAATTTACTAGTCTGCATGCATGGCTGCATGATTTTGATTAATTTAATATTATATTGATCCTAATTTATTATTGGATTCTTACGTCATCAGGCAGGCGCAAGTATAACTAAAGACAATATTTAGATGCTTATCTGAATCTTTTATTGGTAGTAAGATGTTTGAAAGCTTTAACTAGTTGCAATAATCAGGTGACTTTCACGTGACGCCTAGTTGAGAGTCTAGCAAACAAAGGTACTTAAAAATTTCAAATTAGGCAACTTGGCCGAGTGGTTAAGGCGAAAGATTAGAAATCTTTTGGGTTTACCCGCGCAGGTTCGAATCCTGCAGTTGTCGTAATTTGACCATAATTTTTTTTCATCCCCGTTTCAGCTTCTTTTTGAAAACGATTGATGACCTTAAGCAATCAATAACTGGAAGTTTAGTGGTATGTCTTGATTGTTCAATAGTTGTGAGTTGATATCTGGAAATTGAATTTACGCGTCGAAGTTATATAGAAGAAAATCAGATCGTGAAAAAAAAAGAACTAATCTGCACGCGCAGTTTAAAAAAACATTAATATTTTTAATGGGAGGTCCATGAGCTACTTTTAAAATATAATTATTCATTAATTATGAGCTAGTTGAACGTAATACTGCAATATATAAGTTAGCTCTATTGATTTTTGCATTATTTGTTTAATATAGTTATCAGACAAAGGTTCGGTCCAATAAGTATTCATCTTTGCTCAACAACATAGAAGTAAAGGGAAACGTAACCCAATACCAAAAAAAGCAAATTCCATAAACCCAAAGAGATAACATCTTTCACTAATCCACCTACATTGAATCCAAATGTACTCAAAATAGTAGCTCCAGGTATCTCTATCGATAATCCATACTTCTTTTCTCTCAAAATTAACGTTTTGACCTCATTGACAGCCAATGCCTCATAGCCATAATGGAACATACTCAGATATTGGAGAAATCCAAATTTGAGACTATCTCTATTTATGAACAAGCCTGAAAATAACAAAGAGAATAACAAAGTTAAGACACCAATCATGGTAGCATTGCTTGAATCTTTCACCAAAATACCTATAATTAATATTTCGATGGAAACTGTTAAATTGAACAACACCAAAATTAAAAGACACTTGATGAATCCATTATTTTCGAGGTTTAAACCAATCAATGGGTAAGCTATACTTGTTAAGAGTATAGGAGGGAAAATTCTCAATGGTAGCACATCACAAATAATTTTACTAATGTAATAACTCAAGGGATGATAATAGTTGTTTGACCGCTCCTTCAAAAAAATGATTCTCTCTATTGAAAAAGAGTGTAATCCTGTAAGTGTTGAAAACCCAAAAAATGACAAAAAGAAGAAAAACAAACCCAGTCTATTTTGAAACCCACTAATATCATTATCAACGTTGTAGTACAAAAACCCACAGAAAAATCCCATGAAAACAGACAGAATATATGAACCTAGCAATAATTTTGGGTTCCTGTAAAGATTCTTGAATGTTCTTGATGATAAAATGATAAATTGATTTAGGAAGCTTGCCTTTTGATAGTTCCCTTTGAAGACAATTTCGGACGAGTTCACTTTAGCATTTTCAATTTCATCTTTCAGCATTTCAAAGTTTTGTGAGTTTTGGAACATATCATAAATTTTAGTATCAACTCTGACTTCTTCTGGATGGTTTTTCACAGCTTTGTTGAATCCTGCATCATCTCTATGAAGGGCAAAATGTTCCCATTCTCTTTGAGTATCACTTGTGCTACTTGACCTTCTTGGAATATGGATATCTTGGTCGTCTCCATAATCAGCGTTTTCTTCATCGATACCTGCAACTTGAAATTGGTTTGGTCTTCCAATACTGTGTTTCTCACTGAATGTAATATCAATCAGATAGTCTGCAATATTGTATCCCTTAGGGCATTTGTAACCATTGTTGTAAAAAAAATCATTACATTGAATCATTTCCCCTGAGTAAATCAGTTCACCATTAGCAAGTAACACCAACTTGTCAAATAAAGAGACAATATTAGATCTAGGCTGATGAATAGTGAACACCAAAGTTCTGTGGTAGTGTCTAGATAGTCTAACAAGGCATTCGATAACATTGCTTGCATTATTTGCATCTAGCCCTGAAGTTGGCTCATCAAGAAACAAGATAGAAGGTGAAGTTACCAACTCACAAGCAATGGAAACTCTTCTCTTTTCACCACCAGAGATACCTCTTTCAAAATCTGAGCCAATGGTTCTATCCTTTATATTCAAAATTCTCAGTTCTCTCAAAACCTCATAAACTTTACGCTCTTTAGCTTTGAAACTCATATTTCTTGGTAGTCTAAGTAAGGCACTGTTCAAAACAGTCTCATAAACGGTTAAAGTTGGAAGTAAATAGTCTTCCTGGTCAACAAATCCAATAATTTTCCTCAAGTCATGTCTAGACACTGAGTTTCCATTCACCTTAATGTCACCAGTTACAACACCATTTTTATTCTTTTGAGCTAAAATATCTAGTAATGTAGTTTTACCTGCACCGGAACCACCCATTATGGCTAACATCTCACCTGGTTTAACTATACCAGTGACCTTATTTAAGATTGCTTTTGATCCGACAGAGTACGACACATCTTCAAAAGTTAAAGTTACTGGAGTATAGTTTAGCAAGCTATCTTGGTCATCTTCATCTGAATAATCATCTAGTGAAATTTGAGCTCCAGAAAATAGAGGAGATTTTCTAATTGTCAAAACGGCTCCAACAAGAACAGCAACAACACCAATAATGACTGCCACAACATTGAACAAACTTTTTAATGTAAATTTTGGTTTCTTTGGAATATCGTAACCTGGGATTTCACTATAATGAATGCACTCACCAGAATCACAATGTAGCGTAATATAAGAGTCCCCAAAAACAGATAATATCAGATCATCCATACTTGGCTCGGAAAATTTGCAATTTCGTTTATCTAAATCACATGAAAAATCCCCAGGACCTTTAATTGTTTCTGTTAAAAAATCTGAAATATCAATTGAGCCTGATTCACCACAGAGCATTCTTCCAGGAACACATTTACATGAAACATCTTTACATTTGTAATGAGAAGCATTCGATTTCAAATCAAACTGGTAATCACAAGTTGAAAGATCACAGTAAAAACTTTCCTTTTCAGCAATCCAAAATTGAAAATTACAGGTAGATTCCTTTTTATCACAGCTGAAAGTAACTTGTGGTTTCTTCCCATTCAAAATCTCAACAATCTTTTTGTTGGTGACATCACACATTTGATGAAATTTATTAACAAGCATACCATTTTTATAACATGTACCAGACAATCCTTCAGGCATAAATTTATCACAAACTGAATCTTCTTTGCACACATTACAGTTGATACCACTCCATCCATCATCACAATCACAACTATCACCATCTCTTATAGGCCTGTTGCTATCTTTTGTCAAGGATCCACATAGTGGCTCAGAACAATCTTGTCCACCAAACCCATCAATACATTCACATTGTCCATTGAATTCATTACACTTGGAAAACTGCTTACATTCAAATGCCGGAAGCATACAATTGAAACAGGGTGGACATTTATCGTCTTCTGTGTTTGAGCTCATTTTGACAGAGCTTGCCATCAAAGAAGCTTCAACATTTTTGCCATCCAGAAATGACTCTTGAGCTAGACAAGGTACCAGAAACAGTGGTATAAATAGTTTATAAAGCCTCATAGCTAGTCAAAAGTATTTGGCGTGCTCTTTTGAATGTGTTTCTTTCTATCTTTGTTGCGATGGCTCCCCCTTTTCAAGTCTTCTATTAAGATGGCAATTCCCAGTAATTGAATATTTGTTGACGGAATTAATGAATGGAGAGAGCAATTTCTAAAGCTTTTCTATGCTTAAACCAAGTCTCTAGTTGTGAGAACGTCAAGATTGTGCTGACCTTTTTTTGCACTTGATGTGCTCGAGGGTTTGGCTTCTCGATAAGATAAAATTCCTTCGAGGAAAATCGCACGTGGTGTTTGGATGTACTACATCCCTAAAGCAAGAATTTGTTTATTCAGCAGATTGTTTGATTTCTGGGACTTCCAGGTATTCGAGAATATAGGCCGTTAAAAGCATATTCCATCTCTGTATCGCTTGCAAATCAACATGATTGAAATCATCGTCTATTGTGTGCCATTGTTTTGGGAAAACATCGGGAATCAAATGAAGGACGGGCACCCCAGCTTTCCAAAAAGGTATGTGATCATCTTCAATGAATCCATTATTTTCCCTCTTGAAATTCTCTGCTGGTGGTGCTAGGAATTTATTTTGATAACTTTGACTTGTTGATTGGCTGGTGTCAAAAAGTGATGGGAAAAAATGGATCAATTTATTTTCAAGCAAGGAAAGATCATTGTAATTGTCATGAGTAGCTGAGAAATAACTTGGTACGTAATTGACATCAGGAGCACCTAGAAGATCTAGCAATAAGAATAACTCTATCTGGTTAATGATGGATTGACCTTTCCATTTAGAAAAAAGATGACGAGCACCGTAAATTGAATCTTCTGGAGACCATCTTTCAATTGCCTCTTCACCATCAAAAAACACAAACTTGATACCAATATTCATGTCGTAAGCAAAGTCTTGGAAAATATCATCGATAGATTGGGATATTGATTCTGCTAAATCTAGCAAAATTCCACAAGACACCGCACTGTCTATGGCACCGATGAATCCTTTTGGTTGAATAAGAGAATCATAATGAGCTGCGATAACAATATATTTGGTCGATTTATCCGTATTTGTTGAGTAGACAGGGTCTTTCGAAAAGACAAGGTTTGTAAAATTGTATCCATTCTCTTGAAAGTTATCGAGCTCCACTTCCCAGGGTATTCCACCATCCGTTGCTTCATCCAGTGTTTGGAAGTGGTTTGTAATGTAATTTTGAACTTCAATCGATTCTTTAGACCCCGGAACCCTTGTTTTGTTCAAATGCATGAAGTGATTGAGATTGTCTGTAGAGTTTAAATTCAGTCTATTTGTTGAAAGTTTGTGCAGGTTCTTCAAACTGAACGAGTCCAGCTCGTTGTAGGCATCAATCAGTTGCACCAGAACGCACAAGCCCACAAGAAAGAAAAGCTGCATATTTAGTAAAGGATCCTGGCCGAAAGTTCAAGTACAATCAACAATACGCAGTCGTGGTTATCAAAACAATGGCCGGTTTTTTCCAAGGGTCTTTAACTCATATCTTCTAGGCCGCGAATTTCCATAACCCAGGACGCATTCGCGAAAGCTTTTCTACATGTTTTGATTTTTGGAATTTTGTCCTTTCAAACTAAGAATGCCAGTATACTAAGCTCAATCAACCTCTGGATTTTAGCAAAAAAAGACTGAGGAGCTTGGGAATACTTTTGAGAGCTCATGGATGGTGAAATATTGCCTGAGGACGTACTGGGCGGGCACCTCATGTCGTTTCCTACAGACCAGGATTCAAACGAGTCAGATGGAACAGGAAGAGAGCCAGTGAGACATAACTCATCAAATCATCATAATGATAGTGAATCAAGCAAAAGAATCAATCAGAACATGTACATGAATTTGAATAACCCAGCCATAGAAGACGAGAGATTGCTTGAAATACCGCCTTCAATTCAGCAATCAGAGGCAACATCACTGAATTCATCAATCAAGTCATCGGTACCATCCATAATAACAAATGCATCTTTGAAAACTCAAGGTGGTGCTAAAAAAACCGTGAACACAGGGTCTGGTGGACTGCGGCTAAGCACATTTGATACTTCTTCAAGTGTTCCCAACATATCAAGTACAGTTCATGTTGTGCAGCAAAATGCTTCAAGACCCCCATCAATCATTAATAGCTCAAGAAGCGTGGTGCCAAATAGAAATCCAATCAATTTCTCAAACCCTGACTTAGAACATCGGAGCATGCCAATTGCTATAAATCGTCACAACCATGCAACCTCACACCATAGATATGATGATGATAATGCTTCTCAAATTAGTGCATCCTCTCTTGCAACATCATTTTCGAAAAGTTTTTTGTTTGGGTTTTTGAACAACAAAAAGAAGGATGCCTTGAAATCAGGAGGCTTGATCTCCAAAGAGTATTGGATGAAAGATGAAACATCAACAGAATGCTTCAGCTGTGGTCGCTTGTTTACAACATTCAGAAGAAAACACCATTGCAGAATATGTGGTCAAATATTTTGCAGTAATTGTACTATGTTAATATCTGGTGAAAAATTCAATCATAGTGGGAAAATGAGAGTTTGTAAAACATGTTTGAGTTTCGCGACAGAATATAATGATTCAAGTGATGAATCGTCAATCATGGAAGAAAGCTACATTGAGCCTTCGCATAGTCATGAAAATAATATTGATCAGGATAGCATACTTCCCAGTACACCAATTGAAGAGAACAGTCTACCATTTGTTGCAGCGCCTACTCCACCACCTCGGATGGCAATTCCAGCTACAAGGAAAGGGGAATCCGTTGAAATTCCTGTATCAAGATCTTTCAATTCAAGAATTTCATCTATCCATACTACCAATTTTGGCAGAAGAAAAAATTTGGAAAGGAAACCAACATATCACGCTTCATCACAAAGAAACTTACAAGACGGTCATAATAACAATAACAATCATAATAATATTAATGCTCACAACGGTAATGGGAATACCTCAATGCTCTTCAGAAGTAATACTGAAACTTCATTTGCAGACTATGTCAATTCTCATAACTCCAATAGTACCTTCAACTTCAGTAATCATGATGATGATACTGAAAATAATCGAGACTCACCATCAATAGATCATCAATACTCAGATTCTGAGGATGAAGGTTCCATGTCATTATATGCTGCTTTACACTTGGACAAGTCAGATATCCCTGAACAATCAAGAGTTGATACAAGAACAAAATTGACCAGAAGTAACACCAGATCATTGGACAGAGCACAAGCTTCCCTATTAAGAATGAAAAATAGAAGAAAAAGTAAAAGTGTGTCGCGTCCTGCTAATAATTTGACACAATCATTTTTCAAATTGAACGATCCTGAAAGCTACACAGCAATCAACCAAAGCTCACCAGATGTATCAAATTCGGTTAGTTTTATCACATCAAGGGAACAGAATGTGTCTAAACACTCTTCTGAATTGAACGATGTATGTGCACTCCATCTGAAAAATCTTTTACACCAAGGACTAGCAGACTGTGGCGTGCCAAATGTCAAAGAATGGGAAAATACACTAATACCAATATTGAGAACTATTGAAACAGTCGAATATAACGTTAGAGGTGGTGATAATTTGGATATCAGGCAATACATCAAATTGAAAAGACTTGCTGGGGGTAAATTGAAGGATTCAGAATCAATTAATGGTGTTGTGTTTTCCAAAACTTTTGCATTGAAGACTATGCCTAGGCATATATTGAATCCACGTATAGCATTGATTATGTTCCCATTGGAGTATATGAAAACTGAACAGCACTTCATGAGTTTAGAGCCTGTTTTAGCTCAAGAAAAAGAATACTTGAATAAATTGGTTGGTCGGATAGTCGCTTTGAATCCAGATGTTGTTTTTGTTGGTGCAAGTGTGAGCGGTCTGGCTCTACAGCTGTTGGATGAAGCTGGAATAGCAGTTGCTAGCAATATGAAACCACAAGTTATTGAAAGGATTGCTAGAATGACACAGGCTGATATAGTTATATCCATGGATAAATTGGCATTGAACTTGAAACTTGGCACATGTGAATCATTAGATGTCAAAACTTTTGCTTTCAAGAATACCACAAAGACGTTTATGTTTTTAACAGGATGCGATCATCGGTTGGGTTGTACCATAATTATTCGAGGTGGTGACGGTGAACTGTTGAGAAAGATCAAGGATACAACTGAGTTTATGGTTTATGGTTTGTCGAATTTGAAACTGGAAACTGCCCTTTACAGAGACAACTTTATTTATCTTTCTCAAGATTTTTACAATAGGTTGATTAATGAAGTTCCTGATACTGATGGTAATTTTGGGGTAGAATTTTTGAATACTATGAACAAGAGACTACTATCAACATCCCCGACCGTTAAATTTGACCCCCCTTTTTTGTTGCTGCAGGCAAGACAAATAGAGCACAAATTAGATAACGCTAAATCAGAATATGATAGGGTCAAAAACTTAAAAGTCGCTTCAGAGTTCCATTTAGCTGATTTAAATATAGATCTGGGTGCATATAAAGTATCAAATTCAGACTTATTGAGAACTTTCAAATATGTTTCTCATAAAAAGGTTGAGTTCCTTGAAGAGAGTTTTAGTATCAGAGCTAGACAATGGGATCTTTTCAGCTCTTTTGCCCCTGATTTATTAGATCCTGCAAGGCATCAAAACATTGTTTTCCTTTACTCCATGGTATCAACTAAGACTGCAACACCATGTATTGGTCCACATCCTTTACAAATTGATTTTTATTGGGACAATGATATGACACTTGGGCAGTATGTTGAGCACCTGATTTATTCTGCAGGTATAAGCTGTTCAGAAGGTTGTGGTGGCTCACTGCAAGAACATTATAGAAGTTATGTTCATGGGAATGGCAAAGTTGATGTAATGGTGGAAAAGTTTCAATCCAGAATTCCTACCCTGCAAAATGTTATTTTAACTTGGAGTTACTGTAAGCAGTGTGGTCATACTTCACCATTTTTACCTATGAGTGAAACAACCTGGAAATTCTCATTTGGTAAATACTTGGAATTGTTGTTTTGGAGTAAGAAAAACTCATCAACGAATCTTGGTAATTGTTCACATGATTTTGCAAAAGACCATATCAAATATTTCAGCTTGAATGATTTAACTGTGAGAATGGAATATTCAACAGTGGATTTATTGGAACTAATTGTACCAAGAACTAAAGCTTCTTGGAAACCTGATATTGATATCAAATTGAAAGTTGAATTACATGCACTTATTCAAGAGAAATCTAAAAATTTTTTTAATAGTATCCTTGCAAGGTTGAATAGAGTGAAAGTTGATAGTATTTCAAATGATAAAATGGAAGGTGGTCATAAAAGGATTGAAGAGTTAAAGAACAAAGTCACACAACAGCAAGATGAAGTTACTCGTATGATTTCAGAAATCTACAATAAAACTGAGGTTGTTGAACACTTACATTTGAATTCTGTTTTAAGATTTGTGCAAGATTTGAGTGTTGAATGGGATTTGGAATTCGCTGAATTTGAGGATAAATTTTTACCTTCTGAAAAAGATATTGCAAGGATTACTGCGCTCCAATTGAAAAGATTTTTCATGGATGGTTCTGATGAAAAGCCTACAGTGACAGCTGCTACTACAGCCTCTGATCAAATAAAAGCTGTTCCAGATGAAATGACAGGACCACTGTTGGAAGATAGCGAGGAATCAGGTGCTGAGGAAGAAAAGGCACAAGAGATCTCAAAAGATGATGTCGCGTCTACACATAATGATCAAACATCAGATGCTCAATTGATTGAAAAACCTAAAGGTTTTAGAACAAGATCAGATAGCTCATTATTACCCCAAGCAAGCTCCCTGGGCACTAAAAATAGCCCAAAACAAGGAAAAGTGCAAGAAAAAGTTCATATAATGGAAAAGCTGCTAAACGAACAGGATCCTAGACGTGTTTTATCCACTGGAAGCTCTGAGGTTCAAAAATTGAAGTCGTCTAATACATCTATCGGAAATCATATGAAATCATTGTCTAGTGCATCAGTTGGTACAAATCAAACTTTGAATACACCATCAAAAAAGGATAAAGGTAAGTCAAGTTCTTTTAGCTTGGAAGGAGAAGGAGGATCAAATTCACAGCTGCACACACCAGTCTATGAAAAAAAATCCTTCTTGTCGGCTTCTGCTTCACCAACAAAGAGTGAGTTTCCCAAATCAATTAAATCTAAATTTGGTATTAGTGCCAAAGATCTTGAAGTTCAGTTAAAAGAGGGTCGTCAGAAAAGTATTAGCAGCAACTCTAGTTTAAAAGTGCTGGTGATCAATATGGAAAAGCTGAGGATAGTAGAGTTTCAAAATTAACCAATTATTTTGATCAAATTCACTTTGAAACATTATCTAGGGAGTTTGAAATGCAACGTGAAAAGGAAAGGCTGAAACTGATTCAAAATAGATACAAAGCAGCACCTGTTGCATCTTCTAAGCCAATTGTTGAGATTTATAAGAATGTTAGAGATGCTGTTGAAGAAGAAGATCATTCCGGTGCAGAACAACAAGAAAATGAAGAATTTGGTAACACAAAGAAGCTTGAGAAATTTGAAAGAGATATAAACAATAAGAAGAATGTCTTAGAAGATGGTATTAAAGAGGAAAATTTGAAGACTGAAATTCCACAAACTGAACGGGTTTCACTAATGAAAACTTTGGCAAATTTTTGGGCTGATAGATCAGCAACTTTATGGAAACCGTTAGAATATCCCTTAGCTTCCACAGAGCATATTTTTGTTGATTCAGATGTTATTGTTCGAGAGGATGAACCAAGCTCTTTGATTGCCTTTTGTTTGAGCTCTTCGGATTATGTTCAAAAGATTAGATTCATTAGAGAAAATAAGGTTAAGGAAGAGGAGGAAGATATTAATAAAGATGAACACAAAGAAACTGATGCTGATGAAAATGAAAAGCCTGAAGAAGATAATCTCACTTATAAACTGAAGCAAGAGATAAAGGGTAATGACTATAGTGATTTAGAAAGTATCATGTTGAAGAAAACAGCAGTTCATTTGAAGTACCAATTTCAAGAAGGAGGAACATTATTATCTTGCAAGATTTTTTTTGCTGAACAATTTGATGCATTCCGTCGTAAATGTGGCTTAGATGACAATTTTGTTCAAAGTTTATCAAGATGTATCAAATGGGATTCAGCAGGTGGTAAAAGTGGATCTGCATTTCTGAAAACATTAGATGATAGACTAGTCATCAAAGAATTATCTAATGCGGAATTGGATTCATTTGTTAAATTTGCTCCAAGTTATTTTGAATATATGGCACAAGCCCTATTCCATGATTTACCCACAGTTATTGCCAAAATTTTTGGGTTTTATCAGATTCAAATTAAGAATCCAATCAATGGAAAAAATTTCAAGATGGATGTTTTGATCATGGAGAATTTATTTTATGATAGAAAGACATCAAGAATCTTTGATTTAAAAGGTTCTATGAGAAATAGACATGTTGAAAAAACTGGTAAGGAGAATGAAGTGTTGTTGGATGAAAATATGGTTGAGTACATTTATGAGAGTCCGTTATTTGTTCGAGAATATGATAAGAAGTTATTGAGAGCTTCTTTATGGAATGATACGTTATTTTTAGCAAAGATGAATGTGATGGACTATTCTTTGGTGATTGGTATTGATGAGGAGAATAAAAATTTGACAGTCGGTATAATTGATTGTATCAGAACCTTCACATGGGATAAGAAATTAGAAAGTTGGGTTAAAGAAAAGGGTCTTGTTGGAGGAGGTACTAAAGAGCCTACAGTTGTGACCCCAAGACAGTACAAGAACCGTTTCCGTGAGGCGATGGATCGGTACATTCTTATAGTTCCAGACTGTTGGTATCAAGGGAGCAATACCCATGGATGATTGTAAATGTATGTATGTAATGAAGTTATGTTAAAAGCTTATGTGTAGTGTGTCTCCTACCGTCGCACTATACTCTTCTATTTATAGAATCTGGACGAGGCTTGTGGTGTCTGGGTGTCCAGAGATAAGCGAATTGGTTTTTACAGCCTTGGATAGAGACAAACAGATTCCAGAAGCTAAAAAAACATCAATCAGCAAGTTCAACAGAAAACTAAACCCTGAGCCATATACACTCTTGGAATTGACCTTTACTATACACTTCCAACAAACTGCTAAGAAGCCGCTGTTCTTGCTAACTATATTATCCACAATATCAGCTGTCATTATAAGTCCAGCCTCAGCGCTCCTGCCAAATCAATCCACGCCTCAACTTTTGTTTCAAGCGCGTTCAGAATATCAAAAGGATCAAATCAACTGAGGCGCTAGCAACAACAACAACAACAACAACAACAACAACAACAACAACGTTCTCGCTTTTGAACTGAAAAAACAATCGCTACAAATCCCAAACAAGGCGCTATTCTGCTCAACTATAAATCAGAATTTATCTGTCTGCTGCTGATTTCTTTAAATTTGCTGCTTTCCTCCTGATTTTCTCAAGTGCAAATTATTTTCTGTTTGATCGCGATCAGACTGGGACGAGAAAAAAAAATAAAAAACACAAATCACCATAGAAACTCAACATTCTAGTTTTTTTTTTTACAAAAGGCTGTTGATCTCTGTTGGTTTACAAAAGAGAAAAATAGAGAAAATTTACAACTGTACTAGACTACACTAGAGAAGGTTCATCAAATATTCCTTCGTTTTTTCATTATAGATCACTAGATAATTTTTAGACTAGACATTATGGGTCTTGTTTTTGGATGCTCCACCGTTGTGGTAGTCATTAATGCTATTGCTTTGGCGTTCTTGATCTTAGCAACAATCACCGCTCCTGTTGTTTCAATGTTGGGTTTGGCTGAAGCTGATAATGTCAAGTATGGTGTTTTCGGTTATTGTTCAAGCTCAGGTTCAAATTGTTCAGATGCAACTTTCCCTTACAAAGTTACTTCATTATCCCCAAACACAAATGATTGGAAAATGGATGACAGTGCAAGAGATACACTTGCTAAGATCTTGATTGTTACACCTATTGCTGCTGGGTTGACTCTGTTTTCATTTATTTTCAACTTATTTGCTCATTTCAAAGCTTTCGGTTCTTCATTGGCATTCTATTTGATTGGTTTTTTCTTCACTTTATTAGCATTTTTTGGTGCTGCTATAACTTGTATTGTGACATTTTTGCTATTTTTCCCACATGTCACTTGGTGTGCTTGGATCTTGATACCAGCTGCCATCTTGAACTTATTTGCAGTTCCATTGATGTTTTTCGCTTTAAGAACTACACCAAGCTCTTTCAAAGATGATGATGAAGAAGGCGAAGTTGAAGATAAGAATTTGACTGATTTAAGTGATGGTGATAATTTCAAATCAAATAATGAATTCAAGCTGGATGATTTTACTGGCCCAAACACCACTTTTACAAATTCCTCAATTGATAAAAACATTCCATCATCAACTTTGAAAGTTATTACAAATGATACTTCATCAATGACTGATCAAAGATCTGGGTTAGAAAAGGCCACAGCTCATGATTATTCAACTAATAAAAACCCTACAAAAGATTTCAACTATAATGGGCAAATTCAAACCCAGCATTATGGAAACAACAACCTGAACAACGAAGGTACACCAAACTTGGTTTCTTCTCAAAACTATAATAGAGGTGGTGCTGTTCGTTCAGAAGCCCCAAGTATCAAACCACAATCTGCAAAACCAGATTACAGCACTGCTGGTGCTTCTTTGTATCCAAAAAGTGCATATCAATCACAAAATAGTGCTGTTCCACCTTCAAGATCTCAACAAAGATCTCAATATCAAGCTCCTCAACGTCCTTTAAACCAATTCCAATCTTTACAACAACCTGGTTCTTTACCAAGAAACGCTACATCAACGTCTTCATCCGGATTAAATACACCTGGTGCCCAGAATACAAATGCTATTCCATCAAGTGTGTCACAATCAGGTGTCCCAAGTGGTGTACCAACAACTTCATCATCTGTTTATAATAACACTGAATCCAATTATAATAGTGCAAATGGGTTGGGAAATTCAAATCATGGTTCTTCAGCTTCAGATGACTATGATAATGAATTGGCAAATGATAACGATTCAGATTTTACGTCTGTTTCACAAAGAGCTGTTAATCCTCGTTATTACCGTGGTGCTAATGCAGCTCCAACTTTATTTCCAAATCAAGAACAACAACAATTGGTTTCACCATCACAAGGACCAGGAAGTTATTTCCCATCTGGTCAGCCTCAACAGCAACAATATCAGCAACAGCCATATCCAGATTATACATCATCGCATTATAGTGGAAGTGCTGTTCAACCAGGCCCATATTCTCCGCAACCTCAATTCCAACCAGGTTCTGCACCATTACCATCACAACATCAACAACCTCCAAGAAAAACTGCCTCCGATGTTTTGTTATCTACAAATCCTGATTTTATGGTTTCTGGACCAGCTTTCCAAAGACAACAATTCCCAAGAAGAGCAAATCCACAAGCTACAGGAAGTTATAGACCAGCTTATAAAAGAGTTCAAGGTGGTAACAGTAAGATAACTCCTGCATCCCTGGGTGGTGATAGTCCTTATAATTTCAAATGATTGAAGAAGGATCTAGACAAAAAATTATTATCTTTCAAAAAAAATTGTTTATTTGATTTCGAGTTTTATGTTTTCAGTGTTTTAAGTTATTATTTGCTTTGGGTTTTTAGAAAGCTCTTCAAGTTGATTTTGAAGCTATACAGCTGTTTTATTCAATTCTCAGGTCTTCACATTCTTTCAGAATTATATTTTCAATTCACGGGAAAAGAAAAATGCAAAAACATTTGGTTTTGCTTTCCTTCCAAAATCGCACCATGGACCAACCTCTTTTTTTTACTTCTCTTTATTTTACAATATACCCCTTTGTCCATTGATTTTTATTCTTTTTTCTTCTTGTTATCGTTGTGTGTTAGGTTTTGTTTTGTGCTTTTCCTTTGTCCTTGTGCGAGGTTTTATTTAGAGTTAACTTGTAACCAATTATATTATTAAGTTTATTCTTTTGGCGTAGCTGATATTCAACACGCTTATGCTACGTCTTGTACCGGCCAATATCATCATACACCGATTTATATTAGTTAAAATAATGTGTATATATCTCTAATCATAAAATCATCAACCTATTATTTATCACGTCAGCCTCCACAATTCTATCATCATTCAGATTATTCTCTAATGTTTCCACTTCTGTTTTATCTTTCCCGGGAATTTCTGGAGAATCATGACTTGGACTATCTAGAGGTTTCTTAGCATCAGGCACTTGACCTTGATTATTATCACCGCCTCCTCCACTTGAATTTCTATTATGATGAGGCTTCAATATCACAGTCATAAACAATAGAAACACTATTAATGACAACAACAAGATAAGTTTACATTTCTGTGTTCTTTTTTGATAATGACTAGCTCTTGTTAATTGTTGTGAAGCATTCTGTAAATCAACTTTTGTATTTTCTAAATTATAATCAATTCTATCCAATATTGTACCTTGATCAATAACCATGTTTTGCATTTCTTTAAAAATACTAGAAACTTCTAAAACACCTTGAGCTAACTTTGTGATTTCTTGTTCTCTTTGTCTAATCATTGAATCATTTATGCTTGATTTTTGCTGTAGAATTGATGATGATTCTTTAATTGCTTCTCTTGAATAAGATTCCAATTCTTCAGTTTCATCAATTGCAGGATTATAAGTGGATTGATCAATAACTTGATTTGACTTATTTAAACTTGGTAATTGTTCAAATTCATCTTTTTTCAAGAATTTAATATAATTATTTTGTAATTTTCTAAAATTTGAAGATAATTGTTGAATCTTTAAGGCATAATTTTTTTGCATATTTTCAATCATGTTTAAATCATCAGCTTTCAACTTATTATTAGGTTGTCTTTTGATACCTTCAAATCTTTTAACAAGATTATTACATTCATAAAATTTTGTAGTGATTGTATAATTCAATTTTTCAATTTCTTCTTCATCTGTTGTACGATCATTAAATCCTGGTAAAAGATTCTTCTTGTATAACCCATTCAATTTATCAATTTTCTTTGATATGAAATCCAAGTTCTCATCTATCCCCTCTGAAATATCCAAAAATGAAGGTGGTAAAGCTATCAACTCAATATTATTATCACCACTACCGTTGTTCCCTGGTTCAACATTTCCTCCTATTAGTTCCTCTTCCTCTCCCATAGTATCAAACCTGGACCCACTCAATGGACCACCATGATGAGGGTAAGTTCTTCTGTAGGATAAAAAAAGATTGGTTCTGTCTCTAAACATATTCTTTAATAGATGCTGTGAATATTGAACGGATGTGTCTTGTGGTTAATTGTGTGTATTATTGTCTAATTTGACACCAATTCGACTTCAGCAAAAAACAGGATCGAATTCGCGAATTTGAGTATTTTTCGCGAATGCATTTGCTACTTCCGAAAAAAGGATTCAAATTAAAACGGATTCTATTAAACTATTACAATTTTTTTATGATTGGTGAGATGGAAGAGGAACAAATAAATAAAGTAGCAACGGCATGATCATCATAATGTTTTCAGTCTTTGACATTTCTTTTGGAGTCTTTTCTATGTAGCAAAGTACCCATCAAATTGACAAAAGATGCAGACTTGTTTTGATGTTGTAATCCACCTAAAGACACATGTGTTGGCACAGATGATTGTGTTGAATTATCTGAAGGAGAAGCAGATTGTGGCCTAACAGGTGGTGATGGTGATAATGGAGTTAATGATCCAAAGTTGTTGTTAAATTTATGCTTTTGAGGAGATCTTGAATAGTTCAGATTTAAACTGCTGTTGTTGTTGGATGAAGAAGAAGGTAGATGATTTGATGAAGCATTTCTAGATATAGAGGGAGATGACCCAGTAGATGAGTTCATAGAGCGATCCATTTGATGTGATGATGAATCACCTCTTAAATTGGACAATAATGCTGTACTTTGAGCTCTTGAATTACTCAAGGATGATGATTTTAGATGGATGGCTCTAGGTCTTGTAACTTCAGGGTCTTCATAATCAGGTGGAACATAAGCAGGTGATAAGTTATCAGGTGTGAAGGCTTTCATTGCTGTTTGATAAGATGGAACTTGTGACATACTTTCTGAATTCCAATCTCTTGATGCAGGACTACCACTTCTAATACTTCCAGGTAAATTGGTTTCTGAATTGACTCTTGAAATATGATTGAAATATGGCGAATGAACACCCGGTGAAACAATACCTTCTTTGTGTGGCCTTATAGAGAAATAATCAGATTCATTAGTTGGTGGAGTATTAAGTTCATTGATAGGTGTTTGTAAATTATAAGCAGCAGTTCCTCTATTTCCTCGTGCAGAAAATGATAATCCACCTTCACCTTCATTTTCATCTTCATCAATATTATTCATGTTGTTATTATTAGATACTGCTGAAGATGCACCAGGAAGACCAGCTAAAGAATCTAGAGAAGGTTGAGAATTAACTTCGGCTTGACGTTGTAGATGTAATCTTCTCAAGTTTTCAGTCAGCTTACCCATACCACCACTATCAGTTAAGCTTTCACTATTTTGATAACCATTTGGAGTTCCAGGTGCTGGTGTGGCAGCTCTTGAACCTTCTGGAGTATCTTCAATTGCAATTTCACTCCATAATCTATCATAGATATGATTTTCATAATTAGGTGGAGCCATTCTTTCAGCATTTGTAATTGAATTTTGAGAACTTAGGTTGGCTGGTGTAGTTTCTGGATCAGGTGCAAAGATAACGTCATCATCATCTAATTCATCGTTATCTGAAGGGATATCATTAAATGAACCTGCAGAGCCTTCACTTGCAATTGAACCATGTCTTTCTCTATCAAAATTTTTAACACCAAGGGCAACAAATGGAGAAATAAATAAAATCAAAGGTAGTGATGCACGTAATTCTGAAACATGACCATCAGGATTAATTAAACCAACAACAAATTTCAATTTATGACGAACTTTAATATTATTTAAAATATCAACATCTTGTGTACATTTTGATAAACTTGCAGGTATATTAATGGTGGAATTAATTTCCCATTTGTCATCTGTAATTTCTTGATTTGAAGCAGGAATGACAATATCATGAATGTTCCGTTCACCGGAATGTGGAGGTCCATAAGAACCACAACAAGAGTAATATTCACTTAAAGTGACTTTGATTTTACCCAATTTTAAACCTTTAGCTAAAGGAACTAAAATCATATGAATTGGACATGATGAACCTATAGCAACTGCTCTTGAAGGAATACTAATAGTATATTCAACTTTCTTAGGCCAAGTATTATCAACAGCCATTGTTTCTGATAATTCGACTGAATCTGGAGTTAAAGTTCTAACAACTCTTAAATGCTTCTTAACAACTAAATCATTTGAAAATCTACCACGATCAATATTAGCTTGTAATTTATAAACCACTGTAGCACCTGGTAAACCTTCAACACTTTCATTGATTGAACCTGGCAAAACAGCACTAAATGGGAATTCGTAATTACCTTGTAATAAAAGGTGACTATTATTTGCAGAACCACTTAAACTTGTTGATGAACCAAAACTTGCCAAATTTGTTGATGATTTTGATTTTTTACCATAACTTTTCAGTGAACTTGAAGAACTGTTAGCGGAACTGTTCTTCCGTGTTAAAGTTGGACTTTTGCTATTATAATTATCATAAAGATTATTCAGATCAAAACTATCCCAATTATGTTCAAATATTCTTTTTTCATAACGGAATGGTTTTTTCAAAACTGAACCCCTTTGAGTTTCATAAGAATTTGTCCATTTTAATCTTAAAGTTGCATAAAGTTTTAAACTCAGTTTTTTAATTGAAATTGGTTCTAAAACTGATAAAACAATTGAACCATTTACTAAAACTGATGGAGCCTCGTGAGCAGACCCTTTAATAACCAATACATCATGATCAGTTCCCTTGATTCTAATATCGAATAAGGATGTTTGTTTGTTAGAGCTTGAATTTCTACTCAACAACACCATATTATAATGATCTCTTCTAAGATCTTGTCTTTAAAGTTGATGTAAATGATGTTGATAATTGAAGTTCCCTAGTATGATAGCAACCCTATAGTTTTTCCGATAAGGACTGAAATGTGGTTTTCTCTATAACAATCTGTTTAGCAAGAATAGCAAAAGCAATTGAGGAAAACTAGTTCAATAACGGAAACAAAACTGCCCCCCTTGTGCCTCTTTCTTTCTCTGACTGTGTCTGTTTTTGGGCTTTTTGTAATGTTTATAAAATTGAAGGTTTTTCATCAACTTTCTCAAAACGTTCCTTTTGTTTTGGTCTCGGGCCAACACGCCTCAGATCGGTGGTTTGGGACACACCACTATAAGCTCGAATTCGCGGAAAAAATCAAGTTTTAAAATTAGAAGAAAAGACGTTAATTCATACTATAATTTGTTTGGTTTTGCTGGATGATATATATTTATATAAAGGCATTATTGACTATCTGTGAGGGAATACTGGTTCAAAAGAATACAGTCACCCCCACGTTCAGGATCCAATCCATAATTGTAAAAATATCCTTCAGAACTGACAACTGATACATGAATCAATTTCAAATTGTTATCATTATCTTGTGAAGTACTGCTTGACTCACCACTATTTCCAAATGTATTCTCTTCACTACCTTCCAGTTGATCATTGGAATTTGATTGTTCTGAAAACACAGAAGGTAACCCAGATTTAGGTATAGATAACTCTTTACCAATTGAAACAACATTTTTAACACCCGAAGCAGCTGGAACTTTTAATGATGCAAAATGTCTTGTAGGTTCAAGTATTGAAGTGAATCTTGGTGGTAGAAAAGTTCCTATTTTTTCAGCTGCTTTTCTTCCAATATTTTGTGAAGATTTTCTAATCATTCTTCCAACACTTCTTCTTGAAATATCAATCAAAGGTTCAACACGATCTTCAATTTCATTACTATTTATTGAATCATAAGATGAATTTGATATTCTTCTTTGTGTTGTGTCCTGACTAACTTCACTTCCTGAACTTTCAGCTCTTTTAACAATTGAAGGACCAATGTTCTCCACAATATCATCTGCATCAATTGCTTCATTATCTGGTTGTGATTGTGTATTATTTGAAGTGTCATCATCGGATCCAAGTTTGAAAATATGAACAGTTTCAGTGGCAGAGCTTGCAGTTAAAAATTTGTTATCTTGACTAAATGATAATGAGTAAATCTTGGTTGGATATGTACCTCTTCTAAATTGATATAATTTCAATCCTGTTTCAATAGCAAAGACACGAACGATTGTACCTTTATCTGAAGCGGTAGCTAATAATGTACCATCATAACTTATAGCAATGGCAGCCAAAGTTGTCTTATGAGCTTCGACAACAACTAATGGTTGTAAAGTTTGAGCATTAAATATTATGACATCACCATTACGATTTATTTGATTAGTTGTTTTTGAATTTGAGTTTGAATCGATGTTATTCAATTGTGAGTTTGCATTATTACCATTCCCATTATTATTTATATTATTACTTGAATTTATTGGATTGATGAAATTTGTACTTATCTTTGGTGGTGAAGGATAAGCCAAAAAATTATTATCAATAGTTGGACTCAATGCACATAATCCATTTGGATTTGGAGAAGTTTCAATTGTATGTAATAATCTCATATTATTTATATCATAGATATAAATTTGTTCCTCTAATAAAACAACTAATCTTGATTTATTTAACTTCACGGATAAAATTGATGTTGGGAATGTTAATTCACATATTGTTGAATGTCTTTTTGTATTTATAATTTTTAATCTTCTTGGAGTCATTGAAGGTTGATCACCAAGTCCAACAATTGCAATTAAAGACGTACAAAATAACATCTCCACTATTCCAATCCCACCATCTAATCTTGAATAACATTTTCCAAATGGTTCACAGTTGAAAATTTTATAACCACGATCAGTACCTATTGATATACAACTACCATCTTGATTAAAATTTATGAAGTTTAAACATTCCAAACTTGTTTTAGTTGGTATTGTCTGTACTGAACTTTGATTTGTAGAAGATCCAGCTAAAGCAGCTGAAGATGAACCTTGTTGTTGTTGTTTTTGAGAAAGTGTGCTATATGACATAATTGATAAAATTGAATCTATTATTAAAGAGGTAATGGCATTATCTGGTTGTGGAATGTGATGTATACAAAGTTAATTTGTAATTGTATTTGTTTACTTTGAGCTCTTGAAATGAATCTTTCTAGTGTCGTTGACTTGCTAATTGAGTTTGCCGATCCTGGGGGGCTAGTTGTTACTGATGATTTAAACGTTCTCTTTGCCACAAACTTTCACGTGTGGAATGGATTGATTTGATAATGGATTTTTGGTAATGTTTTTTGACTTTTAATGATGATTCTCTTGATCTGTGATTGCTCTTGTTGTATCACTATCTCTTTTGCTCACTGATTCATGAATTCCTCAATGTTTGGTACCCAAATTAATTATCACCAGCACTTGATTTGAATCTGATTTTAATTGTAGAGAAATTTGTTTTTTTTGTTTACGATTAGGTAAGAGATGAGTAAGAAATTCCCCGGATTATACCAATACAGGTATATCCCGACCACATATAAACGTAATTTCATTTTATTTCATTATTTAAAGAGTTTATTGTTATTTGGACTAGTATTTGAAGAAATGCTGGATGCCAAATCACCCTGAGAGCACCAATTGTGCACGGGGAGACAGTTGAAATATTTACACCAAGAACAATGACCACCTCCATTCTTTGTAAAATTAAGTGATAATCCAACAAACCATGCAACTAGTAATGTGAGTGCCACAATTCTAACGATGACCCATATGGCAAATTTCCTTCTCCTTATACTATCCATATGATTAGAAATGGAATTCCCAAAACCTTGAATCTTATAACCATAATCAATACTATAATTTTTATCTAATCTAACAAATTTTGGATCATTTAACAAGACAACACCTAATAATAACCCTGATACAAATCCACCAATATGACAAAAATTATCCAAGCCAGGTAATAACCCCAGTACGAAGCAAGCAACAACTTCGAATAATAAGACACCAATTAAAATTCCATAGTGACGAACAGTTTTTTTATCTCTATGTAATATAAAGATTAATAAATTAACAGCAATGATACCAAATAATGCACCACTTGCACCTGTACTTGACATTCCATCTTGGGCAAAATTTAAACCTAGTAGGTTCCCCGAAACACCACTTATAATGTAAATGATTATATATCTTATTGAACCAATTTGTCTTTCAACATCTAATCCCATAGTACATTGTAATAATAAATTGAAAATGATATGAACAAACCCAGCATGCAAAAACATTGCACTTAATAATCTCCAAGTTTGTCTTGGTGTATTTGAATCTGAATTACAAAGTTGACTAATTGTACAAGTTTGAGTTTCTAAAGTTGTTGAATTTGGACATGGCCAATCCAAGTTCCCTGAATCAATTCCCGAGATTGGATGGATACATGGAGCAAATCTTGAGCCTAAATAGATTTGAACGTTTGATGAAGGTCCCAACATTGGATTTATGTATGGTTTTGTTTGGAATGCAGAACCTGTTAATTGATTCATTTTAACTAGTTCTAGGATGAATATTGCAATGTCTATAATTGTGATGATTATTGTGAAGTATGGGAAGTTTAGTAATTTATATCCTAGTGTGTTTGATGGTTTTTTGATGTGATATTTTGGATGACGATGATGATGATGATGACGTTCATTATGTTGTAATAGTAAATCATTTGTACTTGAGTTCCCATAATTGATTGTGGGTAATTCTTTCAATTCTATATTGTTTTTTGAATTGTTTATTGAATCTTCATCATCATATATGACACGATTATATCTATTTGGATTTGCATTTTGAATAAATTGGTTTCTTAGAGGAGATTCTGAATATTGAGTTGTATCAGTCATTTTCATTGGGGTTGTGATATAAGAAGAATGAGCCTTTGGCGGTAAAGGAGGGAGGTCACCCATGGTATTAACGTGAGCCATGTTCTTTTAGTTGTATAGATCAAGGGAGTTGATATAATTTGTTGTATGGATCTGATTTTGTACCTGAATAGGTCAAATTGGCAGTGCTGTGCAAAGAAAGACGCGTTTTAGATGGAAAAAATCAGTGGAATGAGATTTGTTTCAAGGAAATAGTTGGATGAAGTTCTCAAAATGAATGGATATGGTTATTCTTTCCTTAAGCTAGTAAATTAACTAAATCAATGCAAACTCATCAGCCATTCCAATTTTCAGGTACCATTTTCTTTAAATAGATCAAATTTAAATTTCAACGCAAGGGCCAAAAAGAGAAAAAAAACTTACATCGCGAATTGGTTTTACAAATGAAAAAAACATCAAAGATTTATTTATTCACTTCTTTTCAAATAATTCTTCAATCTCCTCTAAAGAAACACCTTGAGTCTCTGGAACCATGAACAGGACAAACCAAAACCCTGTAAACATGAACCCGGTAAAGACAAACCCATATTTATAACCAATTTGTTCAGTTATAATTGGAGTACAAAATGCAATGAAGAAATTCGAACCCCAATTAAAAGAGACTGAAAAGGCCATTGAAGCAGCTTTTATATGGATTGGATATAGTTCACTAACTAGGACACTAACACAAGCACCCCAAGTTGGAGAGAATGAAAAAATGAATAAACAAGTGAATATAATCATTATAATACCTGGGATTTTATTTGTTGAAGGATCAGTTGCAAATTTATCAATTTTCAAAGTACCCACGATTGAATAAATAAATAATGAAATTGTACCACCAAATGAACCTAATAATAAAGATTTTTTCCTGCCAAATTTTTCAATAACATAAACACCAGGGATTGTGATTATTAAATTAACAGTAGCTAAAATGATTGAAGTTATATAAGAATCATTAATCCCAGCAAATTTGAATAGAGTTGTACCATAATAGAAAAAATAATCAATACCAGACATTTGTTGGAAAGTCATTAAACATACACCAACAATAATTCTTTTCAAATATTTTTTTTAAAAATTTCCCAAAATGGGATTTTTGAAGCATTATGTTCAATACTTAATTTTTCTAGTAAAATTTGTAAAGTTCCCTCTATATCAGGATCTTCCACTTTTTTCAATGAAATTCTAGCTTTTTCATATTCTCCAATACTAATTAAATATCTTGCACTTTCCGGTGTGGAAATTATCCCCAAACAAACAGCTAACGCAGCACCAATTCCAATACTTAGAGGTATGATCCATTCAGCTTGATTATTATACATCTCTTTACAAGCATAAACCACTATACTACCAGTTAATATGGCAATGCAGATACTTAATTGATATAACGTGGTACAACTTCCTCTAATCACAGTTGGGGCAGTTTCAGAAATAAACATTGGAGCTAATACAGCAACACTTCCAATACATAATCCACTAGTTGCTCTTCCTATTAGGAATTGATACCATTTCCCTGATAATTGTGAAGTTATTTGAATTATTATCCCAATGATATAAACCATCATTGATATTAATAATGGTAATTTTCTACCTAGTGTATCAGCTAATCTTGCAATTGTGAAACCACCAGTGATACAACCGATATGATAACTTGAGACTAATAACCCAGTTTTATAACTTTCTAGATAGTATTCCATGGTGTCTGTTGATTCATTATAATGTAAATGGCCTAATCTGTGGAGAAATGATTTCATATTGATGATACCACCAATTACACCAGTGTCATAACCGAATAAGAATCCAGAGAATGAGATTAACAAACTTAGAAAGATGACTTTCCTAAAAGACCAGATTAATTTTAAGTCAACTTGTAATAGTGTTGGACTGATTGGGGGTTGGTTATTGGCGTTTATCAGATCCATATCACTTTCCAAAGAGTATAAAGGGGGTCTATTGTCTTGTAGTTCCATGGTTAATGGTGGTGGGATAGGGATAGATGATTCTTTAAAGCCAGTGGGTTTGGTCATTGTTGGATAGTTGTTAGTGGTTAGTTATAGATTTCATGGATTTGATAATGTTTTATAGCTCTGGATTCTATTATTAATACCAAGTGCGCCGTTGAGACGAATCAGGAAGGACGAGTATTAATAATGAATGGGTTAATTGTCGTTGGGAATGTCGTTTGAATGGTGGAATAGTTAGTTATTTAGTTATTATCTATTAGTTATTATCTATTATCTATTATCTATTACCTATAATTAATCAGTTATATCATTGATTATCAATTCTATTCAATTATTCTTTCAGTTATTCTATTGATTATTCTTTCAGTTATTCTATCAACCGACTCTACCCCAGATTTACTATCTGATTATCGTCTGCCTAGGACCCTAGAGAGAACCCTGCCTAGGACCTGCCTATGCTCCAGACAGACCCTCCGCCTAGCCTCCGCCTAGCCCTTGTGCACCACCACCGTCGCGACACTTGTGCAATCCATGAAAAACAAACTTCAAATGCTCAAATGCTCATTACATTAACAATAACTTCAAGTATAAGCTCATCCACAATGGACATCCAAGACCTGGAAATCAACGACGATTCTGCTGTCCCATTGGCTGACGACTTTGCTGCCTACTTCCCTTCCCCTTCACAGTCAAGCAACAACAACTACAACCTGAACTCTGATGATGCTGCTTCATTACCTTCAACAACTTCCCAATCACCTTTGGATACTTCACTATTAAACTCTGGTTTCAAACACTCAACTCCTCAAAATACAATCACTACTAAACCAATAACCATCAACAAGAAGATCTCAAAAGGCTCTGCTACTTCTGCTGCTAAAAAACCTTCAAGATTTAGACCTTGTGATGGTTGTAGGAAAAGAAGAACCAAATGTTCAATCCCTCAAGGTTCCAAAACTTGTCTTGAATGTACCAAGAGAAACATGGAGTGTAAATTTGATTTCACCACTGATCAATTAAACAACTCAGATTTGAAAAATTTCAAAATGATTTGTGATAATTGTAATCATAGAAGAACAACTTGTATTATACCCAGAAATTCAAATCATTGTACTGAATGTACCTTAAGGGATTTACAATGTAAATTTAGTGATTCTGTTAATAATGATGCCAAAATAAGAACAAATATACCCATTAGAGATTATGATAATTATCAAGGTCCTACAATAATGAAGAAGACTTTATCTTTACAAGGTCCAAAATCTTCAAAATTATTAGGCCCAACTTCAATAGTTGAAAAAAATTTATTGAATTTTAACAATAATGATGATGATCCTGCAAATTCTCCAACAAATTCAATCATCAAAAATGAACAAATTATAATTGACCATTCAATTAAAATTAGAAAAATTAATAATGATTCATTTTTCCAAATTATAAATGATAATGAAGAATTTATAAAATTATCTTATCAACAAGTTGATGAAATTGAAAAAATCATATATCCTTATGGATTAAACTTGATAAATTTATTTTTCAAAATTGTTCATCCAATGTTACCAATCATTTCAAAACCGGTTTTTTTAGAAAAATATTCAAGAACTCATAGAGAATTTGATCCAATCTTACTTGCTGCCCTATATTTACATGCAATTAATTGGTGGCATCTTGATGATGAATTAAAATTGAAACCAAAACCAAATTTCTTAAAATTGGAAAGATTATTACTTGTTTTATATTCAGAAAATTTAATTAATTTACCGCCAAAATTTTCCACTTGTCAAGGTTTAATCTTGTTAATTAATTATAATTTCCATAAATCAGAGACTTCATTACTTTCAAAGACAAATGATGATTGGAAAATTATTAGTCAATTAATAACAATTGTGGAAGAATTAGGTTTAAACTATAATAGTGAAGATTGGATAACTATACCAAATTGGGAAAGGAAAATCCGCAAATTATTAACTTGGACTATAATAATGATGGATAAAATGTATTCTTTATTAGAATTCCGCCCTTCAAGAATTAATCCAAATAATTGGTTATTAAATGAATTGATTTTAAAAGATTTCCAAATTGAAGAAGATGAAGAAGTTTTCATTGAAAAGACAAATGGTGAAAATTTTGTTTTAAATCATGGTTATAATAATAACCATCAAGAGGATTATTCAATCTTTGGAAATTTAATATTTGTTAAAATGGTTCATCTTTCTTATCATATAAATGATGTTTTAAATGATGTTTTCAATTTGAAAAGTTTAAAATTTGATGATTTTGATACAATTTTAATAAAATCTTCAAGATTATTAATTAACCTAGATGAATGGTTTGAAAATTTACCTTTACAATTGAAAAATTCTACAATTTTAAATAATCAAATAACTTCAGCTCCATTAATTTTACTTTTCTATACTGTGAAATTTTTAATCTATAGAAGATTAATTAATCATTTTATTGAAACTTCAACATCAAATGAACAACATTATGAAAAATTTAAACCAATTTTCAAAAAATTATTTTTGGAAATTTCAAAATTTAATGAAAATTTCATTAACAATTTATCAATTCAACATTTTACAAATTGTTTTTGGTATTCAAATACAACAAAATCTTTCATCACAGTGGCAATTGTTAACCTATTATTAATTAAAACAACAAGAGATGAAATATATTTGGATGATGAATATGATGAAGATGTGCTAATCAAACAATATCATGATTATAGAGATAATTTAAAAGCTATTGCAATAAATTTCCATCCTGCTAAATTAGCTTTGGATCATATTGATCATTTCATATATACAGGTGAAGATAACAACAACTTGACATTTATATTATAATGAGAAATGAACAGATTAGTATTAAGTGATTGATTAATCAATATAAAGTAATTGATTAATCAATAAGTAATTGTATGTTCATTTAATTATTTAAAGATAGTGTTCAACATTATCAATAAAGAAAACCAATTATATTACTTGCCCTTTTCAATGTAATTAAACTTATTTGATCAACATAATATATAAATATTACTAATGCAGACTTTACCGGTACTCGTGACCATATAAATTAATCTCTCAAATAAGAATCAACTAGCTTGAATTGTTTTTATTAATATCTCTTCGGTTTTTGGTCTCTACGCGGTCAAAAATCGCGAAAGGCAAAAAATGGTTAAATTAAAAAAACCCTCTAACTTTAACCATCATGATTCATCACCATCATCACCATCATCACCATTCCCAAATGAGCATTGAGAAGCTAAAGGATTCGTACGTCAGGGACTACTTCCAGCTGATATTACATAATGTATTAGAGGAACTAAAGAATAACACCATCTGGAATATCAACTACCACAACTTTTACAAAGATGTCCCAAAGGTAACTAAATATCCCACTGATGTTACAAAAGTTGATAGATTGTTGTTGGTGAAAACTATACAGACTCTTGGAATGAGATACAACTATGAGGCTCATTCATATCAAGATACTGCGGCTCTCGCTAAAATACTCCTTATTTTACCCTTCATGGGGTTGGAAATTGATGGATATAACCCTGAATCACCTTCAACTGCTCAGGAGGATTCAAAGAAATCAAATACATCTCCATCAACAGGATCGAACAATTCACTAGCCCACCAAATCAAATCTTCCAACATCAAATTAAGTGCTAAAGACACAAAGGAAAACGAGGTTGATTCATGGCTACATGAAAGATTAGAAACTATTGACCAGGATCTCATGAGAAATATTCAAAATGCCTGTTCAGCTGACCATAAGGAAGTTTGGAGAAATTTAAATTACATATGGAATTGTGCAGGTAGGCCAATAGAATATGACAATCGCGAGGATGATATTACCCTAGCACTTTATTCATGTCTTATTGATCCAGTTACTAGATTATTTAATATTGTCTACAACATGAGACTAAATGCTAGAGTTAATAAACCGTTGAAAGATGCTGTGGAGTTTGAGAGTCCGAAATTTGGAGAGCACATTCGATCCGATTTGGGAGTTTGGAGTAACTCCAATGGCAAAGCAGGGATTCATTTGGTGCTTGAAACCAAGGAGCCATTTTTGTCACCATTCTTCAATTCCAAAGAAAGAGGTTTTGATGAGAAATACAGAGATTTTTACTGTCAACTCCTGTCATATTTGATGATTTCACCCACTGTAAGGAAAGGTTTACTTACAGATGGTGTATCAATGCGTTTTACCCATTTCAATCAAATAGATATTGTGAATGGAAATATGAATAGTGTCCAGGTTGATGAAAGCTCCACCAACAATTTTATTGATGAAAAATCTAAAACAATTGATATGTGGAAGATCTATTCACAAGATTCAACTCCTCAAGATCGAGTAACAGCAGCCAAAATTGTTATGTGCATTTTATATGATAGTTGCTGTGGCTTGATCAATGGTTCAAATTCCCAACTAGAAAGAAGTGATGAAGATATTTTAACCATAAGTAGCCGTTGTGAGTTTGATACGTCAACCTCCCCTCTACTCTTACAAACATCATCAGGATCATTAGATGTTAATATAAGTTTATCAAAAGATCAATACTCATTACCAACCACTGCTGCTAGAAGAAATCAGTTTACAAACCAGCCTTTGAATCTGAAAAGCGTTCCTGAAGCTGAAATTATGGTTAAAATCGATAATCTTGGAGAGTGCATTCAAGAATATGACATCGATTCTCCAATAGAAGTCTACAAAATGAGTGCTGAAAATTATTATTTGAACTTTAAACCAAAAAATCCGGTTCAGGGCATCCCAATTCAGGATGAACAGTCTCTGAAAGATGGTAATGTCATATTAAAATTGTATGATGAAGAAAAAATAGAGAAATATTTCAAGGAAGAGGGTATGAGCAAATATTATACTCCAACTAATGAGGATGGTGGCTCTCCTCTTTTTGATGAAGAAAGATACAATTCTGATTTTAAAGCTTATGAACAACGTATATTAAACAGATACCTTAATGAAATTGAGGCATATTATAGAATTCAAAATTTTAATGAAACTTGCTTACACCCAAAACACAAAATCAACTCTCCTTCTTTGATTGGTTATGGTAAATTCAAGCAACATTCTAGTGGTCCCTTTATCTATTATATGGCAATCTCTGAGATTCCTTTTGTGGATAGGAAACCACATAATTATGATGAACTTTTCTTCAAAGGTTGCAATGAAATTAAAAAGCTTCATTCTTTAGGGATCATTCACAGAGATATCATGAGATGTAACATTTGCTTTGATGAGCAAACTTCATCAATTTGGATCTTTGACTTTAATCGATGTTTACTCTTTGACCCATCCCAGGAAATTGAGCAAAAATTACTCAACAAGGATTTTATTGACTTACATGATTATGAGTTTTCATATGCAGATATTTATGAACACTAGCTAGTAATATATAATATATGGATCACCTTTTATGTACCTTGATTCAATTAACTATATCATAATTCGACCATAATGTGCTTCGTGGGAGGGTAACATCCTAGAACATCACGTGACACTTTATAGATCTGTGCCCATACCATGTTTTCTCGAGATTCCAAAATCAAAACAAATCAATTTTAAATTGAAAACTGGTGGCAATTAATTAAGAATTTAGATCAATCACAAAATTAATCATTAATTATGAGCTTCACGGTCAATATCAAGAATTCAGGAAAGACATACCCTTTGGAATTGTCTCCAGCTGATACAGGACTTGTCTTTAAACAAAAATTACAAAATTTAACCAAAATTCCAATTGATAGACAAAAAATATTGTTAAAAACTGGTCAATTAAAAGATGATGATATTGTGGAATCTTTAAATTTGAAACAGAATCAAACCATTATGGTATTAGGTTCTCCGGAATTAAATTTACCAATTGCTCCAATAAATAATGTTTTCCTTGAAGATTTAAATGAATCAAGTTTAAAATCATATTCAAATGAACCAATTGGTTTTGAAAATTTAGGAAATACTTGTTATTTAAATTCTTCAATTCAAGCATTATATAGTATTCCAAGTTTACAAAAAAAATTGACTCAAAATGATAAAGTTGGTGAAATTGGTACAAATGAACATTTAGTTTTACAATTGAAACGAGTTTTCAAAGAATTGGAAAATAAAAAACAAGATTCAATTGTACCAAATAATTTAATTACAAGTTTAAGAGTCTTATATCCTCAATTTAATGAAAGGGATCAATATGGAAGATATAAACAACAAGATGCTGAAGAAGCTTTCACTCAATTATTATTAAGTTTGAAAAATGTTTTAGGTGAAGATTTTATTAAAGATTATACAATTAATTTTAAATCAATCATTAAAAATCAAGAAGATGAATCAGATGTTCAAATTAAATATGAAGATGATGTTAAATTACAATGTCATATTACAAGTTCAACAAATTTTTTGAAAAATGGTATTGTGGAATCATTAAATGAAACTATTGAAAAACATAGTGATAATTTAAACAAAAATTGTAATTATGAAATCAATAAAAAAATTACAAAATTACCATCAATTCTAACTGTTCAATTTGTTAGATTTTTCTGGAAAAGATCAACAAATAAAAAATCTAAAATTTTAAGAAAAGTTCAATTCCCCTTCCAATTAGATTTAACTGATTTATTAGATGAAGAATATCGTGATTCTAAAATTAAAATTAGAGATGAATTTAGATCAATTGAAAAAAATCAACAATCTGAAGAACGTGAATTTAAAAAGCAAAAAAAAAACTTGAATTCAAAAGATGAACAAGATTTTTGGAAAAAACAACATGATAAATATATTGAAGAATTTACATCGAAAACTCCAAAAGATTTATCAGTTGGTGAAAATCCTTCATCTTTATACAATTTAAATGCAATCATTACTCATCAAGGTTCATCTGCAGATTCTGGTCATTATCAAGCATTTGTTAAAGATAGATATAATGATGATAAATGGTGGAGATTTAATGATGATAAAGTTTCCATTGTTGATAAAGATAGAGTGGAAAGTTTAGCAGGTGGTGGTGAAAGTGATAGTGCTTTAATTTTGATATATAAAGGTTTTGGATTAGATTAAAATTATGATTGAAATGTACACTGTTCATGTCAATAAATGACTATAAATATGTATTATCTAAAATTAAAAAAAAACTATATTACGTGATTGCATAACCCCTTTTTCATTTATCTCTCATTCAAATTCCATTAACCAATTTTTCAAAATTTTTAACTTCATCCCAACAGTTTAATGGTTTATCTTTATTTTTAATTAAACATTGAACAACTTCTTTTTTAGAATTTATAACTTCTTTTGATAATTTAACAAATTTGGATTCTCTTTTATTCAAATCAGCTTGTAATTTAGAAATTTTATCATCTAATTGTGTACTTGATAAAGATTTATCCTTTTCTGAATCTTTAGTTAAAATTGAATTTTTCAATTCTTCATCAAATTTTGATTTTGAATCTTTAGCTAATCCATCTAATTTAGAACTAACTTGATCTTCAAGATATTTAGCAGTGTATTGTGAACGTGTAAAATCGGTCTTTTGAAAAAAATTAGTTAAACTTCAAGGTGAATAATAATTAAATCATCAACTTACTTCTATGGATTTCTCTAGTTGTGCGACAAGGGATGGACTAAAATCCACAGGTGTTTGTGGAGTAAACACTTTGGTTTCTGTTGGTTTTGATGCTGATGCTCCCATTGTATGGTGTTGTTTTATATGTGGAAATGAGTTGTGTAATTGGGAGGAATATTAAATGAAATGAATTGTAGTTCCTTTCCAAACTTGCAATTCCAATTGTTTATTTCGTTTTTTTTGATTTATCGGTTTCTCGAGATTTTTTTTTTTTCAGTTTGATTGGGTGGAGCTTAGTCAGTGCTTATGTAAAAGATATAGCTAATTGTATTGGAAGTTCTGATATAATATTATTAGTGTTTTGTGATCCATTTCTCGAGATTCTTTTTAGTGAGATCAGTTTTGAAGACATCTTTTACTCTTAGTCTGGCTTTAAAATTACTGCGTTGTGTCCTGGAAGATAAGATATATTAATTACAAAAGATATACAATCAACATCAGATAAAGCTTGCAAGAATAGCTAAAGCTCCAGCAAAACCAGCAACTGGTGAGCTTAAGGCAGCAGCAATAGCAGCTCCTGCTCTGGAGCTTGAGCTAGATGATCCAGTGGCTGAGGCTGAGGAAGATGATCCAGTAGCTGATGCTGCATTTGAAGCAGTTCTTGCAACTGACGAAACATGAGAAATGGCTGAAGAATCATAAGTGGCCACACTGCTATCAGCATCAATAGAAGATTCAGCATAATAGTTGTCATTAGTAGCATTAAAACAACTATATGCTAAATCAGTAACATCAAACACACTTTCTTCAACAAATTTAATATCTGAACATGCGTAGAAAGTTTGATTAGTTGAACCAGCAATTGGATCACCATCTGATCCTGTCTCATCCTCATCATCGTTTTGATAAATCACTTGAATAGTGGCAACATCACCTGAGTTAATAGTGTTTGGTTGATCTGGCATGTAAAAACAAGTATGACCAATATGTAATTCATCAGTAACATTTTTACCATAATACCATTCATCGAAATCATCTTGACTCTTTGGATCCGAATTATAAGAAATTGATAATTTAATCTTAAAAGATTGATATTTTGCAATAAAAGCAACAAATCCATCATCTAATGGGAAATTGGATCTATTTTGAACACCTGCATTAGATCCACAAGGCGCAATATTATCAACATCTGCTGACCATTGTCTTGTTTCAGGATATAAAAATGTAACAGGACCCATACTATTAGCATATGAAGAACCATGTTTTAATGGAGATGCATCAGGCAAAGCCTTTGGACTAGCACTGACTAGACCAGCAGCTGCAAGAAATCCAGTAGTTAAAAGAGTGTTTGAAAGTTTCATGATATTCGTGCTTGGGTTCAATACAATGTAATTCTCAAGAAATCAACAATTTGGGATCTGGTATCCATTTATAAAGTCACCTGCAATAAGAACCAGTACCTCCGAAAAACACGAATGAATACACAGTTGAACGATTTTTTAATGCACCTTTTCTTTCTGTTCCAAGCTTTCACTAAACAAAGGTGAAGAATCCACCGATAAAATACGAATTGGTTTCCATTCAACTTCGCCCGACGCCCATTGCGAAACAAAGAGATAACCCACACTTTAAACCATAGCAGGCAGCTGGTAGTGTACGGTCATCTAATGATTCATCTTATGCCACAATGTAACACCAATTCATGCCAATATATTTGAGTTGTATATCAAGTGAACGTGAAAACTACTATTCAAAGTTCTAAATCCGTTATGTTCGAACATGTTAAAATTTCACACCTTCATGTTGAAAAAAAAACACAAGATCCCAAGACCAAAACTTCAACTGAACATTGCCTAATACAGAATTTTCCAGCTCAGATATGTGAGTATATACGAGTCTGTCAGCTTTTTGCTCATAAATTCTCTGATCATTTGGCATAACAAAAATAAATGGAACACTTCAAAAGGCAAAAAATAAAAGTCTGCCAAAACCCTGCGGGACAATAACAGCAAAAAATATAATTGGACGAGTCCGGAGTCGAACCGGAGACCTTTCGCATGCTAAGCGAACGCGCTACCAACTACGCCACACGCCCGAATTTTGATTAAATTTTCCGCTGAATTTTCTGCCGGTGCTTTCCGGTTTGAAGCCCTGGTATTCTTTATTTTGATTAATCTCAATTATCTTACCTATATCTGCTTTGTTTCAAGGTATTATTCGTTCAAATCATTTTTATGTAGAGAAATTTGTATTTTCCCAAGTTTTGTGTAGCCTTTTCATGTTTTGGGTGACTTGTAGTATATTTACTGATGTTGGTGTTTGGTATGAAACATCTCCGAATTACTCCAATTAACTGAACAGTTGATAAGTTCACAAATATGCTAATCTACTGATGGTTATTCATGTACCTTAAATATTATGGTGAGATACCTGTGCGTTTATTATTTTCAATAAATAACTAATGTGCTAACAATTTTAATCCCTCGTAGCTAATGCGTATTGTTTAAAGCACAAGTGGGAAGTTTCAAGTTTCAAGTGATTTGAGCTCCAGATCAAGTTAAATGTCAGTTGCTAGTAGTTTATAAGAACTAAATCCAATCCTAGTTCCAGCAACATACCTATTAGAATATGAAAAATTCAATTCATTTATGAAGCCTCTCAACTTTCCAGATTTTTGTTTCAAATCCAAGGATCAAGCAACAGTAAATTGAGCAGAGAGAAATCAAGCAACAATATTCAACAGCGCCATTCATATATCTATTCTGATATTCATGTTGCACTTTCTTCTCTCATGCCACATATTAGACATAGCAATAAACTCAGGAGGTCTATAGAATCTATCACAGCAACATCAAAAAACACCTAGTCTCTAGCTGCTCACCTTTTCAATTATAACCACAATACCAACATCTCTTTCTAAATCAGGTAATATAAACAACTCTTTTGTAAGTTCAAATCTTAATCTGATTAACTCAGGTTCTTTTGATAACGCTAATGAATTTTCTATCAATCCAACACTTATCTTTGAAATCCTCTGAGCCTCTTCCAAATCAATTTTTGTAACTTTGGAGTCTTTTTGATCCCATCCATTGACAATCTGTTTAGAGCTGATCTTGAATGTCAAGATGAACATTGACGTGACAGTGGCCGTTGGTGACTTGAGCGAAGACTGCAAAAACTCGAAAGTGTGCACCGACTTGATCAATTCATTCGAAGGCAAAGGAGCATATTCTGGCATTTTTAACTCTTTTTATGGTGATTTCTTTGACTTTCTTACTGTTGTGTGTTTTGTTTTGAATTTGAACCGTTCTAAAATCAAAGAAAACGAATTCGCGAACGATGAGATGTGCAAAAAAAAAATTTATGCCATTCAAAGAAAATTTATTCAATCACAGACAAAATCTACTAGAATCAACCAGAAAGCTTAGAAATATGGCTAAAAGGACTAGTATTACTAGCAGTGATAGTGGAGTCTCGAAAAAGAAAAAACCTTCGAGCAAAAATGACCCATTATCTAAAGATACTATCAACAAACTTGCAGAGAAGTTTCAAAAAAAATCAGATAATGTTGATTTAGAAGCTTTAAACCAACTAATTGGACTATATGATCCTTTGTTAGAAAACTTTGCTACTGAAGAAGGTCTAAACAAGTATGAAGATGTTGCTAGATTGTTGAATCTCCAACTATACAAGATTTATCAAGGTTTATTTGAAAGCCAAAAATTCACTCCATCTAAAGATGATTTATCTCAATTCAAAAAATTAAAACACACATATGAAATGTTCAAGTTTAACTTATTATTCATAATAGAGAATGTTATTTTTGACTGCTCCTTAATCATAGATAATTTGGACATTTATTTGAAATTAGTGAAACTCGAAAGTGTTCATTTTGCTACAAGTTCAAAAGAAGGTGAGAAGAATCCATTTTTCCCAACTAAAACTTTCAAGAATTTGGTCACTTCAATATTAAAATCACAAAATGGAGAAGTCTTGAATGATGGTACTAGTTCAAATATTGTTGTTCAGGAATTTGTCAACAGTTATTTCAAAAAATATCAAGATTTTCAATTTTATTTCATTAATGAATTAAACACAGAAGAGTTAAACGATGTTTCAAATGAGCAAACTTTTTCAAAGTTTTTAACTATAATGAAAGAAAAATTAACACTTTTCGAATCGGATGATGAAAAAATTGGCAAAACCTTTGTTACAAATTTACCATCTATTGTTAATAATCAAGTTCATTTCAAGTCAACTTTTGAAACTAAATGGTTATATTTTTTGAACAGAGAATTGAACAACAACCAATATAAAACTATATTGTTAATTTTACACAAAAGGATCATTCCATTCTTTAGTACACCAACAAAACTAATGGATTTTTTAACAGATTCCTATGAAGTTGGTGGAATAATATCAATCCTTTCATTGAATGGGTTATTCGAATTGATAAAGAAATATAACTTGGATTATCCTAATTTCTATGAGAAGCTATATTCATTATTTGATCAAGATTTATTCCATATGAAGTATAGATCAAGATTTTTAAGATTGACAGATGTTTTCCTTTCATCAACACATTTACCATCAGCTTTGATTGCATCTTTTTTGAAAAAAATGGCTCGTCTTTCATTGAATTCATCACCTTCAGCTATTGTCTCAATCATTCCATTCACATATAATATGTTAAAGAAGCACCCAACATGTATGATTTTACTTCATAATACCTCAGCTTCAGATGACTATACTGATCCTTTCGATGATTCTGAAAAGGACCCATTAAAGACTAAAGCTATAGAAAGTTCGTTATGGGAATTGGAAACTTTACAAACTCATTATCATCCAAATGTGGCCACTTTAGCTAAGATCTTTAGTCAACCATTTAGAAAGCAAAGTTATAATATGGAAGATTTCTTGGATTGGAGTTACAATTCTTTATTAGAAAGTGAAAACACAAGAAGAATGAAGAATGAGGTTGCCCTGGAACATGATAAGTTTGATTCTTTATTGGGAGATGGGTATATTAGTGGTTGGAAATGGTAGATAAATGACTTTTAATATAAAATTGTATCTATAACTTTTGAGTCGCAATATTATGTAATTGCTTTGTAATTTTTTGACATAAAACTCAAAAAAAAAAAAAGATAAGTTCAACAAATTGATAATCTCCAGAACCAAAACAAACTTTATATTGAGAACTCCCTAGAGATTACAAATTCCAACTGAAGGTTTATTCTGAAGAAAGGATCTTTGTTCAAAGAAATTGTGAGGACGTTAAAAATTCATTTACAAGCTTTACTCCAGTTGTTAAAGTGCTCGATATGACATCGCCACTGTTGGGCGAGAAACAGCCTTTGATAACAAGGGCAAAGAGAGATCGTACAAGGTTACACTACATCATATTATCAACAGTACTAGTGATCATAGTGCTCATATATCACCTTCTATTCAGACTAAGCTACAATATAACAGGGTATTCATGGGATCCATTACCTTTATTCAAAGACCCACAACAAAGGGGTGCAGATACAACACATCAAAAATTTCAATTAAAACATATATATCATCATGGTGTTTCTAGAGATCATTCAGTGCATAAAAGACTAGATATAACTCCGGAATTCATCTCCAAACACTCATTGCATCTATTGAGTAATGCTAACTTGGAAGATTGGTCCACAAAACGACATGTTGGAGAGTCGCCCTGGACAGTTAATTTACCATCCAAATCCAATAAAATCGTTTTGAAAAGATTAGCAGATCGTGATCCGGATAGTGTTGAATCATATTTGGATTATGCAAGAGAAGCTGGTTCAGAAGAAGTCTCTAAGATACATCTTGATTGGGTTGATGATGAAGTTGATGCACCAAATGTAACTGATAAAGATACTGTGATTACATTAGCTTTGATGTCTTCAAATGCATATGTTGAAGTCCCAGAAACTGGTGATTGGAGGGATGTTGGTTGGAATAAATCAATAAGTCATGGATGGAATGAAACAGGTGTTCGTGGTCAAATCTTTGTTAGTGATGATAATTCAACAGTTGTTATTTCATATAAAGGTACAAGTGCAGCTTATCTTTCAGGCTCGGGTAATGATGAAACAGTACCACAAGATAAAGATAATGATAATTTGTTATTTTCATGTTGTTGTGCAAGAGTAAGTTACATGTGGACAACAGTTTGTGATTGTTATAGAAAGTCTTACACTTGTGATCAAAAATGCCTTGAGAAGGAATTAAGACGTAAAGATAGATATTATCAAGCTGCAATGGATGTTTACAAAAATGTTACCAAAGAATATCCAAATGCTAATATTTGGGTAACTGGTCATTCATTAGGTGGTGCTTTGTCAAGTTTAATTGGACGCACATTTGGTGTTCCTGCAGTAACTTTTGAAGCTCCAGGGGAATTATTAGCAACTAGAAGATTACATTTACCAATGCCTCCAGGTTTGCCTGCATATATGGAAGGGATATGGCATTTTGGACATACAGCTGATCCAATTTTTATGGGTGTCTGTAATGGTGCAAGTTCAGCATGTTCAGTTGGTGGTTATGCGATGGAAACTCAATGTCATAGTGGTAAACAATGTGTTTATGATGTCGTTACTGATAAAGGCTGGCATGTTAATATGATGAATCATAGAATACATACAGTTATTGATGAAATTTTACAAGAATATAACAATACAGCTCCATGTATTGAAACACCACCTTGTCGTGATTGTTTCAACTGGAATTTTGTTGCTGATGGTCATAAGAAAGAATCAAGCTCAACTAGCAGCACGTCAACTTCTAGTACTGCTGCACCAACGGCTACAAATGAGCCTGAATGCAAGAAAAGAACATGGTATGGTCGTTGTTATGAATGGGATGATGATGACAAATCAAGTTCAACTAGTGGCACTACTTTGACCTCTACCAATGCAGCACCAACAGCTACAAACAAACCTGAGTGCAAGAAAAGAGCATGGTATGGTCGTTGTAATAAATGGGATGATGATGACGATAATGAATCAAGCTCCACCATCGGTACTACTTTGACTTCTACCAGTTCGCCTCCAACAACTACAAGTGAACCTGAGTGCAAGAAAAGAACATGGTATGGTCGTTGTTATGAATGGGATGGTGATAATAACTAGAGAAAGTTTAGGCATACTTGATTTTTTTTTTGGCAAAATCTACAATAGGGATATATTTATGATAAAGAAGGAAATTTTAATTAAAGTTACGGGTACAATATATGATAATGGGATATGATTATTTCGACGAAAGCCGTAGACCCAAGAATTGAAATTGAACATTAATGGTGTGCAAATAGTTACTCGTTCATCCAACTTGTTCAACCTTGATTCCGCTAATATCATCAACGCAACAAAAGCAATTCACAGTTAGAAACCTGTTATAAGTCTTTCGTTATATAAATTGGCTCTTAATGCGAGAATTAGAACAATAGAACAATTGAAAGAGAAATTTTGACTTTGATCGCTAATGCACCTATAATTGACAGTGTTAATTCTCCGTTAGTTTTTTTTTTTTTTTTTTTTTTTCGCCGAGTTGTACTTTATACAGGAAGTTTATACACCTTTTTTATAGCCTTCAACTTTCAATATAATACTTCAAAAATAATAATGTCCCAAAGAAACTTCTGATATCAAACATATCACAATTTGGGACCAAAAAAAAGGCAAAAAAAGAAATTGCGCAAGCCCGGAGTCGAACCGGGGGCTCAAAGATGGCAACTTTGAATTTTACCGCTAAACCACTTGCGCTTGTTGTTGAAGTTGTGGAGCCTGGCAGAAAACCAATTATGCAATTTTGCGAGGTAGGGTAACCCCTTACTTTTTGCAAAATGTGAACAATAAACAATGTTTGAGTGTTAAAGTTAAACATATTCATATATATTTAGAATGAGAATTTCCTGTAGATCATAATGAAGTATTTATTTTTAATAGTTTCAATGATTTTAAATTTTTATTTCATTTACTGTAAAAAGAGCGACAAAGACGCAATAAATCTTTTTCTAATATCATGAATTCTCATTAATTTGCAAAAAACTTTTTAGCAAATTTGACCAATTTGAAGACGTAAGGGTGTTGCTTGAGAGCTATTAGACCATTTTATTAAATTTCAAGCTTTACTATCATACAAAGTTGCTGTTAAAAGCCAGATCATATTATTCGAGTTTTTCCGGGATTTGTTAATTATTCCGCTGATTACATAATACTCAGCGCAAAACAAACGTGCCCCAGAAAAGAAATTTTTCCGAAGCGCGACTCGACTACATTTTGACATTGAGTCTTCTTGAGAGAATTTATGAAGAAAGATCGTAAAGTATTGAGTAAATAGTGTTTCTTCCCTTTCACTGTATGTACCAAATCCCAGGTTTGAGAATGCAACGTAAAGCCTACCGTGACACTTTAATTAAAGTATAGTCGCGCGCCTGAGCAGCTTGCGATGAGTTGATCGACCCCCTAAATTTTTACCCCATACTTTTTTTTTCCAGTGCTGAACAAGTTACAAAACGTTTCAAACAGCGTGAGACGGATTAAAATATGAGCTGGCATAACAAAGCAGATACATTTAGGTCTTCCGTATCGGGATAAGTAAGATCAATCAATTGGCTCATGAAGATGGCACTGATCAGTGCCATGTATACTGGACCTTTAACCAATCTGTTTCATTATGGTACAGTATACAAGGAACCAACCGGGTATAATCCAATATACAACGTCGTATACAACTTCAACTGCACCCTTTTTGAACTGAGAATAACCTCTTCTTTTTTAGAATTGCTAGCTATACTGCATGGTCTCCTAGCTCAAGTTAGACTAAAGGCTACAATTCAGGATTGTGCTGATTTGAGGTGTTCTTTCAACCCGAGATCTTTGATTTACACAATTTCCAAACAAACAAGAAAACCCACAACTTGACCAGCAACTGATCCACAGAGTAGAATATTAAGGAATAACACACTATTCATTGTAACTCTTCATCTTGTAATCCAATCCAAACATCAAAGCGTTATGAATTACTACTTATCGCTCTATAAATATTGAAGTCACCGGAAATATCAAGACCGCATACAATTCGCACTTTAGGGCAAAAAAACCTGTTCAGCAGCCCAACGCAAGACAAAATTCTTCAAGTATTAGCACCTAGCACACTCAAATACAATAAATAGAAATTAAATCCCAGCTTCAAATCCCATAACTTCCCTTTTAAAGCCAAAAACGAGCTGAAAACTTCATAGCAATTCCCTGGTTAGCGCAGCACAAAATTTCTTGTTCCGACCAATTTTTTTTTTCTTTCGTTGCAGTCCGAAGTCACTTTAAAATTCAAAAATTAAAACGAAAACAACTGGTTTAGTTAACGCCTTTGAAGAGATCACAGCATTTAACAACAACAACCACAACAACAAATCATCATCATATTAGATAGTGTTAACTGATTAGAAGCTACTGGTACGCCACTCATATTCCCTGTACTGCTGTTATTTCTGCTGCCACCCAAATCCGCTGCATTCAACACCGTTAGGTTTCACTCAACGCTTGGTTTCTTTTTTGCTGAACTATCCCTGAGCTTTATTCAAAGCCATTGATATTATTATATTCACTTCTACTTTCCATTCAAAGAGGAACCCTTTCAACTAAGGTCAATAGACTGTCAATAATTTGAAGTAAAGTCATTGTTTCATTTTTTTTGCCCATTAACATCTCGCATCCCCTTTGGTGAAGATTTTATATCAATATTACCTAAACATCAATAAAATGCCTTCAACTAACAATTTGGCTCAATATTTTGCTCAACAACAACAGAAATCATCTTCAAATGATTCAAACTCTGTTCCAAGACCTTCCATAAACATCCCAAGATCCTCAAAATCCCCTTCTCCATCACCCTCTTCATATTCTGTACACTCAAAAGCTGTTGATGCTGAAGATGATGACCATTTTGAAAAATCAACTTTCCAATTGAAAAGAACGAGGTCAGTAGGATTGTTGGATGAGTTTATCGCTCCAACTAGAAAATTGATGGAAGCTGATCAACAAGTTGACGGGGATGAAACAGAAGAAGAAGAAGAAGAAGACAATGAAGAAGATGGAAAATATGACATTGATTATGATGACACCAACAACAACACATCAAGAAACTTTAATGATAACAATAATGACAATGATGATGACGAAAATCAGTTTATTGAAGATGTCGATGATGAAAGTTTTAAATCTAAACCCAAAAACAAAAAAAGTCCAGTTTATTCTTATGATGATGATTATAGTTATTCAAGTTTTGACAATGAAGATGAAAATGCTTCAATGTCGCCCTCTCCACCTGAAACACCTGATTTATATCAACCACATGATGATAATGATATTGTTTATGAACCTCAAAGACATGTTGATTATTTATCCCATAACTGGAAAGAATCTGATATACAAAAATCTTGGAGATATATTGTTTTGAAAAGAAAAGATGTTGCAAATTCTGCGAGATTAGAAAATGCTTCATGGAGAACATGGGCTCAAGCTAAATATCATTTGAAAACTATTAGCCCAGAATCCGTTAATTGGTTGAAAGATTCTGATGTTACTTGGTTATACGGTCCTTTATATAAAGAACCAAAGAATTTCCAAGCTCTAGATGGCACTTCTTCAAGTAATGCTACTGATAAGAAATATGGCTCTGATTCAGAATCTGCTCCAATAACTAAAAAATCTATAAAACAAGTTCCAGGTTCTCAACCAAGAATTAAAGGCCCAAAACCAATTTTAAAAAAAAGAACTGTCAGTGAAATGTTATCACAACCATCATTGATCAAGTTACCTCCACATAGACATAGGGGACAATCTCCAATCATTGAATCTGGGCATTCTTTACCTTCACCTCCTTCCATTGAAGATGATTTTGATGTAATTTCAAGCAGAGTTAATGCTCAATATAAGAAACATCCTCATCATGAAGAATCAAATCAACAGCAACCACATCATGATCAGCAAAAAAATATACTGGCAAGTGCCTCATCCTTAGATTCAATTCCAAAAAGACATGATGATTCAAAAGAACAAATTGCTTCATCTTCAGCTACTCCACAACTTCAACCTCAACAACCTCCAAAACGCCATATACATTTCAATGACCGTGTCGAACAGTGTATGGCTGTTAATTATCCAGATTCTGGCGAAGATGAAGAATACGATGAAGATTATGAAGGCGATGAAGAATTGAATGAATCAGATTCAGAAGATGAAGAAGGTGGATTTTTCTTACAAGTTAGAGCTCCTTCAACTCCTCAAATCCATAACAAGGATTTGGTTTTACCACTGTCATTGAATGAAGCAAAAAATTTAACTCAAGGTGAACATCCTCCAAGATTTCAAACCATTGAAATTTTACCTTGTACAACTTTAAAGCATGGATCTGATGAAGAAGATGAAGAAGATGACAATGATGATAAATATGCAGTTTCTCATAATGTCAACACAAGCAGAGGGTTCAATTACTATTATGATTATAATTCTGTTTATCCAAGTGACCAAAGTATACCTCATGTTCATTTAGGTAATAATGAATACGAATTGGATGCAAGTGCTCAACATCTTGAAGGTGTTAAATTAGTTGATGTCCCTGAAAATATCATTCTTGGGTCAAATGTCGAAATTGAAGACACTCCAAAATTTGCAGAACCTGAAACTACAGAATCAATTGAACAATCTACTATTTTACAAAAACCTGAAAATAAATCTAATACAAGTGGTGCATTTGTTTTACATTCAGATGAAGAAGGTGATAGCTCAAGTGAAGAAGATGAAGAACATGACAATGATCAACAATCTATGAATCCAAATACATCATCATCGTCATCTTCAGGAGGATCCAAAAATTTTGGTGAAAATATTGGTAAAATAAGTTCATCTCCTAGTTATGCTTCATTAAGTGATGTTGCTGCTCAAGGCTATATCTCTCAAAGTCCAAATTCAAATAATTTATCTAATGTCATTTCCAAGAACTATAATAATGCCAACAATAATATCAAAAGTAATGAACCAGTCATCAACCATAATAATAATAATAGCAATAGTAATGATGATAATAAAATTCCTAGTAATGCAATCACTAGTGAGTATGGTAATGATGATAATGATAACAATAATTTCAACAAATCAGATGTCAATGAAGTCCAAAAGGAGTCAGGTAGCGCAAGTCCAAGTGAAGAGAAAACTGGGTTCAAACATACTTTTTTGAATTCCTGGAAAAGAGGTAATTGAGTGCAAGCTCATGTGAATTGACATCTCTTATATATATATATATATATTTAACGATCATGAAATGAACGTGTATGTGGGATTGGTGGAGTTTTAATTTCTATTTGTTGTAGCTACATTGACGACGAAACAAAACGCAAAACGCATTCGCGAATGGGCTTGAAAACACGACTCAACTTCCAAAACAACAATTTAGATCAACATCACTTATCAGAAAAGATTCCCAAAGCTCCTCGAATCTTATCATTGGGTTTACCATGAACCATAGGATACCCAGTACTATACAGGAGAATGCTCAATCCGATTTCAATAACTCTATTGATCATCAATCATCATTCCGGAACTCACTTGATTCATTATCGTCCTTAGTTCATCCAGAAGCCAATTCCACTTCATTAGATTTGAATGATGACCTGGCAAGTACTGATAATCATAGCTCCAATTTGGCACTTTCCAGACGAAGTTTTGAAAGTTCAAGCTTTGTCACATCAAGCTTTAGACCAAGTTTTGACGATAGTTTGCCCCTATTAGGTTTGAACAGATTGTCTATTCAAAAAGTAAGTCCATTAGGTCCAAATTCAATCTATGAGATAATTGCAGATGTTGATTCCAAAAAAGCAACCACATCAAGCACGTTGAGTCCAAATGTTGGTAATAGAACCAAGGGGAAAAACTTACATATCAGACCTCCAACTCAAAAAGATATTCCAGCTATTCATTTATCAAAAGTGGAAAAGGCTTCAAGAGATGAATTGAAGAATTACTTGACTGACATTGGATCAGAATATGATAGATATGCAAGCAATAAGCAATTGACTACAACAACATTGGAGTCCTTTGTTAAAAGACAGAATGGAGGTGAGAATGAAAATGATTTATTAGAGAAAGAAATTGATTCGCTAGATACAATTCCCGAAATTTATTTCAAAGATAATTTCAACCTTGATGACCCAAGGGTTTTCAGCTCTGTTACAGAAGGAAACAAGATTGATAATCTAAATGATTTAGCCCAAGATAAACTTTCATGGTATCTTGATACTGTTGAAGTGCATTTGGTGAACGAAATTTCAAAATCTTCCAGTTCGTTTTTTGATGCATTGAACGATCTTAATGATATAAGTGGGAAGAACAAAAGTATTGTCAAATTAATTGAGAATTTGAAATTAAAACTCAAATCCCTACAAGAAAACAAGGTTGAAAAAAATTTGGATAAGATCCATCTAATTAATAAAAGAAAAAATGTGGCTAAATTAGAACAAGGGTTGCTACAGATGAATACTGTTTTGAATGAAGCTGATATTGCAGAATCTTTGTTTTTGAAAGGAGAGTATGGAAAATGCCTTGATAAGGTGGATTACGTTGAATCATTAATAAGAGGTGAAGTTACAGATTTGAGCTGGCCTTTCAAGCTACAAGATTTGAGATCGGTACCAGGGCTAGTCAATATGAGGGAACTGCTGTGTAACTTAAGAATTCAGACTGGCCAATCCTATTCTAAAATTTTTACAAATTTCTTGTTGGAAGATCTTCGTAAACATTATGAAGATATTGATGTTTTAAAAGTTTGTGAAAGGCTATCAACTAATTCAACTTATGAAAAGAAAATTGATAATGATTTTAAAGCCAAGCTTAATGAGTTCATAATAGGGTTGACTAGATGTGAGGAAATTGCTTCTGCATTCAAAAATTATGAAGATCAAACTGTTAACGAGATGAAGAACATTGTAAGATTTTTTTTGCCAAATGATGAAACCTCAAATGATTCTAAGAATGGTGGGACCTCATCGGTTGGATCCTCCAATAAACCAAGTGGTAAAAGTTTGAGTGCAATGATTAAAGGGTTAACACCCAGAGAGTTTGAAGATATGATTATTAAAATTTTTGCTACAGTTTCCGAAGGATTAAGAAGATTGACCGTTCATCAAAAGTTGCTATTAGATTTAGCGTTGAGTAACATCAAAGAGCAAGACCAAGATCAAACTAATTTAATCATGCAATTGGATATCAGAAATTGTATCAATAGGAGTATCGAGATTGTTCAAATCAGAATGGGTAAAATCATAGCTGTGAGGAAAGACATCAATGCTTCATTAAGGTCAGATTATTTCTTGAGGTTCTTTTATATAAATTCAATTTTCCTCAACGAATGTGAAAACATATCTGGCTTAAATTTCAAATTCCTACCTGATGTTATAAGCTCTCAAATTAAAAATTTCAATTTAACGTTCCATCATCATAATTTGAAAAAAGTGTCACATTCCTTAGAAGTGGAAGAATGGAAGCCATTAATAGTTACAACCGAATTACAAGATATTGTTTATAAAATTGTTGATAATGAAAATTTAGATGCTGAACAAAAATGGAAAAAAGATTTGTTGCATTTAAGAGATGAAAAAGAATCAGAGACCAATGGAAATCAAGAGCCAACTGCAAAAGATGAGCAAACATCACATAAGCGGTCAATTGTTGTTGGTGACAAGACGTTTGTTGCAAGTAACTCATTATTGACATTGATTTCATTAATTGCAGACTATTTTGTTTTGAAAGTCAATTTTCACCATTATTCAAACACTTATGAATCATATTTGCTTGAGCTATTCAAGTACTACAACTCAAGAACTTTCCAAAGTATAAAGAGACCAGATGGATCCTTGGATCGTAACAAAAATCTAAGTATTGTTGGAGAGTCATTGGATTGTTTACAAGAATTGATTCATTATATTCGTATCGATTTTGATAATCTGGAACTAGATGATCTATACAATACAATACTCCACCAGTTTGCAACTTCGAAATCCAGAATTGATAGCATTAACACAATTGATGAATAGATATGAACCCAATTTCAAACATCTTCTGTCTACTGTAGCTATAATACCGCATATATCCGGCGAAACTAGTCATGTGACATCAACATGGACCGGGTGACACTTCGCGAAAAGTTTTTTGCAAACCATTTTTTTTCGTTTTGAAAAGTATCAACAACAAAGTGCAAAATTTAAGGAGGTCACCCTATTCTTCAAATCCAAGTCGAAGGGTAACAAGAGTGTATCGATTTGATTTGTTTACATTTGTGTCATATAGCTGCTTGAAGAGAAATTGAATTTATTGAACTACAATGGAGTCTCGAGATTATCATGAGGGGGCAAAGGCATTGCTTGACCTGAAGAAAAAGGATGAAGTCAAGAGAGAAAAGGGCGAAGATGGTGAAGATCAACAACAACAACAACATATTGATGATGAAGACGCTCTTAACATAGAAGATGCACATCATGGTGTTGACGATGATGAATCAGGTAATAACAAGGATGACAACAATGTTGAAGCTGCAGTCATGAGATATGTTGGTGGCACTTTGGACAACAGAAAGTCAAATAAGAGAAAAAAATCGTTTCCAGCTAATGATGAGATCAACGAGTTTCAACATTGGAATGCCTTTTTGGAGACTGATCAATTACAACATGGTGATGATTTTGGTAATGAACCTAAAGATCAACCAATTCCAACACCTCAACCAAAATCTAGAAAAAAGAGAAAACAACAACAACAACATCTCCATCATCAACAAGATCACTCTGCCACTAGTAACTTGAATGTTGATCCAGAATTAGCTCAACTAGATGATACAACTGAACACGAACAATTAGTGAGAGCTGCTATTTTGGATGCTAATCAATTGGCTCAAGATGTTAATGTTAATATCCAAGACTATATTCAGCAACCACACGAAGATAATGATGGTAAATATGCTCAGCTTTCACAACAAGCAATTGATAACAATATAATCCAAGCAGCACAAGTTGCAGCCGCAGCAGCTGCAGCTCAAGAGCGTGATCGTGAACAACAGCACCAACCTCAACCTCCATCAGGCCAACAAGCTCAATCCCAACAACAAATCGAACATCAACCCGAACAACAACAGCAACACCAAAATCAACAACCATCTCAACAACAACATAACCGTCATCAACATCATGTTCCACCACCACAACAATCTCAAGAATTAAAGCAACAACTTCAGAGAACCACACCACCATCAACACAGTCTAATTCTGAAGCTGCTGCCTTGGTTGCAGCTGCTGCTCAAAAAGCTTCAAATTGGGTTCAAAATCAAAGTCAAGGTAAAATGTTTTCAAAAGAAGAGATTGAAGCTATTGATAAATTTATTGTTGATTATTGTCATATCAATAATATGACAAGAAGACAAATTTGTGAAAGAGTTTGGTCCAATGAACGTAAAAAAGATGATTTTTGGGAATCTTTACATAAAGTTTTACCATACAGAACTCGTGCTTCAGTTTATAAACATGTCAGAAGATCTTATCATATTTTTGATGTTCGTGGTAAATGGACTCCAGAAGAAGATGTTACTTTAGGAAGATTAGCTCAAGAAAAAGATGGACAATGGAAACTTATCGGTCAAGAAATGGGTAGAATGCCAGAAGATTGTAGAGATAGATGGAGAAATTATGTTAAATGTGGTAATAATAGAGCTCAAAACAAATGGCAAGATTCAGAAGAAGAGAAGTTAAAGAATGTTATTACTGAAATTCTAAATGAACAACTAAATTCTCCAGCTCCAATTATAAATTGGACATTAGTCTCAGAGAAAATGGGTGGTACAAGATCAAGAATTCAATGTAGATATAAATGGAATAAGATTTTGAAAAGAGATGCATTGGCTAGAGCTCAAACAATTGATTTGAATGATAGAATTTGGTTATTGACAAAATTACAAGAGTTGAGGTTTTTACCAGAAACTGAAATTGATTGGGATGCAATTGCATCATTACATCCAAAGAATTTTTGGACAGGTAATGATTTTAAAATTTGTTATGAAAAAATGAGATCATCAATTAGAGATTTCAAAAAGAAAAATGTTATGGAGATCAGTAGCATTCTGTTACAAGATTTGATTCATGATGCTGCTAGAAATAATATTGAATTGGATATACCTGTTGGCTTACAACAATTGGAAGCAGCAGCTCAAGCAGCGGCAGCAGCAGCGGCAGCAGCCAATAATGAAAATAGCAATAACAATCATGATGGTATTGATGAAGGTAATGGTAATAATAATTCAATAAAGGTTGATCCTCAGGTTCAACAACATGAACAAGATCATCAACAACACGTTGCTGAAGATGCTGCCACTAATATTGCCAATGCAGCAGTTAATGCAGCAAATTCTAATCAAAACAATAATGAAGATTTCCAAATTTGGAGATGATCTATCTAAGAAAAGACGTTTGGAGCTGAGTTGAGTTTATTTTTATGTGGTTTGTAAATTAGTGTATAGTGTTTCGGCTAAAATAAGATGATAAATGTTTATTCTTCCTCCTGACTACAATGATAACCTATTATAATTTACAGAAAGCTTTATTTTTTTTTGTTGTTGATTAACCTATACCATTAAAAAAATCCACAAATAAGTTTATTGATTAAAATTTCTCTACTTAAAATTTAGCAAATTTTTTGTTAGCTTTACCAGCAGCAGATTGAACTTTTAAAACGTTGAATCTAACAGTTTTTGAGATTGGTCTACATTGACCAACGGTAACTAAATCACCTTCTTCAACACGGAAAGCTGGAGAAACGTGAGCAGCCAAGTTTTTATGACGTTTTTCGTATCTGTTATATTTTGGAACGTAATGTAAGTAATCTCTTCTGATGATGATAGTACGGTGCATTTTGGTTGAAACAACGGTACCAGTTAAGATTTTACCACGGATAGAAACTAAACCAGTGAATGGACATTTTTTGTCAATGTATGAACCTTCAATAGCAGCTTTTGGGGTTTTGAAACCTAAACCGACGTCTTTATACCATCTTTTGGTACGACGGTTAGCCTTAGCTTTTGGGTTGGTGAAGATGTGTGGTTGCTAAAATCTAGTTAGTAATGTATTCTTAAATTAATCAAAAGGTTTTAGAGTAAAACAAATGTGCAATTTGTAGTGTGTGAGTAATGATAGAAATCTATTGTAGTATTTTGACGTTGATATCTCTGTATATGTGAAATTTCACTTTCTGTGCAATATGCTCTGAATAAATCTTTTCCTTTGTGATATCTGATCTCTTTGGGTTTAATTATATGACTCTTGGTTTCATTCTTCCTACTGTTATTCAATCTGATCTATCACTTGAACTCTTGGTTTTGGTTTACTCTATATTTTCAATTCTCTTCATCATCACACAAACACAAGATAAACACATTTATAATCTCTAAACCTCTGGGTATTTCTGTATCACCTACTTTTTGGAAAGCACGTTCAGCTTGGACAGTTAATTCGGTAGCCATCTTGTCTGTTGTTGTATACTAAGCTCTAAACTAAGTGTTACAAGTCAGTAATACGTTTTTTACTTTTTTGATGATTTTTTTCATTTTCCAGCTTGGACACTCGCAGTCGCACGCTCAGCGCAGAAACTTTTCCTCAGAGTGCGCGTACGAAAACAAGCAACTAAAAGATTATGTAAGAATGGGTCTGGGACACACTAAAGCGATCCAAAAATTGCGTCGCTTTTCAGTTTTTGGGCGCGAAATTCGCGGTGGATATGGTTGGCGACGCAGTGGTGAGCGGATGTTTTTCAGATTAGGGCAAGGATCATGTGATTAAGTGATAGGGCTACAGCTTGTTATATTGTTGATGTACATGGATCAATTACTTTCATGTAACAAGAATGACAGTTCTTTAGCCTTGGATTCACCAACCATTCCTGCTAACGTATCAACACCTTCTAAGAACTCATGGTCATCATACTCAAACCCAGGCACAACAACTTCACTGATTAATAAATGATCATCTTTTGATTCTCCAGTTGATTCATTTAATGGTAGAAGGAAACTTGCTTTATAAACACCACCTGGCACAACCCATTGAGATACTTCACCTTTGGAATGATTGAACCCGACTATGAATGATTTCACAGAACCATCTGGATATATCAAGACATATTGACCTCTACCCTTTTGTAAGATATGGATAATTCTATTATTGTTTTTATGAAATCTACCATATGGGATCTCTGGAGTTAGCAAATAATAGATCAATGTGGAATAGTTTCTGTATTTATCCTTTGCTAATTGTTGATTGTCATTGATTGGTTTTATTGGTTTATTATCATCTTTATGGAACGGGTTTTCTAAGAGAAAAGGTGATCTATCAGTTTCTTTGAAATAACCACCTTCTCTATGGCCTTCGAGACCTAGTTCATTTATGAATTGATCATTTGATTCGGATTTACCGAATGTTTGTGTGAAGTATAATGGTTTCTTGACAATTACATTGTGCAAACCATCTATAGTTGGAGATTGTAATGATTGATCTGGCATCTTGTGTAAACTATTCTTGGACACTTTTAACTGAATACTTGTGATTTTTGATAATATGACTCTCTTCAATGCAATATCCACAGCTCTTGCAAAGGTCAAATCAAGTACTACTACACAATATTCAACCCCATCATATTAAATTGAAAGTTGAGATTGTGGTTGAATTCGCGGAATTGAAAGGAGCTGTGATGACATAATCGTCAGATCGAGTTAGTTGCCATAGTTACATGATTCAATTTTGAGGCGATGAATGAATCTAATTCAGCTGCACAGGATAAAGAATTCTTTATTTTTGAAATGGTCAGCCATGAGACATGAGACGGTTACACCTCAAAGATAAGAATGTAGATAGAAATGAGGGTTGAGTATGGAATACACCATACAATTTAATCAATATTTCATGATTTTAGTAGAGTGTCGATCAATTTCACGTATCCTTTGTGAAGCCTCGCTTTCGTCACCAATGAACAAAAGGAGTTGGTTCAATCAAATATGCCCAAACATGAACTACACATTTGTGTTCAACAAAACTTGTCCATAATGTTAAACAAACCCTCCATTCCTTTCTTATATACTCGTAACTCCAGTTAACTCAACTATTTGATGGTGCATTAATTTTGTTCACTTTAACGTCTTTATCTCCCCACAAGTTCAAACTATTCAGTAATTTTCCTTCTTCATGTAATTTCTTAATATCATCAGACCCACCTCTTGAAACCCCATTAATAAATAAGTTAGGCACTGTCTTTCTACCAGTTTTAGTACCTATAAAGTCTTGTAATTGACGACCATTTTTATGTTTATCCAATTCCACAATAGTTGGAGGTGGATTAATTTCATATTCTGATTTTAATAAATTCTTTAAAGTTTGAGAATATCCACAATAAGTTTTTGAAAAAATAACAACTGGAGAAAGTCCTAATATTGATTGTAATTCACTTGCTGCATCAAATTCAGATGATACTGGTGTATTTGTGTTATCTTTTGTACCATCTTTATTTGGTTTTTGTTGTTGTTTTTGCTTGATTTCAACGTTACTTTCATCTTTATCTTCATTAGATTGTAATTTATTTTTGATTTTCTCTTCATTTGACTTGATTTTGGATTCATCTATAACTCCAATTTTTGTTGTTGGTTCTATATTTGTTCCTTGAGATTTTGAACCTGCCACTGTGGTATTTGTGACCTTGTGATTATGAGTTTGAATGACAATGAAGACAACTGTAAGTAGGAAGGCACTTAATGCTAGGATTCTGCTTTTTCTTGAAGACACCATGATTATTGATTATGAGTAGTACTTCCAATTAGTGAAAAGAAGTTGGTTGGAACTTGAATTAAATAATAAAGAATTTGTTCATACGCTGCAAAATCATTTTTTTTACCCGGGACGAAAAAGAACACGGTATGCGCCACACAAAGTGCCAAACCATAAGCAAGTGAAGAAAACTTTAAGTGAAAAATTCGAAGAAAAGGTGTGTGAATCTGAAATAAGTTACAAAGTTTATGCTATAGAATGAATTAATTTGCTGTTGTTTGACGCATTTCCGTTTGTTCTATACCGTTATTAACAATCTTTTGTTTTGGTCTGTTTATTTACAGCCATTCCAAATGAAAAACAAAAAAAAAACACATTGTGTATAACGTAATCTTCAATCAATCTCTCCATCTAACTAAAACTTCATCTGTTCTGAATTTTTGAGTGCAAACAGTATCTTTAAAATCAAACTTTTGACCCATTCTATATTCTAGTAACCCAGCATGTGCAATCATAATCCCATTATCAATACAAAATCTTTCATCCGTAGCGAAAATAGAACCATTTCTATCTAAAACCATCAATTCCATTTGTTTTTGTAATCTTTCATTACATCCAACACCTCCAACTATTAATACTTGATTAGTATTAACATGAGCCATTGCCCTTTCAGTGATTTCAACCAACATTGCAAATAATGTTTCTTGTAATGAAAAACATAAATCTTCAACAGTAATCTTTGGTTTTTTTGTTTCTTTATCAAATATCAATTTATTTGAATAATTATTTTTAAACAAATCATTTGCTAATTGATCAATATATGCTAAAATACCACTCATACTTAAATCCATACCTTTCACTGTATATGGTAATTCAACATAATTTGAACCTTTTTTAGCCAATTGTTCAATATTATATCCAGGACTTGGATCATTTGGAATTTTTAAAGTTCTTGCAAATCTATCCAAACAATTACCAATAGCAATATCCAAAGTTTCACCAAAGATTCTATATCTTTGATTACTATATGCAATAACTTGAGTATTACCACCACTGACATATAAAACAACTGGATTCCAAGCACCTGTGATTTCTCTACCCATTTCAATATGACCAATACAATGATTAACACCAATCAATGGCAAATCCCATAGCTGACTTAAGGTTCTAGCTGCAATGACAACACTTTGTAAAGGTGCACCCATACCAGGACCTTTTGTAAAACAAATACAATCCAATTCAGATGGTTTTAAGCCAGCTTCTTTGATAGCATTTTTAATCAATCTAACAACCCAATTTCTATGATGACGTGCAGTATCACGAGGTAAGAAACCTTCTCCAGGTGGTGTTATATATGTATCTCTTATATTTGATAAAACTTCAGCTCTATTAGTTTGTGATAAATCCCCAAGTTGATGTCGTATTATACCAACTCCTAATTTATTTGCAGAGCCCTCTAGACCAATAGCTGTATAGACTTTTTGACCAGCTTTAGCATAATTGTCCAATGAAACCATGGTTTCTTCTTTAATGATTAATACAGACAAAGATGAGCTTTTGAAGCTTGATTCATCATCACCATTGATCTTGATCTTTTTTAAAAACTTGAATTTCGAGCCTCGGAAAAAACGTGATCTGGGTCGGAACTACTCCAGAAATAACTAAATTCGATTAAGAATGTATATATAATGAATTCATGGCTACAGATTGATCTATAAAATGAAATAAGTTGCTGTACTAAATATGATATAATGGACTGCTATATTTCTATCTCCAAGATCACCGACGATAGTTGTGTGTTTTCATAGCAAAAGTTTTTGAAATTCAAAGAAATGAACAAATGAATACCAACCTGAGATCAACTAGCTAGCTGTAAGAGATTAATGGCGTCACTATAATATGTGAGTCATCTTCCTTGAAATAACTTGGCGCTATAGAGTCAGATAGACGAAGTACGCTTCCATTAAGCTGTAATATCAAGTTTCAACCTGGTCTCACATCTGAACTCAAATCAACTCCATTTAAAACATCATCTAGTTGCTGAAAATCAAATGAATCAACAGTATTATTAAAGTCAGATAAATCTGTGTCAGAATGGAAGGACGCAGAAATATCTTGAGCATTTTGGCTTGAGGAGACATTGGCATTTGATCTATTGTTAGTCACACTTGAATTACTCTGACCATCAATATTAGCTCTCTCAGAGTAGGCAGGTGGTGGAACATAACTTGTAACGGAGTCCTTGTAGGACGGTGGTTCATCTTTATTTTCACCCATCTTGATCTTTTCAAAGCATCTTCAGCTTGGACTCTCTTCAAACGTGGTTGATGGTGTAAATGAGAATTCTTTATACCAAAAACGCTTATCTGTCTGGAGGAGATTCGAGGGACCGAGGTGCCTTTCACGTGATATTCCTGTGAATGCTCTGGGGGCAATTGACACATAACACCATGACAGTGGTATAAAACAAGGAAAATAACAGCAAAAATACAGCAACAAAGTCAAAATATTTTGATGAATCATAGAATTTTTATTACCACAAGCGAAAAAGAATTCACCAATAACAAAATTTTGAAAAGCAACGCACTTTAACTGATTTTTTTTAGGCTCCGCGAATTACTTTCTTCGCGCTTTCTCTCCAACGAAAAATTGGCCTTTTTGCTTAAAATTTCATTTGCCCTTTGTGATTTGATTGCAAAGTTGGTAACAAGTTTGTAATTTATGGATCAAACGAGAGACTGGTTTTAAGTTAATTGGATTTAAGCATCATAAACAAATAGAAAATCAAAGGATTGTGAAGTTTGAAACTGCTTTTCTGAATTCGAAATCAAAGAAAAGTTGGATTCACAGATTTTAGACTAGTGATTTTTGTGTGTGATTCAACCGTTGCTGATCTCAAAGATTTTAATCAAGAGTTGAAATATAAGCAGTTGAAATATTTGATAACAATACTATCCAGACTTTAATATCGCTCATCTTAGCTTGTTCCATGAAGTGAAATGTCCAGTTCCAATAATCAAGCAAGTTCCAATGGAACTGATATATATTCAACAACTTCAAGGTTTTCAAAAGCTGTTAGTGCAACCGCCTCTGCTTTAATCAATCCAGCTGAAGGATCAACTACAAGCGATGCCCTTTTATCAAATTCAAGTTACAAGAGAGTCATGAGAGATGCATTGAGTTCGAAGAATTCTTTAGCTTTGGCAAGAAGGCGAAATAATGATAAGGTTGATCTATATGGAAGCCGGTATGCCACTTCAACTGAGTACTTTAAAAATGCCTTTAGCTCTTCCAAAACAGCATATAAGATACTTACACATATTCCTGATGAACTTTTAGAAGAAATCCCTGAAGAAAAACCTCAAGCTTTTTCATTATTTCAAGGATTTAATGCAACATTACCTGAAGTTGATGAAGAAATAACAGTATCGAAAACTTTAGGAGCAGATGAGGGTGATTTTTTGAAAAAATTAACAAATAGGGATGATGGTAAAGAGGATGAAGAAGATGATTTCAATTTTAGATTACCTCAAGGAATTACAAAAGAGAAAATCACAGGTTCATATTCGACACATAAATTACACAACTACAAACAACAACTAAATAACAACTTGGAAACATTAGAAATCAGGAAAAACTTGGCTGCAAGTGAAATACTTGAACTTGATAATAAAATTGCTCAACTAAACCAATTAAGGAAAGTGGTTTTCAAGAGAGTTGCTAAAATTGAACAAAATGAATTATTTTTGGAAACTCATTTACAAGATATTGATGATAGAATACAAATGATTAAAGACTATAATATGGAACAACCAGATGATGATGAAGTTGAAAGAGACACAGAGGATCAAGAGAAGGAAAATGTTCAAACACCAGGAAGTAGAAAAGTTTCAAGAAATAAATCCAACAATATTAATGGCAACGGTAATGGAGTTAGTGGGAATGATAACAATGATGAAGATAACGATGAATCATTTGAAGACGGTAAACCACTCATGTCACAAAGTATTTATGGTAAATTACAGAAAAAACCACCAAAGTTCAAAAAGAAACACCATAAGCATCGTAAAACCATGCCAACATTACAACAATACTATGAACCAGGTACAGAAATAAGAGCTATCCAAGCACACGATGAATCTGTGAACTGCTTTGACTTTGACATTCCTTTCGGTACAATGGTTTCTGCATCTTTAGATAATACTGTTCGCGTTTGGGATTTAAGTAAAGGGAAATGCTCAGGAATGCTGGAAGGTCATATTGCACCTGTCAGTTCAATCCAAATGGATGACTCATTTGTTGTCACTGGTTCATTGGATGCTTCTTTGAAATTATGGGACCTATCTAGATTACATCAAGATTTTGAAACAATTGCAGAAGAAGGTGAAGAGGAAGGACCATGTGTCTATACTTTTGAATCACATATTGAAGAAATTACAGCATTAAGCTTCCATAATTACAATCTAGTCAGTGGTTCTCAAGATAGAACTATAAGACAATGGGATTTACAAACTGGCCATTGTTTACAAACTATTGATGTGTTATGGGCTTCTCAAATCAATCAAACCACTAATGTTGATACCTCAGTTATTGTGGATAGAGTTAATCCTTTCATTGGCTGCTTACAAACATATGATGCTGCATTGGCTACAGGTACATCTGACGGATTAGTTAGGTTATGGGACTTGAGAAGTGGTGAAGTTGTTAGATCTTTAGTTGGTCATACTGCTCCAGTTACATGCCTACAATTTGATGATAAACATTTAGCAACAGGTAGTTTGGATAGATCAATTAGAATTTGGGATTTAAGAACTGGTGGTATTCACGATGCATTTGCCTATGAATCTCCAATAACTTCATTACAATTTGATTCAAGAAGAATTGTTTCCTCGAATTGTGAAACCACTGCAAAGATTTATGATAGAATTGATGAAAAACACTCTTCATGTGGTGGGAAAGACGCTGGCAGTGCTATTATAAACTATGTTCGTTATAAGGAAGGATATCTGGTTGAAGGTAGAGCTGATGGTAAGATTGGGGTCTGGGCCGTATAAATCAAAACCAAAATACAACACATTCAGGCCAAAAAAAAGAAATAAACACTATGCATTATATATACCACACCACACAGAGAAAATGTACATACTATTCATGGGCATCAATTGGACCATTTTAGGTGTAGAAACTAGTTTTTTGTTGTAATTCTGTTGGTCTTATAAGGCCAGGTCGGAAGTCACGTTTTCTACCCTCGTAATAGTTCATCCAAACACCAAATATTTTTTTTTCTTCGACGCGCTTCACCAAAGAAAAACGTATTAAGATCAAAAGATTTGTTACCAATCAATTGATATTAACTGGTATTCAATTCTCTCAAAAGATCTAATTGTTAAAAGATGAACTTTGGAGGTCAAGCACCAACTGTTGTTGTGCTAAAAGAAGGTACAGATTCTTCTCAAGGGAAAGGTCAAATCATTTCAAATATCAATGCTTGTATTGCCATTCAAGAAACTTTGAAACCAACATTAGGTCCATTAGGTTCTGATATTCTTATCGTTACATCAAGTGGTAAGACTACAATCTCGAATGATGGTGCTACTATCTTGAAATTATTAGATGTTGTTCATCCGGCTGCTCAAATATTAGTTGATATTTCAAGATCTCAAGATGCTGAAGTTGGTGATGGTACAACTTCTGTTACAATTTTAGCTGGTGAATTATTAAAAGAAAGTAAAACTTTTATCGAAGAAGGTATTTCATCTCATGTCATTACAAAAGGTTATAGAAAAGCTGTTGGATTGGCTGTTAAAAAGATTAAAGAATTAGCTATCAAGATTGATAAAGCAAAATCAAGTGAACAAGAGTATCGTGAATTATTAGAAAGATGTGCAAGAACTGCCATGTCATCAAAATTGATCAATAACAACTCACAATTCTTTGTAAAGATGGTTGTTGATGCTGTTTTATCTTTAGATCAAGAAGATTTAGATGATAAGTTAATTGGTATTAAAAAAGTTCCAGGTGGTGGTATTGAAGATTCATTATTCATTGATGGTGTTGCATTTAAAAAAACTTTTTCATATGCAGGTTTTGAACAACAACCTAAAAGATTCACAAATCCAAAAATATTAAATTTAAATGTTGAATTAGAATTAAAAGCTGAAAAAGATAATGCAGAAGTTAGAGTGGAAAAAATTAATGATTATCAAGAAATAGTTGATGCAGAATGGCAAATCATATTGAATAAATTAAAATTGATAGAAGAAACTGGTGCTAATATTGTTTTATCAAAATTACCAATTGGTGATTTAGCCACTCAATATTTTGCTGATAGAAATATTTTCTGTGCAGGTAGAGTTGCCTCTGAAGATATGAACAGAGTTATTCAAGCTGTTGGAGGTTCTATACAGTCAACTTCAACAGACATCAAACCTGAACATTTAGGTACTTGTGCTACTTTTGAAGAAGTTCAAATAGGTTCAGAAAGATACAATTTATTCAAAGGTTGTCCAGAAACCAATACATGTACATTAATATTGAGAGGTGGTGCTGAACAAGTTATAGCTGAAGTTGAAAGATCATTACATGATGCTATTATGATTGTTAAGAGAGCTGTTCAAAATAATGAAGTTGTTGCAGGAGGTGGTGCAGTTGAAATGGAAATTTCCAAATATTTAAGAGATTATTCTAAAAAAATTGCAGGTAAAGAACAATTAATAATTAGTGCATTTGCTAAAAGTTTAGAAGTTATCCCAAGACAATTATGTGAAAATGCTGGCTTTGATGGTACAGATTTATTAAATAAACTAAGAATGGCACATGCAAAGGGTCAAACTTGGTACGGTATTGATTTTAATAAAGAGTCTATTGGTGATAATTTTGAAGAATTTATTTGGGAACCTGCTTTAGTTAAAATTAATGCATTATCAAGTGCTACTGAGGCTGCTAATTTAGTTCTTTCAGTTGATGAAACCATTAAAAATAAAGAGAGTGGTGCACCAAATGCTGGTATGGCACCTCCTCCAGGTAGGGGTATGGGAGTTCCACGTTGAAGAGAATAGTTTTTATGAGACTACAAAACACCTTAAAGAATAAATAAAAGATTCAAATGAATTGAAGAAAAAAAAATTGTAAATGACTTGTAAATGACGACTTTATTATCTAGCAATGAATGATATTATAAACTTTTCTTTGACCTCCTTACGATGTGTACACTTATTCCTCCTCACTACTACTACTCAAATCATCTTCATCTTTTGAACTCATACCAGCCAAATGTCTAAAATTAATTGGTCCATTCCCATTCTTGACCCCAAAATCATAAGTTTTATCACCACTTGTACTTAAAGAAGTATCTTTTGATCCATCTTCAATAGTTATGAAATTATCATCACTTAATAATTCTTCTTCTAATTCATCAACTAAAGAACCAAATTCATCATCATCTGAAGGTGATTCTTGTTGAATTGTTGGTGTTGATATCGTTGAAGGTGGTTTTTTTGAAGAAACTTGATTTGGTAAAGGTTTAAGGGTATTATTATTACTATTACTTCTTGGTTGTGGTGTTGTATTTCTTGAGGTAGGGGCCTTATTTTGAGTATCATGTATGGTTGATGGTTCAGATTTGGAGATAGTCTTCTTTTCTGTAAGCTTAGAATTTGTAGAGCTCTTTTTAGTAACATTTGGTTTGCTCTTTTTCTCAGGACTGACAGATGGTGTTGGAGATGTTCGCTTTTGACTTATTTTTGATGAATTTTGAGTAGACTTTTGAGGTGATGTAGATGAGTCTGATGAAGGCTTCTTGATTGAAGGATTCACTTTTGGAGACTGTTTTGACACTGTCGATCTTTTTGATGCTGTTAATTTTGACAAGGGAACCTCATCTTCATCTGATGATTTACCAGTGGGTTGAGTTTCAGATGAGGTTTTCGAGGTTGATGATTTCCCACTGACTGGTGGTTTTGATAATGGAGTTTTAGCCCTTGGTTTTGGTTGGAAAATGGATGGCTCTTTTGCTGGTCTCTTCCTTAAGGCAGTTGAAGAGGTTGTTGATGGCGACAAAGACTTTGTTTCGCTGGGCTGTGGGGATTGATCCTTTGTTGGTTTCTTCAAGTTATTGTTGGAAAGAGTTCTATTTTTAATAATGGAATTTGTTCGCAGTTGCAAGTCCAGTTTCTGAAGTTCAAACGACTTGGAGTTAGGATTGAAGACCAAAATGCATTCTAGATCCTTGGGCTGGATTGATGTTCCTTCAAACACTATTCCCTGGTCGTGCTAAATGGCTGTTAGTATTCCATGTTGCTAATCCATCTCGAAACAAGCACATACCTCAGTCGATTGTGATTTGAGCTGGAAGGACGGTTTCTCGTCTCTCGTGAGCTCTGCTGGCTGAGTATCATCTATAGAGTCTGGTCTAAACCCGTCTGCTTCGTGTTAGCACTGTAATACCTTTGAACGTGGAGGGTTCACTCACATCTTATGCTCAATATCTCATCATTCACCCTCTGAATTGGCCTCACTGGACCTGATGATCCATTATTATGATCCTGGCTGACTCCCAGCTGGTTCTGTAAAACGTCTGACAATTCGAGCTCGTACTCGCCATCTGGAATCCCCAGCTCCATATGAGACATTCTCTAGAATATGTTTATTCAGCTCGTTTTCGATTAAAACTGAATAAAAGTTTTTGATCAATTAATCAAGAATTTTGTTGCAAGTTACAACCGAAAAAACGTAAATTGGTGAGAGCGATTACATAATTTTGGGTGTACTGCTGACAAAGCACAATAGATAAGAACATTAAATTAACGTAAATTTTACAAACTTGTTTGGCTAAGATCTCAAGGCCCTTAGTCTCTCTGTGAGCTTGTCTTCTTTATCCTCAGAGACCTTGGTTGTGTTCTTGATTGGCTCTTGTGGCTGCGCGTTCTCTGGCAAGTTGTGCTTCATCTCGAGTCCAGCCTCATCAGCAACTTTACTCATCAAGAGATCAACTTCATCCTGAGGCGTGGTTAAGGCAGTAGCATTATTTGTAGCTCCTTCATAGTATTCAGTGGTGGCATCCAAGTCTTCAAACTGTTGTTCAAACTTCTCCATAACCAAAGATATATGTTCAAGATTCATAGTTTGTAAGGCCTTATCCATCCCTTTTATAACATTTGTCATATTACCTGTAACTTGTCTCATGGTCACTGCTGTCTGCACTCTAGAGGCAACAGCGTCTATACGCGATGCTAGTCTCAATAGATTCAATCTTTCATTGGCTTTACGAATGGCATTTTGAGCATATAATTTTGCGATATCTTCATTACCTTGTATCATGGCCTAAAAAAACAGAGTTAGAAAACAAAGAATCAAACATTTGTTGCGCTCAAAACTTACCTTCTTCACTTTATTTTTTTCAGCAGTCTCTTCTTTGCCTGCTTTACCGGCCTGTCTAGTTAATTGTTTAGCTGTGAACTAGAATCATTTTTGTCAGTACTGCTTTGAAAGAAAGGGTCACTAATGACTTGAGACTTACTTTCAATTGGAATAACGATTCTAGACAATATTAGTATCATATTGTACACAATTTCTCACACAAAACACTCACTTTCTAGTCCAGACATCTTTACCCTTCTATTTGTAGTTTATTTACCTTAAATCTCAAGTTAAAACCTACCAAGTTCATGTTCAACGTTATAATTTTTAAAGGCGATTGAGATCAAAAAAAGAAAAACTTGGTTCCGGGACACACCATAATAACCAACAAAACTTTTAACCATAAAAAATGTCTCATATATTAATTAAAAAATGCTTTATAAACCTCACAATTACAATTATTATTATATTAATTACCCTTAAATGTTACCCAAAAGATTAAAAAAAAACCTCAACCTATGCAAATATATTTTCTTTCCTTTCAATTGTTTAATAAAACTTTTGAAATACAAATTGAAATATCATCAATTTTACCCCCAGTTATGAATTGATTACTCAGTTCATTAACTTTTTCCACATATGGACAAACACAATAATTGTCAAATGCAGTACTTTTTGTCTTGTATAATAAAGAATTCGAAACCTCTTGTAAATTAGATTTTTCTTTATTCAACTTCTTATTGATGATTTCTAAAATTTCATCATTGTAAAGATTATCTGTAACACCATCCGAACAAACCAGAATTAAATCATCTTGCTGTAATTCGAAATCATAAAATTGCACAACTGATGATGGTAATTTATCAGTTTTTGTAGTTCCAACTTGTTCAGGACATAAATTAGCAATATATTGTTCAGAATTTGATTGAACAATTTCTCCATCTCTAATAACAAAAAGTTTTGAATCTCCAATATTCATGATTTTTAAGGTCTTATCTATAATCATACCAATCAATAAAGTTGAAGAACCTTTAAAATCTTCAGATTTCATAATTTGAATACTATCTTTATAAGCATCATCTAAATTTTTGGATAAATCCTCCTCTTTAATATTGTTTAAATTATCTGAATTCTTAAAAGATAATTCTGAAAAATTCCTACTTATATTCTCCAAAAATGATCTCGCAAATAATCCAGAATTTGCATGGGCTCCACTCCATCCACTAACACCATCTGCAACACCAACTAAATTTGGTGACACAATCATAGCATCATCACCATTCTTTATAGATAATGTCTCTATTGGATTACCATACAATCTTCTTCTTGGTAATAATGACAAGTTGTTTGAAGAATCTGTAAGATCCATTAAAGAGCTAATTAAAGGTTTTGATGAACCACCATGGTGAACATAACTTGCAAAACTATATTTGAACTTGAAATGATCTGGACTATCTTTCTTCTTGGATGAGTTAATGCTTGATGGTGATTGTGCTGAGCTTGAAGTTGGTTGATAATAGAAAGTTGGACGCCGTATTTCTTGGTGATCATTACTTGAAGGCGAACTCTTGATTGATGAAGCTTGCACTTGATCCTTCGAGACGTAGCGAAGGACATTGTTCAAATAACGGTTACTATTTCTAGCGACTGACTTCAACATGATTCAACCACGCGTTAAAACCTTTTCCAAAGAGAAAAAAACACACCAGATTTTTTAATCAATAATCAGGTTTAATCAAATAAACGCTTTCTCAACAAAAAAAGACACCCTTCAACTTTTTTATTATCTCTTTCAAGAAATCTGAGCCTATTTATTTTTCTTTTATTAAAAACCTTTTTTTTTTAATTTTCCCTCTCGCAAAAAAAAAAGAAAAAAAAAAAATCAGAATCGGTAACGCGCAACATGTGCCAAAATCCAAAATTGCTACGGGACACACCACTATAACCAAAATAACAAATAAATTTATTCTCTCTAATTTACAAATAATGTACAAAATATAATACAAACAACCTCATTCTCTCTAATTGGAAGCCAGCTCTGAAAAGTATTGACGCAAGATCAAGGACAACATGTTTGGAAGATCTGTAATATCATGGACAACAACATAGAACTCAAATGGGAAAGTATCCAAGTATTTATCAACTTTTAAAACCATATTACCATTGACATCTGGTACATAATTAACTTGACTCATATCCATAATGGATTCATTGGAGTTGATACCATCAATGATGACAAAGACTAACATGATTCTTTCCTCTCTAGCACGACGAACTAATCTTTGAAGTGTTTCATGATCTTCACAAACACCATCTGATATAATAATTTGTAATTGCCATAAATCACTACTACCTAACGCTCTTGCATTGTTGAATATTTCAATAGATTCACCAACCAATTGTTTAACATCAGTTCTTGTTTGTTGGAAATCAAATTTTTGGAAAATCTTTGCACCAGTATCTGAACTAAATTGTTTATCAAATGGATGAACAACTTTAGTATTTTCACCAAATTTAACAATTGATAAACCACCAGATTCTAGTTGAGTCAAAGCTTTAGAAACTAAACAGATACTTTGGAATGCCAAATCAACAGATTTACTTTCTGACATTGATTTAGAATCATCAACAGCAATCATAATTTGATATTGACGCTTACTTGGCTTTGTACGTCTTAACCAAATTTTATCTTTTCTGAATTCTGAAGCAATATATGGAATGATTCTCTTCATATTCAATCTCTTACCTGTCTTATAATCACCTTTCAATTTAGTGCTTAAGGTAGGTTCTAGAATCAAACGTAATTGTTCACAAAGACTTGCTGCTAATTCTTGAGTTTCTAAATCACTCTTTCTCCATAAATCACGAGCTTCTTCAATATCTCTAAAATCTTCATCTTCAACAACAACTTCTGGTTTCAATAATGATGTAGCTATGTCTTCTTCTTCATCTTCATCTTCAATCATTTCAGCCTTGGCAAAATCTTCTTCACCTAATGTTTCAGTTTTTCTTTCACCAATGAAACCACCTTTAGTTTTACCATTAAATTCATCTGGTTTATCATCTTGGTTTTCTCCAACATCTTGAACATCAGATTCAGCTTCTTCTCCACCACTCATATCAACATCCTCATCTTGATCTTTCTTGACATCTTGATCATCTTCATCATCATCAATAGCTTTATCTTCATCAATCGATGAAATTTGATCCTTGTTTGCAGCACCTAAAGCTTGAGTATTGGTATCAGTATTTTCACCATCAACATGTTCAAATTCATCAGGACGTTCATTAGCTGATTGTTCGGCAGTTTCATCTTTTTCTGAAGATTCTTTAATTTCTTGATGACGACGGTGGAACTCTTTTAATGAGTCACCTAGTTGTTTTAACGATTCTCTAGCATCATCACGAGCATCATCATTATTAGAATCACGATCAGCTTGTTCTTGTTCTTGATTCATTGCAGAACCAGAAGCACCAACATCTTCTTTCTCATCTTCAGCTTGAGCTTGAGCTCCGTCACCTTGTTCACCAGATTTCTCTTCAACAGCAGTTTCCATATCAATATCATCATTATTATTTTCACCAGTCTCCCCACTTTCAATACCTTCCATACGATCACCTTGTTCTTCAGTGTTATCCATTTGATCGTCATTCTCCTCTTCATGCTTACTATCCTTTAGATCTTCTTCGACATCGGATTTATCACCAGCTTCCAAAGTTTCTTCATCTTCAGCTGGATCTTCCTCGTTCCCTTCTTCATTTTCAGCACCGACTTCTTTCTCAATTTCACCTTGGTCCTCGTTGTCTTCTTCGTCTCCTTCTCCTTCAGCATCATCGGCTTCAGCTTCCTCCTCTTCTTCCCCTTCGCCTTCTTCGCCATCCTTATCATCTTCATCTAAATCCATATTGTCATCAAGACCATCATCCATACCTTCACCACCATCTTGATCTTCTTCCTCTTCTTCTTTTTCGTCCCCGGAATCCAAATTAATATCATCTGGAAGATCAAGGGCTTCACTTTCTGGAACATTTTGTTCAAGATCTTCATTCTCTTCATTCTTAACTTCATCCTCTTGTTCTCCAACGTCTTCTTCCTCTTCGGCTTGGCTATCATTTTCATTTTCATTTTCATCTTGATCTTTGGAAGACTTATCTTTATCATCTTTTGAATCACCTTGTTCTTCTTCATCTTCATTTGCTTTCATGTCATCAGCAGTTGAATTTTCAGGCATCTTTTCTGACTCTTTTTCCTTCTTATCTTCTTGTGCTTCTTCATCCCACATCTTTTCATCAACAGCATTAGGATCCAAATCATCAAGGTCATCGATTTCTTCATCAAGATCTTCCTTATCTTCGTCATCTTCATCATCTTCATCGTCATCTGGATCTTGATCAGAAGCATTTTCGAGATCACCAGCCATATCACCTTCAATATCAACAGCATCTTGATTATCATCTTCATCTTCATCATCTTTTTGGTCCTTGTTAGGTTCTTGAGCATTTTCAGTTAAATCTTCATCATCTTCAACATCATTAGAATTGTTGTTGACACCTTCCCCATCACCTAAACCTGTACCATCTTGTAGATTATCATCTTCTTTAGATTCAGAAGGTGGTTCAGGAGAACAGAACCCATCTTTAGCCAAATTGTATAACGAAGTACCAAAAACATAGGTTGAACGAGAAACATCAATATAATTAGCCTTTCCTGTGTTCAAAACGATGGTAGCTAATTCAGTATAGTTCTTGATGAATGGAGATGTGAATCCAAATAATGATTTGATTTGTAATGATTCTTCTTCATCAAAGTTATGGGAGGAGACAAATTCAATCAGCTCATTCAATGATATGTTGATACTATCATGGTGTAAAGATTTAATCAATGCAGTTATTTGTACTTGAGATTCAGTGAACCATTTATCAGTCTCTGTAGTTAACTCTTCAGAATTTAAAGTTTCAACAATTCTTTGGAAAACAACAAGCACTTTTGTCGACACTTTTCTCAACAAAGTTTCAACAACACTAACTGAACCCTTATTAACATCAGAGGATTCTAGATCCTTCCCAAAAGTAACAGCACCGATCCAGTTGGTGACTGATTCAATAATAAAGCCAACACTTGGGTTTGATTCTTTCCATGATTGTGATTGATCAACAAATTTATTCAAACAACTTTCAAAGTGGTTTAATTCCTCTTCAACAACTTGTGTAAAGTCAAGATTAGAATCAACTAAAGACTTGGATTTGGCAAGCTGCTGATTCAGCTCTGCGAAAATAGAAGAATCAGGTGTAACACCTGCCAGTTTGGAACAAACTCCACAAATATCTATAGCGTAGTTCAATAATTGTGGTAACCATCTTGAAATATAATTAAATTTTGACAGGTTCAATTTGATACTATCCCTACCTGAAAATATCGAGCCTGATCCACAAATCTTTTGGAAAATATCTTGATGTTTGACCAATTTGTCATAACCAACGGCAAAACTAGCAAGCTGTTTCTTCCCATTTATGATGTAGTAAACCAAATTTTCAACGATAGCCATACCTTTTTCAGCATCAGCTAAAGGAACATCTTCAGCGACAGATGCAACTGAGGCCCTGAGTTTTGGAAGAAGATCAATAATTCTAAAGAAATAATCATCAGAAGAATCCAACAGCGTTCCATGGAAAGATTTCGAAGAAGACAAAACCAGGTTAGCAGTAGTTTGAAGTTTGTGAATATCTTCTCTGATACGACTCTTCAAACCAATTCTTCTGAGCTCCCGGATGGTATCACTTAATAGCTTTCTTTTTTGAGTCTTTAAAGCAGAAATAACCTTTTTGTTTTCTTCAGTTAATTGCTTTGGTGTCTCTGTACGTAAACGTTCCATTTCAGAAACAATATCTGAAGCAATTTCATATAATGAAGGGTATTCTTTTTCTTCAGCACGTGATTTATAAACACTCATATTTTTTTGAACAACGCTGGTGTCTCTCAAATGTGATGGTCTCTTTTCCCAATTTTCAACTTTTGCACATGTATTAACCAATTCAGCTTCAACAAATCCACTAAATTTTGGAGCAATAATTTTCTCCTTATCAACAGACACTTTTTGAGTAGAAGGAACACCACCTTCAATCAAAGTTGATACCTCTGTACCTAAAAGGTCACGGTACTTACGAACAATCTTGTAGAGGCTTTGATGTGAGCGACGAGAACTCTGTTTCAATGCATCAATATTAACATCTTTCCAACTTGCGAGAAGAATAACTTCTTGAATATCTTTTTCAAGCTTCTTCTTGTTCTTATTCAAATGTTCTTCAACTAAAGGTAAAAATTGTTCATAATACTTGATCAAATTTTTAATCATGTTCTTCAAAGCTTCATCAGAGGAAATCAATATAACATGCTCTCTAATAGCTTTCAAAAGGTTGAGTCTTAATGAAAACTGACCATATGTACTTTTGCTGATGAATAAATTCAACAAAAGGGTCAACTGGGAGCTCTCA